TGTCCTAATTGTTCTGTACGACCAGACTTTGGATATCTGGGAAAATATTCATTATCCAAGAAGGAAGATCTCCCACGGTGCCACAAAGTGAGCAAATTTATATACACTTATCAGTGACGTTACATACTTTAGCTTATAGTAGAATGGGATAGTGACCCTTACAAGGTAGACTAGTGCCTTCAGTTTAAAGGTATGCACTTACTGAGGCTCATACATTTAGTTATGAGCTTAGTATCTCAAGCTCCATAAATTATCCCGTTTTTAGAACTTTCTATAATAATTCTTTATTTTTATTTGTTTTATTCTCTTGGATATTGATAACATATGGCATGTTTACAGTCTTTTAGGGAATCCACTTATTGCCTGAAAGGAGATGATCAAAGGGAGAGAAGATTGTCATTTGTCTCTCTAGAGGCAAGGACCCAATTTAAGTTATATCTGTCAGCAGCCCTACTTTGCATTCATAGATCAATAATATGTCTAAGCTTTGAATGTGTTTTACAAAAAGGATAATTATTCACAACCTGAACCGCCGAAACAGAAAATGGTATCCAAAACTTACTGATTATCTAATTTGCATTATCAGGAGACCATTAGTCACAGTAGGTACATCATCTTGTATTTTCCACAAAAAATTACATATTCTGCAACTCTTGAAAGTTATAAACTTATTTATTTAATTTTTTTAATTAAATACTGGTCAGTCAGAGAGTTTGAAAAAAGGAGAGTATGCAAATGATTTTCTCATTTGAAAGGCAAAAGATTAAAATAAGTTGTTTTAGCTTTAAGAATAATATGTATTTTAATAGTAAACAAACAATACATTTTCAGGCTTAATCACTAAAAAAGGAGTTTTTAGCGAATTTTATATGCTAATGGCAAAATTCAGGCCGAAATAACTAACCTGTGACATTAGTGAAACTGGAGAATTGTTTTCAAAATAAACTTTGCTATTTGGAGTTAAAGGAACACTATAGTCACCTAAATTACTTTAGCTAAATAAAGCAGTTTTAGTGTATAGATAATTCCCCTGCAATTTCACTGCTCAATTCACTGTCATTTAGGAGTTAAATCACTTTGTTTCTGTTTATGCAGCCCTAGCCACACCTCCCCTGGCTATGATTGATAGAGCCTGCATAAATTTTTTTTTAAAAATGGTTTCACTTTCAAACAGATGTAATTTACCTTAAATAATTGTATCTCAATCTCTTAATTGAACTTTAATCACAAACAGGAGGCTCCTGCAGGGTCTAGCAAGCTATTAATATAGCATGGGATAAGAGAATCTTAATTAAACAGGACTTGCAATAAAAAAAGCCTAAATAGGGCTCTCGTTACAGGAAGTATTTATGGAAGGCTGTGCAAGTCACATGCAGGGAGGTGTGACTAGGGTTCATAAACAAAGGGATTTAACTCCTAAATGGCAGAGGATTGAGCAGTGAGGCTGCAGGGGCATGTTCTATACACCAAAACTGCTTCATTAAGCTAAAGTTGTTCAGGTGACTATAGTGTCCCTTTAATTTGCAAAAATGTGGTGTTTGAATATTCATGTATCAGTATTTTTTTTATTTATTTTTAGTTGTAATGTATACACTATTTTTGTATGTGAACAAGATGAAAGCGGGACTATAACAGGTGCATTCTAAAAACTCATATCATCTTTTCGCCATTAAAGGATCATTATAGGGTCAGGAACACATACATGTATTCCTGACCCTATAATGTTAAAACCACCATCTAGATCCCCTAGGCCCCGCATGCCTCCATAAATATAGCAAAATCTTACCGTATTCAAACCTGAAGATGTAACTCTGCATGCTGTTTGACTGACAGAGATAAGCAGTCTGTTGACATCATCAGAAATGGTGGCCTGATCCAATCACAATGTTTCGCCATAGGATTGGCAGAGACTGAAAAAGAGGCAGATTAGGGGCAGAGCAGCACAATTCAAACACAGCCCTGGCCAATCAGCATCTCTTCATAGAGCTGAATTGAATCAGTAAATCTCTATGAGGAAAGTTCAGGGTCTGCATGCAGAGGGAGGAGATACTGAATGTTTGGATGCATTTTAGGCAGCCATGACCCAGGAAGGATCTCTAACAGTCATGTGAGGAGTGGCCAGTGAAGTTATCACTAGGCTGTAATGTAAACACTGCATTGGTGATTCTACTCACCAGACCAAATTCAATAAGCTGTAGATGTTCTGGTGACTATAGTGTCCCTTTAATGTCATGTTCCATGTGACAGTTTCACATTTATAACTATTTAACTTCTGCTAACATTAAAGTTTAAATAAGCCCATATCCACCATGGTTTAGTAAATGAGAAGACCTTCAATCTTTTCATACTGAGGATTATTCCCTAAACTCACTACATTTTTGTGAACTAAATCCAAATAGGAAAAATTGAGACAAAAATAGTTGATTTGGAAAAATTCTCCAACTCAGCCATAATATATGAATTGGGAACATTTGACAAGGTAATTTAAAATGTTAGGTCAATGTGGAAAACAACTTCTCAACTCTGCTGTCAGTTCTCTGCAATTTGCATTTTAAAGTATAAATCACATTTTGTGCAATTAGCTCAGTTCAGTTGGAACAGAGCAGATCATCACGATAGAACAAAGCACTGGAAACTAAACATCAATACTGTGTGTTTTACAATATGACTTGATAATGTCCAGGGACGTCGCATTATTGTGTAATCATGTGCCTCTTGACTGCAACCAAATGCTTGCCACAGGTGACCTCAATTTTGTTTTTACAACTTTCGCTGGTCTGTGGTGGTGTGCTAGGAGTCTGGAGATTGAGTTCTGGAAATCAGGGTTGCAAACCAATATTACAGATGTGTAATTCAATGTTTTGAGTAGTCCTTAAAGTGTTTGTCATATTTAAAATGTATCCTTTTTGGTTAAAATGCTGTGCACTTAATATATTTTGCTTCGTGATTGCCATACGGTTGCTATTATCTAACATGAAGCTGAAGTCCTCTTATCTACCAAAAAAACAAAACAAAAAAACTTTACATCAGCAAAGTGTTGCCTAACTGATTTTAATGTCAAAAGTGTATCAATTTATACTTCCCACTGGTGGGTGAGTGTTAGTTTGACTGGGACAGTGGGAGGCTGGGGGAAGAGTTCTGGTGTTTCATTAAGTGTCACTGATGCTGAAAGGTGGACCTGACAGTCTGGGCTATTTGCCCTCCTACCTTATGGTCAACTGTGCTGGTTGGCTTCAGAAGTGGGAGCCACCATTGGATGGTGGAACAGGGACCTGACATCTGGACTGTAGCACCAATTAATGGACCACGGGTGCTATGTTGGTTATTTTAAGACGTTAAAAGATAAGGAATGATTTATTCTTTGGAGTTCATTAAGCCTAAAAAAAACTATATAATAATGGCTGAAGTTGAAGTATTCTTTATTTAATTAATGTTTAAATAGATTTTTACCGCAAGACAGCAATTCCTCAGAGCACCGGCCTTGCAAAGACTTCTCATTGAGCTGCATTGTTAATTCTGTGATTGGACAGCCATAGAAAATCTGGGCGTGGTTAGAAGGGGAGGGCTTGTACAGGCAGCAGAAAAGAGATCTGCAACTTCAGTAAGCTGTTTTTAGATATACCCCCAATGACACAAATGTCTAAATATATTCCTAGAACAGGGGTCAGCAACCCATGGCATAGCATGTGTGCCATGGATGGCACTTGAGGTGCCTTTGCACGGCACTCAAGGCTGCTAGAGCCCAATAGGCTGTGGCCTATTAGGAGCAAATATCTGCTAGTGCAACCTGAGCGGTGACTGGTAGTGAGGGGCAATCCTCAATTTATGCATTGCAGCACTTAGAGTAGGTGATCTCAGATCACTTTCTCCCAGCACGTGTGATCAGGAATCTGCACTGCAGCACAGCAGCCTACAGCAGCTCGTGCCCTTGACCTGTAGGTTGTACCTGGTCAGGTCAGTCCCCCCTGGATCTCAGGAAAGTGACCCACATTGCTAGATATACACTGAGCTGCTGAAGAAGGCTCCCCCTCATACAAATAATACAAACAGTCCCCCCCAAACACAACACCACTGACAATCCACATACACGCAATACCACAAGCAGCCCCACACATACCACCAAATATATCTGCCACATTTACAATTCTACAAGCAGCCCACATTCATATGTATCATACGCAATGCAAAAAACTGCTTATGAACATATACAATATACCAGCCCACATACATAACAAGCACGCCAAGGGACTTCAAGATTTTGTTTTGGCACAGTACGACTAAAAGGTTGCATATCCCTGACTTTGAACATCTAGGTTTAGGAAGGCTGTCCAAGTCACATGCAGGGAGGTGTGGCTAGGGCTGCGTAAACGTGATGTTCAACTAATCTGAATTTATATTTACAGAATTCGTTTTTTTTAGTTCAGGAAAATCCCAGCTTTTGTTTTCTTTGGGTCGATAAGATTATTACTAAAGAGTCCAATGAATAAAGAATGAAAATGCAAAATTCCAGCCAAGATGTGGAGTTGGATTTTTTTTTACCCGTTTCAAATCCCACAAGTCACAGTTTGGCTATTTTGGGCTGAATTTTGAATTCTATAATGAACTCAATCCTGCTTAGTGAATAAACTCTTTATTGAATTACAAAAAAACATTTGTGCAATAAGAGGTTCAGGGCTCATATCAAACTCTTCCATTCAATCTGAATGCATCCAAGCAGATAGTCGCCAGTTATCACACAGCATAAACCCCAGTAATCTCTCAATTTCCTGGATTTGTAGGTTTGCCACAATCTGTTTACACAGCTATAGATTGCTGGTAGTGGGAAGTGTGCTAATCACCAGCATTTGCAATAGAGTGACCATGCAGAAATGCAAGACTGCTAACATGTCTGTGGTACGTGACTTTAAAAGGATTCCTAGATTTATAAAATAAAGGATAATCCGTTACCGCTGTAAGTAGGATCTTGTGAAGCATGTGTGTTTATAGTGTGGTTTAGTCTTATTGATGTATGGACCACCGTACATATTAAAGGAACACTCCAAGCACTTGCTTAAGTGCTTTATGTGTAAAGAGTGTGTCCCCTAGTGTGATGATTATGGCTTACAGCTCATGAAAAACCCAAATCCACAATCTCAGTGTTTTAGAATATTGTGAAAATTGGTGCAATATTCTAGGCTCACAGTGTCCCACTCTAATCAGCTAAGTAAGCCATAACACCTGCAAAGGGTTTCTGAGCCTTTAAATGGTTTCTTAGTCAGGTTCAGTAGGAATCACAACCATAATTGACACCCTCCATAAGGAGGGAAAGCCTCAAAAGGTAATTGCGAAGGAAGTTGGAAGTTCCCAAAGTGCTGTATCAAAGCACATTAATAGAATGTTATGTAGCATGAAAAGTGTGGAAGAAAAAGGTGCACAAGCAGCAGGGATGTCCGTGGCCTGGAGAGGGTTGTCAGGAAAAGGCCATTCAAATGTGTTGGGGACTTTCACAAGGTGTGGATTGAGGCTGGAGTCAGTGCATCAAGAGCCACCACACACAGACAGATCCTGGACATGGGCTTCAGATGTTGTATTCCTCTTGTCAATTCGCTCCTGAAGCATCTTACCTGGGCTAAAGAAAAACAGACCTGGTCTGTTGCTCAGTCGTCCAAAGCCCTCTTTTCTGATGAGAGCAACTTTTGCATCTCATTTGGAAACCAAGGACCCAGAGTCTGGATGAATAATGGAGAGGCACACACTGCAAGATGCTTGAAGTCCAGTGTGAAGTTTCCACAGTCTGTGTTGATTTGGGGAGCCATGTCATCTGCTGGTGTTGGTCCACTGTGCTTCATTAAGTCCAGGGCCAACGCAGCCATCTACCAGGAGATTTTGGAGCACTTCATGCTTCCTTCTGCAAACAAGCTTTATGGGGATGATGACTTCATTTTCCAAAAGCACCAAAGCCTGTCCCAAATGACCGTGGGATTACCGTGCTTGATTGGCCAGCAAATTTGCCTGACCTGAACCCCATAGAGAATCTATGGGGTATTGCCAAGAGAAAGATGAGACATGAGACCGAACAATGCAGAAGAGCTGAAGGCCGCTATTGAAGCATCCTGGTCTTCCATGCCATGCCGCATTGAGGCAGTAATTGCTGCAAAAAGGGCCCAAACCAAGTACTGAATCCATATGCATGCTTATACTTTTCAGAGGTCCGATATTGTTCTATGTACACTCCTTGTTTTATTGATTGCATGTAATATTCTAATTTACTGAGATTGTGGATTTGGGGTTTTCATGAGCTGTAAGCCATCATCATCGCACTTATGACAAATCACGGCTTGAACTATCTTGCTTTGCATGTAATGCGTCTATCTCATATATTAGTTTCCCCTTTTACGTTGCATTACTGAAATAAATGAACTTTTGCACGATATTCTAATTTTTCGAGTATCACCTGTAATTCTTAAACAGCATACCGATCCAGTGTGTTATAGTTATCAATGAGTGGGGTATAGAGCTGTCACAGATTATATTAGTATTCTTTTTATAATTTTTTGTTTGTGCAAGCAGGAGTAGGTGTACCCCCAAAAGACAAAATCAGGACATTAGAGTAGATTATTACATCCAACACATGAAAACATGAGTCCTGAGCCTAATATTATTATTGAATTGAAATAGAATACACATGGTCAGTTTACACAAGCCTTGGATCAGGGGTTTCAATCCTTGTCGATATAATGGTACAGTCATCCAAGTACCTTCTTCAAGATAATATGAATGGGAAGCCATTGAGTAGCTGAGAGTGTCAGCTGTCCACTCAGCCAATCAGCAGCCCCTCCCCCCCCAGTGGCACTCTGTGCTTCCCCAGAAGCCAGATGCTGTCAAGAGGAGAAAAGATCGGTGCTGGAGGTTCACTTAGGGGTTAAGCAGTACGAGAACGGTAGTAAATATTCATATTGGTATGTCATGCAGCGTGACAACATACAGTGTGTGCAGAAGCCTACATGCTCTGGGTTATAGTTATTATCACTGCCTATAGGCACTGGGTTATAGTCATGATCACTGCCTACATGCACTGAGTTACAGTCATCACTGCCTACATACCCTCGGTTATAGTGATTATCACTGCCTACATACACTGGGTTATAGCCATTATCACTGCCTACATGCACTCGGTTACAGTCATTATCAGTGCCTACATACACTGGGTTATAGACATTATCACTGCCTACAGGCTCTGGGTTATAGACATTATCACTGCCTACAGGCTCTGGGTTATAGACATTATCACTGCCTACAGGCTCAGAGTTATAGTGATTATCACTGCCTACATGCACTGGGTTACAATCATTATCACTGCCTACATGCACTGGGTTACAATCATTATCACTGCCTACATGCACTGGGTTACAATCATTTTCACTGCCTACATGCACTGGGTTACAATCATTATCACTGCCAACATGCACTGGGTTACAATCATTATCACTGCCTACATGCACTCGGTTACAAACATTATCACTGCCTACATGCACTCGGTTACAATCATTATCACTGCCTACATGCACTCGGTTACAATCATTATCACTGCCTACATGCACTCGGTTACAGTCATTATCACTGCCTACATACACTGGGTTATAGACGTTACCACTGCGTTCATACACTGGGTTACAGTCATTGTCACTACCTACATACACTGGGTTATAGTGATTATCACTGCCTACAGGCTCTGGGTTAAAGACATTATCACTGACTTTATTGCTAATTTTGTTTGAGAAGTATCCGAAACACTCTGAAAGTATCTGCTAACTCATTCCTATGATGCAACTGAAGAATCCTTGCCAGAGTTCTGAGAGACTGTACACCCGGAAAGACCTCAATGTACACTAAATGTTTTGTAATCCTATCCAGTGCTAGACACTCTATTAATGGGAAAACAAACCCAGTGCTGACAGCCTGTCCTCATCAGTGATGTATGTGTATCCCAAGGTTTTACCAGTCATTGCAAAGGGGTTCATTAAACTAAACAATAAAATGTAAATTTTCTGGCCTACTGCTAATTATGTAAGAATACATTTTAGAAGGAAGCCAACTATCTTATTTACTCTTGTTACACAGAGAGAGAATTGTATTGCTCTACAAGATTACATCAGGGCTTCACCTAGGGTCAGTGTTTTTTGTTGTCGTCTGATGTTTTCATGAAAAGTGGTGTCCTCGGAATTAGTCGGTGTTGGCTGCTTGTGTCCGTAAGCTATTATACATCAGTGTAAAGATATTTTATTACTATCATTATTTATTACATTAAATATTTACTATGATGAATTCATAAATTTTTCATCTCAAAATAAACATCAAATGTAAAATGACATTAATTCCATGAATACACGGGTTTGGGATCAAAGGGGTTATTAGTTTATTCCATGAATACACGGGTTTGGGACCAAAGGGGTTATTAGTTTATTCCATGAATACACGGGTTTGGGACCAAAGGGGTTGTTATCACTTAAATGACCATTTTTCCATTCTCAGCAACTGTTCCAGACACTCTGAGCCGTTGGAGTCTAGGTGCCATTCTTAACCTAAGTTGGGCTGAACCTATGTTGTTTTTATTTGATGCTTTTTATTTTATTTTACTACTTTAAATGGAGTCTCTGAAAATGATTGATTTTCTTTTGCAATGTGGCATTGAAAGGGTTCTATATAGAAACAAATTTGTGTATTACTTAGAAAAACCAGTAGAGAGTGCTGTTGACTGTCTTTTTTTGGAATCGCCTAAAATTAAATCCACAAAACACTGTACTAACTGGAGTGCTACCATTGAATGGGACACAAGTTGGGTTATTTACTAGCGTACGCTGAAAAATGTGGAGAAATAACAAAACAATTATACATTTTATGTCAAACCATGCAAAACTGTGTAGTGTTACTAATTATTTCAGTGGTTAATGGCAGAAGGTGTAAACAAGGTATTCACTTACAAACCATAGTTTAACATCAGTTGTGAATTCTTGACATTTTATTTCTAATTAAAGGTTAAAGGGACACTACACAAAATAATCCTTACTGTGTACTGTTGTGGTTATGTTCCATACAGTGCCCTGGCACCATCCCCGAGTATTATGTGAATTCATTTAGGAATGTTGTGGCATTAAATGGAGTTCATAGTGGCAGTGCCCGTCCACCCACATTGACAATGGATGATTGGTTGATAGGCTTATCTAGTGCGCTCAGCCAATCAATGCTGGCCAGGTTGGACATTACTGATACAGATAGTATGAAAGAGTTAATTTACATTATTAATGCAGTTGAGGAGCGGTGAGCACTGGGAAGAGCCCTTGTTCATGTCAAACAGTTCCTAAATAATTTTGACATTGAACTCTGGGCAGTATTGTCTGTAGCGGTTATGTTGCTCAAAGTGCTCCATTTACTGCTGTCAAAGCAGCCATATATTTCCCATTTACTTGGCTGTAAACCAAAGTCTTGTGCTGTCGGGTTTTGCTCAAAAATATCCCTGTATTTAGCACCATCCATCTTTCCTTCAACTCTGACCAGCTTCCCAGTCCTGGCTGCTGAAAAGCAGATAGTGTTCTTTGGGTGATGTGATGTGTTGGGTTTGCGCCAGACATAGCGTTTTCTTTTATGGCCGAAAAGTTCCATTTTAGTTTCATCAGACCAGAGCACCTTCTTCCATACATTTTGGGAGTCTCCCACATGACTTTTCGCAAATTCAAAATGTGCCATTTTGTTTTTTGCTGAAAGTAATGGCTTTCTTCTGGTCACCATAAAGCCTCTATGGAGCGTACGGCTTATTGTCGTCCTATGTACAGATACTCCAGTCTCTGCTTTGGAACTCTGCAGCTCCTCCAGGGTTACCTTAGGTCTCTGTGCTGCCTCTCTGATTAATGCCCTCCTTGCCCGGTCCGTGAGTTTTGGTGGGCGGCCGTATCCTGGCAGGTTTGCTGTTGTGCCATGTTCTTTCCATTTGGTAATGATAGATTTGTTGGTGCTCCTGGGGTTCATCAAAGATTTGAATATTTTTTTTATAGCCTAACCCTGACTTGTACTTCTCAACAACATTGTCCCTTACTTGTTTGGAGAGTTCCTTGGTCTTCATGGCAGTGTTTGGTTAGTGGTGCCTCTTGCTTAGGTGTTGCAGCCTCTGGGGCCTTTCTGTAATGACAGATCATGTGACACTTAAATTGCACACAGGTGGACATCATTTCACTAATTATGTGATTTCTGAAAGTAATTGGTTGCACCAGAGCTTTTAATGGGCTTCATAAGAAAGGGGTTGAATACATACGCACATGCCAATTTTCTGTTTTCTATTTCTAAAAAATAGTTTTATGTATATATATTTTTCTCATTTCACTTCACCAACTTAGACTATTGTGTTCTTATCCATCACACGAAATTCAGATTAATAAAACATTGAACTTAAGGCTGTAATGTAACAAAATAGGTAAAAAGTCAAGAGGGGTGAATACTTTTGCAAGGCACTGTATATATGCAGTTCTGGATGCATTTTGCTGTGTCCTGTGGAGAGGGGGCCCAGAAGTCTGATGTTTCCCTCCTACAGCTTCCTGTCTTCTCCTCTCATAGTACCGCGAGAGCATTGCTGCGCTGAGCATTGCCATAGCAACCCACGGCAACGCTCACTTGGCTCGAGAGAGCAGATATCAGGAAACTGTAAGAGGGAAACATCAAACTTCTGGGTCCCCTTTCCACTACTATATATGCAATACATTTCCTCTATGATACACTACAAATGGTGGTTACACCCAGCCTGTGGTGTATATACTAGAAACATTTCATAAAAAGAGCTGTTTATGAAATTTTTAGACAATAGTAATATATTTGGACCCATAAGATTATGTAATAACATGTAATATTAACATGTAACCTTGCAATTCCATTTATAAATTGTTACACAAAAATCTTGAGTCATGATCAATCTCACAGGTGCGAACTCATTGCTAAAATGTTTGCTGACGGACATTGTCATTTTATTAATTCGAAGACTGTATTTATGTCTCTATCCTGAAACTTTAACATATTGCAGCTTTGTCTTCGTGTTCTTGGAATCCCCGTCTTCCCACCCTTTTCCTTCTAAATATAATTAAGGAAACACTATGGGTGTGCCGCTCAGCCAGAGTCAGATTAAAGGGACACCTGGATTGCTTTGTCAAATCTTATTATTGTTCTTATTAGGAAGATGATAGCTGATCTGCCACGAAGATGGCGGCTCTCTAGAGAGGTTTTTAATTAGCTAATATGAACGGCTTACCTGCTTGTTCCACCTCCGTTTCGACCCTAGCACACATCTTAACCCCTTCTCACTCCATCGCTATGGGAGGGGGTTTAAAATCGAAGTCCATAGTGGCAGTGGCTCCGATATTTAAAAACAGGCAAGAGAGGTAGGTGCCACGTGCTGAGACCCAGCACGTCTCAGACTCTGACTCTGATGCAAACCACTCCAGCCAGAGACCGAGGTCTCCTCCACTCTCTAGGATGGACCTGCAGAACCTTCTCAATGACATGCAAATGCTGGTACTGATCGTATTAACTAGACACTTGACTCCCATAAAGGGAAGCCTTGCAGACCTAACCAAGAGGGCCCATGAGGTACTAGACAAACTGGATGAGGTAATGAATACCACCAACACCCATGATCAGCTTGTACAAGATATGCAAGTACAGATGGGACAACTGGAAGAGGCATAAGAGGACCTGAATAACAGGACTAGGTACAATAATGTTAGGATCCGGGGGGCTCCTGGAATCTATTCTGCCTGACATGCTTCTATCTACCCTTTTTAGACGTCTTCTGCAGCCTACTACCGTACTTACCTCCTGCTGATCTCCTGCTTAAAAAGGCCCACAGAGCTCTCCACAGCTGCCCACAAATCCATCACAGCCTAGGGACGTTGTCGTCTTTCATTACTTTCACACCAAAGAAGATTTGATGAGGGAGGAACGGGACTCTCCACTACACATTGATGGCCACTCTGTCCATCTGTACCAGGATCTGGCACCAACCACGCTGCTCTAAACCTGAGGCCTCTTACCCAAGCTCTCCAGCAACAACTCATAAGGTACACGTAGGGCCACCCATTCAAACTGATGGTCAAAAAGCACAATCACACTTCCACACTTCAAAGGCTGTCTGAAGCTTGCAGTTTTGCAGAACAGTTAGGACTACCTGAGATACCTCTCAGCTTACCCTCTTTGTCCCACAGTTTGGCTCCACTCCAACGCCTATGGGACCTGCTACCTTTGGGGATTCGTAGACTGTCCAGACGATAACATTCCTCTCAACTTTCCTCCACTTGAATACTAGTTGATCCACTCCCTCAACCTTTATACTCAAGTTTCAGCATTTGGATGACCTACCTGGTACTCTCTTTCCTTTTCCAGCACAATGGGCTTGCTCCGACTTTCTCTCTTATCTACAGGGACTGTATCTGGTGAAGTCGCTACTCGCCACTCCTTGGGGAATATCTACTAAAGAGTGATCTATAAACGTTATATTTGGGCAGTGGAGTGTCTTTTTAAGGGACATATTACTGGGACCATTATTGCTGGGGAACTCTGTTCTACATTCAGAAACATCAACAATATGGAGCTCCTACAAAAGAGGGACATTAGGATAGAAAAGAGGGATTTGGGCACACAATAGGGACTGAACCTACTTAATAGGGACACGTGGGAGGTATGCTAGTGCACATGCAAAGGGATATAATTTCTAATTAGTGGGGTAATAGCTGCTTGATCCAAGGAGACATCTGACTGCTATTTTGGGGTCAAGAAGGATTTTTTCCCCTAATTTGTGGAAAAATTGAAAGCGCTTCAGACTAGGTTTTTTGCCTTCTTTTGTTTCAACAGCAACAACCTATGTGAGGAAGGCTGAACTTGATGGATGCAAGTCTCTTTTCATCTATGTAACATACTTTATACAGTCTACATGCAAGTGAAATAAACATAGCGGTTGTCCTGGTAAGTATGGCATATTTGGGGTAAGAACCTGGCGTGGGCATTGCTTCCTCTCTGCTCAGGAAGGGAATGTCAGAGCAACTCCTAACTATAGTCTTTCTTATCTGCAGTTGGCACATGGTTAGAAGGAGTGTAACAGGAAAAAGGGAGGAGGGAGAAAGTGGGCCATGGTGGAGAAAGTGAGGGGAAATTAGTAATAATAATAAATAAATAAAAAAATACCGACACTGAAAGACGTAGGACTGTGCAGTATGAATAAAAGGGGCAAAATAAATCTTTAAAAGTGATTAAAAAAAAAAAAAAAGAATATCCCAGAAAGAGAAATATAGCATTTATTCTAAATATTTACAGATTGTTCTAAAAAGCTCTATCTAGGGAAATTAGATTAACTGTTTAGTGTTACCATTACATGCCCATATAGTGGTTGTGGTGCTGTTAGGATGCAGGCGTCGTTTCTCTGTTCTGTGTTAAACCATTTTCAGCAAGTGGATATGATTAAAATACGTGTGAAATTAACTGGGACATGGAATTTCTGCATCAACAATAGCAGGGCGGCAATAGCATGTGCAAACTTCTTAAAAATGGTTTGACCAAGAACTGGGAGACTGTTTCTGCAGCCTAATGCAACCATAACTACTATATCGTCATGTTTTGTTTGTTATGCTTAAATTGCCCCTTTAACAACATTTTACATAGAAATAGTTTGTAAGGAGTCAAACCGTTCAACTTCTTACAATGGGTGGGCATCAGGGCACTTCTGGCACCATAACCACTATATTCTTTGCATTGGTTAGATCATTAGACTTGATGTCCTCAGCCAGGGAGGCAGAGTGGCAGCACAGAGACCAGTATACCGCTAAATGTAAGGTGAATTCTATTTTTTTTTTTTTTTACCCTTGCAGTATTGGTGTGGGGGGGGTAGGGGGGCATCATACATAGTAGGGGAACTCTATAGCTTTAGGGATACATGTTTGTATTCATAACTCTACAGTGTTCCTTTAGCCTCATAAGGACCATAGGATATAATGACATAACAATACAATCTTCTAAAACTGATTATCACAACAGACTTATTAAGCTGCTTATGTCAATAAGCAGATCTTTGAAGCTCGCTTCCAGTTTAAATCAGTTTTTAACCCCTGGGTTGTGATAAAAATTGGATCCTCACTGGTTGGAGCAGGAACGTTCTATACTGGAATACTCCCACAATAAACAGTTCACAGTAACGGTGGTCCTTGGCCAGTGTAGCCGAGACCCATTTAATATTAGGATGGGTCTAATGAAAGTATTTTGCATATTTTAAATGTGTCACATTTGAAAACTAGGCCATTGAGCTAATTTTAAAATGCAATAATGTGTCACCAAGCTAAAGATATGTCAGTAATAGCAGCCAGGTTGTGACAATAGCACACAATGTCACTGGTTTTTGAATGATTTATCTCCCATTGCTGGGATAATAGTTAGGGAAACGTGTAACTTACCCCTCTGTATGACAACTGTGATACCGCCGCTATATCAATCTTTAGGGTTTTGCATTCCCATCATCTATTCCAAATTTAATCAGTGTCATTAATTTGCTCAATATTGATCTTCACATTTTTACATTTTTTTTGTGAATAGTGGTCCTTATTGTTTTGTTGAAATAGTACACGATGGGACATGCAGGTCCCTATCGTTCCTTGCGGGACTTGATTCCTGAACTTATTTCACCCTTAAAGGACCACTATAGTGCCAGGAAAACATACTCGTTTTCCTGGCACTATAGTGCCTTGAGGGTGCCCCCACCCTCAGGGACCCCCTCCCGCCCGGCTCTGGAAGGAAGGGGTAATAACTTACCTTTTCCAGCTGGGCTGAGAGCCTTCCTCCTCCTCTCCTCACCTCGGGATTCAATAGCCCGCCAAGTTGAATGCGCACACATGCTGACAAGAGCTGCGCTACAAGATTCAGTTGGGAAATCTTCATAGGAAAAGCATTTTTACAATGCTTCTGAGTGGATTCATGCGTTTCCTCACTGTGATTTTCACAGTGAGAAGACGCTAGAGCGCCTCTAGTGGCTGTCAATGAGACAGCCACTACAGGGAGTGCAGAATTATTAGGCAAGTTGTATTTTTGAGGATTAATTTTATTATTGAACAACAACCATGTTCTCAATGAACCCAAAAAACTCATTAATATCAAAGCTGAATATTTTTGGAAGTAGTTTTTAGTTTGTTTTTAGTTATAGCTATGTTAGGGGGATATCTGTGTGTGCAGGTGACTATTACTGTGCATAATTATTAGGCAACTTAACAAAAAACAAATATATACCCATTTCAATTATTTATTATTACCAGTGAAACCAATATAACATCTCAACATTCACAAATATACATTTCTGACATTCAAAAACAAAACAAAAACAAATCAGTGACCAATATAGCCACCTTTCTTTGCAAGGACACTCAAAAGCCTGCCATCCATGGATTCTGTCAGTGTTTTGATCTGTTCACCATCAACATTGCGTGCAGCAGCAACCACAGCCTCCCAGACACTGTTCAGAGAGGTGTACTGTTTTCCCTCCTTGTAAATCTCACATTTGATGATGGACCACAGGTTCTCAATGGGGTTCAGATCAGGTGAACAAGGAGGCCATGTCATTAGATTTTCTTCTTTTATACCCTTTCTTGCCAGCCACGCTGTGGAGTACTTGGACGCGTGTGATGGAGCATTGTCCTGCATGAAAATCATGTTTTTCTTGAAGGATGCAGACTTCTTCCTGTACCACTGCTTGAAGAAGGTGTCTTCCAGGAACTGGCAGTAGGACTGGGAGTTGAGCTTGACTCCATCCTCAACCCGAAAAGGCCCCACAAGCTCATCTTTGATGATACCAGCCCAAACCAGTACTCCACCTCCACCTTGCTGGCGTCTGAGTCGGACTGGAGCTCTCTGCCCTTTACCAATCCAGCCACGGGCCCATCCATCTGGCCCATCAAGACTCACTCTCATTTCATCAGTCCATAAAACCTTAGAAAAATCAGTCTTGAGATATTTCTTGGCCCAGTCTTGACGTTTCAGCTTGTGTGTCTTGTTCAGTGGTGGTCGTCTTTCAGCCTTTCTTACCTTGGCCATGTCTCTGAGTATTGCACACCTTGTGCTTTTGGGCACTCCAGTGATGTTGCAGCTCTGAAATATGGCCAAATTGCTGGCAAGTGGCATCCTGGCAGCTGCACGCTTGACTTTTCTCAGTTCATGGGCAGTTATTTTGCGCCTTGGTTTTTCCACACGCTTCTTGCGACCCTGTTGACTATTTTGAATGAAACGCTTGATTGTTCGATGATCACGCTTCAGAAGCTTTGCAATTTTAAGAGTGCTGCATCCCTCTGCAAGATATCTCACTATTTTTGACTTTTCTGAGCCTGTCAAGTCCTTCTTTTGACCCATTTTGCCAAAGGAAAGGAAGTTGCCTAATAATTATGCACACCTGATATAGGGTGTTGATGTCATTAGACCACACCCCTTCTCATTACAGAGATGCACATCACCTAATATGCTTAATTGGTAGTAGGCTTTCGAGCCTATACAGCTTGGAGTAAGACAACATGCATAAAGAGGATGATGTGGTCAAAATACTCATTTGCCTAATAATTCTGCACTCCCTGTAGAGGATTAGGGGAAGGCTTAACCCATTCATAATTATAGCAGTTTCTCTGAAACTGCTATAATTATGAAAAAATGGGTTAACCCTAGAAGGACCTGGCACCCAGACCACTTCATTAAGCTGAAGTGGTCTGGGTGCCTAGAGTGGTCCTTTAATACCTGTAGTCTGGCCCCCAGGCAGGATATGGGAAAGGAAGCTAGATTTGGATGATGAATCCCCCTCCCCGTCCAGCTATTGTAGAAAGAGGTTACCCACTGCATCACAACCAGTCAACCAAAAAAAATCTCGCTCAATAATATTAAGTTACAGGAAATTTCCTCCTCCTCTATTCCAAACCCACTTTTTTGGTGGGGGGCACTCTCCTCTGTTTTGAGGTGCTTCTCAGGCTATCTATATTCTCCCCTTCTACCTCGGCGTTCCCATCTCGCGGTGACTGGGACACCCTCTCTCATCCTTACTTAGCATATTATTTTATCTACTTGCCTGTTTATCACATATTTCTATTAGTTTATGGCACTTGGCTGTGATGACCCTGAACATAAACCTACTTCATAAAAACCTTGACCAATAATCTTTTAACTTGAATGACTTGTCACTGTCATCACATCCAGGCGCTCCTATAAGAATGTAACACAGCAGACAGTCTGTTCCAACGTTTGTCACAATCAACGATTTGCAACACTGACAATCTGCTGTTATCAGAGACAGCATTCCATATCTTCAAATTGTTTCATTGTCTGATATGACCCACTATGTAAGTAGATAAAAATATTGAACTTTGGAAATTGGTGTCTGGAATATTGCTAGAAACAAGCGTTTTTTTTATTTTTCCCCTTGAAATAGAAAAAAAAAAATGAAAATGACCCTTTTTATTTAAGTGAGCAGTGCTTAGCAATAAAGAGGGAATTTGACAATATTATTCATATTTTTCTACCCTATATCACAAAAAGTGATATTCTAACGTGTCTACTTAAAATACTACAAGAAAACGGATATTGTATAATCACTTCATACCATTAATTTACACCCTTCGATTTCTCTGCCACAGACGAATAAATAGTGAATGTAAAGTATACTTTTATTCTTTAGGTATCCAGGTACAAGTGTCATAAAGTCGTTGGTCGTTGTTTATTCTATATTGTCCAAGCTATGCATCTCATGTTTAAATAAATGGTGTTTCATTTTTTTTTTTTTTTTTTTACATTATCAACAAAGTATTTTTTTTCTTAGAGGAAGTGGGATATAGACAAAGCAGAAATAAAAACTAAAGGAAAGGAGGTCAGAAAAACAAACAAAAAAACATATATCCAGGAAAAGAGTGAAAGCAGAAAACTACAAATCCAGGAAAAAGATTGAAAACTAGTTAAAAAATTAAACAGAGGGTTGAAATGCACTACATGCATTAAATCTAGATGGAGAAAAGACAGAGCGAGGTTTCCTGTGCAAGAGAGAAACGCAGGCGGTATTCTGTAGAAATAAAATTTATTGACATTTGTTGTATTATAGGAAGGACCTGGGTTATAAATAAGGAACAGCAGGGCATAAATATGTGGATTATGGGGAACGGGATATAAATAATAAGGGGAGCTCGAATATAGATTAACGCTTCAGATTTACAGCCATTTCGACCTCATTACTGCGGCAGGAGCCTGAGGAGAGAACAGAAAGTCATTGTAGAAAGTGACGAAAATCGGGGAAGAATGGAAATTAAGGTAGAGTCATAGGAAAGTAATGGTTGTGGGGAATGGATTTTGGATGGATAGTTGACACTGAATAATAGAAACGAGTATTTTATTTTATATCGTCCAAGAGGGGGATTCAAACAGATTGCGAGCAGAGACTTGATGGAACGAGTGATAAGGAAAGGGAAAGATCGTAAGATCAAAGTGTCGAGTTAAACAGGAAAAGTTATTTGGAGACATTGGAATGCTAATCTCTGGACTGAAGCAGGAAGCTGAAGTTGAGTGAATCAGGTGACAGATATATAATTGGATTAAGAGAAGTTATATGAAGGTATGCCGTGGACAGGAAAAAGAGTTTGAATAGTTTCACCGCTATTTAAGTAACTTACACTCCCCCATTTTCTCTTCCATGAACATGAGCTGATCACTCAGCGATTCCACCTGATCCAAACTGCGGATTCTTTCCCAGAATTCCTGAACCTGGTCTGGTCGGATTTCTGACAGTTTAACAGGGAAGAGTCTCTGTACTGCTGACATGGTACTGTCTAACCTCTGACAAAGAGTGTGAAAAGTAACAGATTACACAAGGCTGATACAACTGACGCACATCAACAAACTACTAGCCAACGACATTGTGAGCAGACACTGAGCCAGGGGAGTACAGTCCGGCGTGGAGTCATATCATGTCATGAAACGTCTTATCATACAGCTCTCACCTGCTCTAGGGAAGTTACGAGACTGCGCAGGTCCTGTATTTCATTCGAAAGTCTCTGTGAAGCATCTGGAAGGCACATTGAGGCAACAAATTAAATTAATAAACTTTGTTTCTTCAAACAAGGGACTTTCCTTCCATCAAAACAACTTCATTTTAATGCCCCTGGGTGCTGTTTTACCTTAAAAGGATACAATAGGCATAAACATTTTTTATTTTTTTATTTAATGAAGCATTTTTGTTGTATAGATCATGCCCCTGCAATCTCACTGCTCAGTTCTCTGCCATTGAGGAGTTAAATCACTTCTGTTTCTGTTTATTTATCAATAGTCACACCTCTCCTTAACTTACTTGAGAAGTTGTATCTCCTGCTCTGGAAATTGAACTTTAATCACACAAATGAGGCTCCTGCAGGGTCTAGCATGCTATTAACAGAGCAGAAGAGAGGAAATTCTACATTAAACCGAGGGTGCAATAAAGGACATATAACCATCAGCTCTCACTTTACAGGAAGTGTTTAGGAAGGCTGTGTAAGTCACATACAGGGAGGTGTGACTGGGGCTGCATAAAAAAAAATGATTTAACTCCTAAATGGCAGAGAATTGGGCACTGAGAACGAAGAATCAAAAATTCTAGATTAAACAGACTATGCAACAAAGAAACTTAAAATATCTAGGTTCCTTTTCAGAAAGTGTTTAGGAAGGCTGTGCAAGTCACATGCAGGGAGGTGTGACTAGGTCTGTGTAAACAAAGGGATTTGACTCCTAAATGGCAGAGAATTGAGCAATGAGACTGCAGGGCCATGATCTATACACCAAAACAGGGGTAAATCATTTCTGATCATTTCAGATCAGTTTAATCTCACTATTGGGTCACCAGCCTCTGACTGCTGGACCGCCTCTTCATATTCTTCTGCTCCTGACACTCTCAGCCTATCATTGGCTGCCCTTACAGAGTTACAGTGCATACTGTACTTTAATTATTAATAATAAGTATGGTGTCATCAAAACATTTGTTTTTGTTAAGTAGCATGATGGTATTGAATAGATATTGTAATTAGTGCCAGTCCTTAACCAAAAAAAATACATTTTCCTTTCAATAATGTTTACATTTATCCTGGTATGTAGATGTTGATCCTGCTGGGAATGAAACTTGCTGCTGAGATGTTTGCACGTGTACTTTACTTTAACTAGCGGTATCTTTTCCATTTTTACTATCAGCGTGCTAATAATTTCAAGAGTCATTGTGCAATATTGTTGGTAACTGAGAAAACTGTTAGGAGTACATCAAAACCGTTTATGTCATTATGTATATTGCACAGATACAGAACACTAATCAATGTAGCAGCTACAGTGTATTGACTTAGATCTTTTCCTCACTTTTTTGGGGAAGCTATTTAATACAGAGTCAGGTTAGAGCACTCACCCTAAATATTTCTAAAGAATTAATACTAAGATCATATTTTCCAGTGGTGATTTGCCCATAAATGAACTTGCAATCACAGCTATATTGGGCTAAATAAAAAATCAGCTATATAAATAATAAAGATATTACCAATTCAGCTTGCCTTAGGTCAGACTCACAAACATATTAATAACTAGTTATGAGAATCAATGTATTGTGAAAAATGGAGGGACTGAAAAAAAAAATCAGATTGAAGAAAGAATTACAAAACACAACAACGAAGCCAAAATGGAAAGTTCTCCATCTTACAACAACTCTGTAATTTCGGCCTACATGTATTAATTTCTTATCAGTTCAATATAACGAAGAGCCTTTGTGGAACATGATTTGAATCTGCTGAATCCAGTGACTGATTTTAGACATTTGATCACACAGTAAATCTTATCGTGTTGTGGGCCCTATCAGTGTTACAGATGTCTGGGCCTATGTACATATACGCATTTAGTCTCACCCTAAAATCTTTTTATTCCTCCCTCAGACGACTTGGCATGTGAACTCGTAGTGTCTGAATCCACTTGCCTCAGCCACACAGTGTATTATGGAAACAGGTGTGTACGAGTTAATTAGAGCAGACTGTACAGGAAATGCCAGACTGGGCACATTAAGAGGCTCCATTCAAAGACACAGTCACTGTTTCTCAATTTCAGGAAACTGTTGTAGGAAGGCTTTCCGGTACAAAGCTCCACTGTCATCACTGCTTCAGAAGGACCAGTGAAGATCCCACTTAGATATACCTTCTTGTATATTCACAAGAGTCTATTAATAATAGACCACAATATATAAATTGCACACATGGCTGTAACTGTATTAGTAGCACACCAGAGAGACAGACTGTGAATTGCTATTTACAGGCCTTGGTTGGGTCTTGCAGTGACTAAAAAGGTCCTTCCAACACCATCAGCAGATGGACACAATAGAGTTTGTCAATACCTGAGCACTATGAGAAGAGCACACTATGGTGGGTATAACTTTAGTGAGAAAGTAAAAGAAGACATAGTAGTAGTCCATTGCTACACTTAAGATCGATCACCACCTCTAGATGCATCTGTGCATTACTAAGCAGTACAAACAGTAATACTTGATCTTGGAACCCTTTGCTGACTGTTGGAGAGTTGCCGCTCACAGGGGTCCTTCACAGGATTAGATACAGTTGCATTCTGGGTTTTCTGAATATGTTGAGAATTATTTTTGGGCCTGGTGCCAACCTCGTTGCAAACCTTGCCTCCACCATGTGACGTATATTGGGTCCGTGAAATCTTTACTGTTGTTCTGTCTAGCTTTCTTTGAAATTATTTCTCAGTAGAATTGTTGTTGTTCTGCATTCAGTCTAACTCTACTATGTCCTTATCTCTCTTGTCAGATTTATTCTCTGGTATCTTGTTCTCTGGTAACTGGATTCCAGATGGCTTATGCGAGTGTCTAGCTCCCTTACTGGGAACCATAAATTCAAAGGATTTTCCAATGGCTATTTTCCAGCATATCTGATACCAGATAAGAAGAACCGTGTTAAAAAACAGTTGTTTTTCTTTAGCACTCACTTTGTATCACGTCCCAGCTCCACTGATACCTCTTCTGCGTCAATACTCTGTAACTCTTTAAAATCCTGGAACTTGTTGAGAAGAACCAGACTATGGATTAATGAATCTTGTCTATTCCTGCTTATGACTGAGGAAAACTCCTGTTCCATGCATAATAAATTGCCAGGCAAAACAAAAATAATAACACTGACTGACTGGACTCCCTGTGCTATTTTACTAAATGATCCATTAAGTTTCACATTTGGACAATTGAATATACATACTGTAGGCCAAATGACCTGAGGCTTAATTTTATGAAATTTCACTTGAGGAAACCTGTAACCCACACCTCCTGGGAACTAAATGATAACTGGGCCACAAGAGGCCTTTAGGTGGATGTCTATGTAACTATGATAAGAAAACACACTTTAGTGTTACCTTGGATTCTTAAAACAAATTATTGGAATCACACAATTAAATACTGTTAACACTCACTGACCACATATTTCCATGAACCAACATTTCTTTATCTCATATTCATTCATATGCGCTTACCTTCAGCTTGCTGCGCCGGGATGGGTGGAGGAGACTTGGTTTTCATACAAGACTTTCCATCCTCTTCAAGAGTAAATCCAGAATGACATTCACAACGGAAACTGCCCCGAGTATTAATACACCTCTGTGGACAGACTTCAGTGGGACGGCGGCACTCGTCAATATCTGCAAAAGGGTAGAAAAGTAGAACTGTTAGCTTAGAGAACCGTGACAGTTGCCAATCTGTTTAGGGAACACAGCGATGGTATGGCATGGTAAGAGAAAGCTAACAGAGACCTGATAGATGGTATATTTGTGGCAGAAAATTATGGGTTTGTTACCCAATAACAACCATAAAGTAGTATCTAACTTACCCACATGGCAATGTCTCCCTCCCCAACCAGCACGGCATCGGCACATGTTAGGCTTAATGCAGGTACCTCCATTCTGACAAGGCTTGCGACACACGGCTGGAAATTGGAATTAAGAGATGTGATTGAAGACAGATTGAATTAATAGTACAGGGTGTGGTGGAGCTAATGTGGAAAGGGCAAGAAAGATTGCATTTAGAGACTAGTAAACATCCTGCGATTCTTTTTACACAACGTTCTGTCTGAGTAAACTAAAAGTTCTGAGTTGCTCTAAATGCTTCCATGAAATTAACCAATCTGGTGACACAATCTGCTTTTTCCGATAACAAATGAGACAGGATGAAAGTGCTGGTTTATTTATTAAATGTTAGTAGATGAAGTTTCATGTAGTTTAGGGTACGGTACATTCTAGCCCAGGCAACAAGACCATTAAAATGTTGAGAACAAAAGCAAACAGGGTTGCTAATCCATCTGTGCCAAACACAAATCTGTTTAGCTTCACAAGAGTAACAGAAATTGTTGGTCCTTCGGGACTGAGGCACAATTACTGGTTCACCCCCTATAGTTAGGATTGTCTGGGAGAAAGGAACCTCAATAGTAATAAACAGCTAGTTTATTATCTGTTGGTACCAATCCTGCTGCCAGCAGTGCTGAACCCTCACCCTCTGCTTGTCTGGTCAATACTGAGCATCGAGACTAGGTTGGGAAGAAGTAGACTTTCCAGCATTCTACCCAACTGGGTGTCCATTGTGACCATGGATGGTTCTCCAATATATTTTTTCGGGGCTCTCTGAAATTCATATCTAAAGATTCACATATTTTACCACAACATTCACTTTTACAAAACACAAGTTTGTGGTGAACTGCAAAAAAGTTGGTTTTATAGAACAGCATATTTTCCAGGTAAAGACTATCTTTAATCTTTCCCCACCAGTTGGAGTATTTCTCACCTTCGTCACAGGAGTCTGAAGACGGGTCATTTTTCTTCCACCCTGCACAGCATATAGTCTTTACTTGGATTACCTCTCTCTTAACCTGCCGGATGGACACTGAGTATACCGTCCTGAGTTGAAGGGAGGAGAGATGAAATATAAATGACTGCAGCACACTGACACAATGTGTAACATCCTTAGAGAACTACTCATTGTGCAGAGACCCGTCCAGCAAAGTGTGGGCAGCTAAACACATGCTGATTACACTCAATTTACTCAACCACTCTTATTACACAGCAGAGAAAGGACAAGCCAGAAACATGTTTTGATTAACCCCTTAAGGACACATGACATGTGTGACATGTCATGATTCCCTTTTATTCCAGAAGTTTGGTCCTTAAGGGGTTAAAGCGTAGGCTTCACCACTAACAATTTAGGGGAACGTTTTCACTGCCGGGTGCTTATGTCCATCAAGGAAGAAACTTCCATGGACAGTAGGAGGTTAAAAATAAATGTATTGAAAGGTCCATGGAATAGGACATTTTTATTAAGTCCCTTCTCTGTGATCCAGTAATAAGAAAAAAACATCAGAAACAGGTCAATGGGCTTTAATCTGAATCGGAAAACCAGTTCTTAAAGTGGACAGTCACTTCTTTACAAATGCCATCAGTGAATTAAACATTAGCTATCCCCTTTAACTTGTGTTAACCATTATTTTATCTGAAGATCCGTTTACCTTTAAATGTATATAAAACATTTAGTAACTGACTCATGATGCATTCCAGTTCAAGCCCAGGTTGCGTTCGAAGAGGAGAAACTATACTTTGCTGTTTCTCCTCCTCCACTTACTGTGTTCCCTCCGGGTGATAGACCATCTCAGCCTCCATGACGCTATTAGATGTACAGTTGTGAAAAAGCAATCGTGCAAAAGTTCTGTTTAGTGAGTGTTCCATTTATACTAGGATCTCTCCCAGTATGATAAAGTTTTTACACTATTGTGTGTCATTTATATTTCAAAGGTTCACATATGGAGCTACAATAATCACGTTATAAGATAAGTATTTCTGGATTTTTAGAAGTGACACTAATAAGCACTGTGTTGCACTTTATTGTTTGTCTATATAAGCAATGCACTACTTTCTGTTGAAGTTGTGAAAAAATCTCTTTGCTGACTAATGGGTGCAAATGGTGTTTTTTTTACAAGATAAAAAAGGACAAAGCTATTAAAAATAAATAATTGAGGCACTGAGATCCAGGTAAGTATAGACTGTGAATTTGTACATTTAATGTAATTTTTTCACAATTTACAAACCTACATTTATTAAATAATAAGTGACAGTTCCCTTTAAGATTTTTCCTCTTTATCTGTTTTCTAATTACTTCTATTGATCTGCCACTGCCCCCTTTCTTTACCTGTAGGTACTGCAGGCTCGGTTCCCCCGGCAGGTAGTCAAATAGGGCTGGTATACTGGCTGAATGAAGGTCTCATTGTATAGAATCGGGATTTTTTCCACCTCCTTGGAACACACTCCTCTGAGAAACCAAAAACAAGAAAAATACAATTACTACTACTTTATGTAAACATTTATTTCAATAATATTAGAAAGACAAATGTAACTGTAATTTAAGAACACTTTATCCTAACCCAGTGATAGCTAACCTTTACACCCCAGATGTTTGAGAGGATTATGGAAAACGTGATATTGAGACATCTGGAGTGCCAAAGTTATCCGTTACCAGCCATCTAGTGACCTAGATAGGTCTTACTCCTGCTGTAAGCCATAATCTATATTACTGGCCATCCCGCAGAATATACACTGTCTGCTGAGGCAGGTGAGGGTGAAAAACAGATATTCTGTTAATATTTTATATTTAAAGACAGTTTCTAAAATAATTCTTTTTTTACAATGATATAATACAAATATAGTATTTTAAGGAAGAGTCAGGGGTCAGAAATATTAAGTACAGGCCTGGCCACCTGTCTCTAAAATGTGCAGTTTACTGTAGAAGAGAACTTCGATAGTCACAGCTGTTTCTAATTGTGTGATCTAGATCAGGCAGATTGAACGTAATTTCTACCGAATAATGTATGTAACATGTAGTTGATTTTTTTAATGTAAATTGGATGTTGTAGAATAGGTCAACTTGAATCCCTGTTTATGTAAGTTACAAATTTCACAAATTCTTACTCATACATTGTAAACCCGATACATTCGCTCAGTGCTGTCTTGTTAACCTAGCACAGTGAATGTTTAATCCAGATCAGATGCATATCCCCTCAGTATCTAGAATTAGCATTAGTCAGGCCCGTACCACGTGCTATTATCATCACAAGTCTCAGCAGAAGCCTGGGAGGGAGCAGACGGCTAATTATTGCAAATAAGTATTTTATGCAATAGTCCTAATACAGTGACTTGTTACATACAGACACAAAACATAAAATATACATCAAAATATATAACCTTGAGTAGGGGTGCTCATGGTCCAGAATTCTTGGACTTGTAGTCTGAGAAAAGACTATGTATGTACATCCATCCAGGTATTGCCCTGCCCTATTCAGATCTATAGGATTCAAATACCCTCACTCAATAATCTTTAATTCCTCCCTCCCCCATGCTGATGATGTCCTAAACTGTAATAATATGTATAATTACAGTTTGCATCACTTTGTTGAATAAACATCTTATCTTAATAAGACTCTTCTAGTGCAATATTAATCATGCAAATAAAGCAGACTAGGTCGCAATATTTGCTGCATATTTTCATTGGAAGAATATCTAGATATTGATATTTAATGCATTTCTAAAATGGTGCTGAATATTAGAATATTTTAAAAATACCACACAATAATTTTATAAGAAATCTCTCAATAAATCATATTCTAATGCAAGTTATATTATTGATATTATATTTTGCAAACATGCATTTTTTTAACACAATCCTAACTTAACCATTAACTTAACCATATGAGTCTGATGCAATTGTATTACATGCTTTATATATCTGATATAACATCCGTCCGATGATGCTACCGTTACAAAGCTGTCATAACGTTGACAATGGAGACAGTGTTATGGCCTCACCTGATTTGGCTTGAAACTGGCATGGGTGCGATCACTCCTGCTATGAGAACAATCAGAACCCACGAGGACATGGTGAAATGCACAGGGGTCAGATTTCGAACACCTGACAACGACAAGTGAACAGACACAATGTATCTGTGTGTTTTTGTGTGTGTCAAGCAAAATAAACACATACTCACACAGTATGCTGTGTACAGTTGCCATCCTTGCCATAATTTACTGACAGGTTTAAATTCAAAACTTTTTGGAGGTCAACGAATATTGTTGTCTTGTTGTGTGCAGAATGTGCATGCTGCTTGAAATTAATCAATTAATTAGGTATCCAATAGAAACTTTTTGTGGTTAATGAATAACTTCCCCCTTGCAGCATGTGAAGTCTGCATACAGATGGACAGCATTTTTCATGAACCTCCCACCAGGTTGTGCAATTTATAGGCAGACTTGTTCAAGGTGGCAGCTCTAGCACGCAGGTATAAATGCACATAGACACACAATCAAACACGTCCTCATACACTGCTGCACAAACAATATCTATAAATATCTAGAATCAGCCACAAACTCACTGTGAGAGCCCAGAGTCCCTTCGATTCATAGACCAGTCTCATGCTGAACACAGGACACTGGAGAGGGAACGTGTGGGAATAGGAAAGCACGCCCCTGGAACACAATGACACCCTTCTGTTATTGCAGAGACACCCCTTCCCGTTTCCAGACTCCCCTACGTTATCCGAGAGACACCCCTTTCCTGTTGTAGACACCCCTCTGCTCTTTCAGAGACTCTCCTTCCTTTCTAGATACTCCTTACTAATCACAGAGCACACCTTTTCATGTTCCCAACCTTCTCTGGATATTCTGGAGACCCCTCCAAGCACCTGCTGGTTATTCTAGAGACTCCTCTTTCATATTCCAGACAGACATCTTTTAGCAAATCTTAGACTCTGCAATTCTCCTGGTTTACACCATAGAATCCTAGTGAACATTTCCGTATAGCTATGCTTTTCAAGAAATACCCTTGTAACTAAAAGTATATTTATTAAAATATCTGAATACCATATAAATATCTGAATACCAATCGGAACATACAGACACAAACTTATAGTCAGAATGCACAAATATTTTTATAAACTCTGGAATACGATTATGTTATAACGTCTACATTTCAGTAAACAGAATTATATATATATATACATAAAAGAGAATATATAAAACTAGAAATATATATAAAACTATATGACTGTTTCCACTGCGTTGGTATCTAGAAAAAAGTATAAAATCAAGAATTACATTAGAAATCTTCTTGTACCTTCGTCTTTGTCAACAAACATCCTATCTGACTATTTTTAAAAATGATCTGAAATATCTAAACCTATTCTAAAAAGGACGTGATGATATTTCTCTAACGTAAAGCCATTATTTGTGAAAGATCTCCCGAAAATTCTTCTTATATACCTTAATAAATGGAATACTCAAAAGTGTCTAAAGTAATAGATGTCGGACTAAAACTCCTTCAAGATCTCCTGAACAATCCAAGCTGTATCCAGAATAACCAGGGCAGTTGGTTTTGCAGAGTTTCCCCAGTATAGTGCAGCCCCTATCCTTCAGCATGTCTGTGATATCTCGTGTTGAATGAGTCTGTGTTCTGGGATATTGCTGTATATCGTCATGTAGCAAGTGGTAGATTGGTGTCTAAATGTCTTGATGTGTCAGCTCCTCTTTACGAACACTATCTGGAAATACATCCCTTTCCTGCTCCCTAGAACTTCACACAAGCAGCCGGAACTTTGAAAAAAGTGAAAGCGATGAGCTATACAATGCCTTGTCTGATATATTTACTAGGGGTGCACTTCCTGCAGAGCAGGGAGGCCTATTAATGAAGAATAATAATATGCACTTGTATACGAATTCTACTTTGTGCACACTATTTTCTTTGCTCTCCCAGTCGCTCTCCCTTCTTCCACTGTCACCCTTCTATAACCCCTTATAACTCCTCACATTCTCTGTTCTATTTCATACAGTAATACAATAATTCTCCTTCATTATTTACTTTATCTTGTTTCTAGCCCGATTTTCCCTTATTCTCTCCTTTCACTGTCTCTCTGCATTTTTCCTTGGTCCCTCTCCTATAGCCCCTAATAACCTTTCACATTCTCTTTAAATTTGGGAGGGGGGGTGCCGATTTGTACAGTATAATAATTTCTATTCACTTTCCTGAGTCAGGAAGGTCTTTGGGCTTTTTTGAAGACTAGTCCGATGGATAACAGTAGCGGGAGGGGAGGTCAATACCAGCCTATGCCCCCTATGTCTGGAATTTTAGCACAGGGGGAGATGAGACAAGGAAATATGTTGTGAGCTCACTGTGGCAACGAGCCCAAAATCTGCCCCCAGTGCCATGGCCAGAAGCACAGATCTTAAACACATTACTGACCTTACAGCTCACGCACTGACTGCCCATTGTAAGTCAACCCCCACCCATCCTTTTATTATTGCTCTATATTCACCCCCTTGTACAGTTTCTCACCATTATCCCGGCATTAGTTCTAGCAGGCTTTTTGGACTTTGTGTCTTTTTATATTGTATTTACAGAAAAATTATAAAAGTTAAAAAAGAATGCTACAAGAATATAAGTTCCTTATCCTTAGAAGGTTGCATCACTGGAAATATTGATGTCCGAAAAATCTTTCAAACATGAGTTTATACATACCAAATCAGCCATCCGGAAATCACTATGAACCCCATTTCAACCCTTACTGGGGTGTCCTCCCATCATTCAAAACAATAAAACGTCAGAGTATTATAGGTTACACACTTTCATAGCAGTATAGTGTTTTTTGACAACATCAACTGCCCGACCAATATAGTGTAGTTAAATGGCACCAACTATCAGAGCAAGAGAGACTAGTACCGTCCGTGTTACTTATAATCATAGAGTATATTTACATGCCACCAACTGCCCGATCAATATAGTGTTAATAAACAGCACCGAATATCAGAGTAAGAAAGACTAGTACCGTCCATGTTATTTATAATAATAGAGTATATTCACACTCCACCAACTGCCCGACCAATATAGTGTGATTAAACAGCACCAACTATCAGAGCAAGAAAGACGAGTACCATCCGTTTTATTTAGAGTAATAGAGTATATTCACACGCAATCAACTGCCCGACCAATATGGTGTTAATAAATAGCAACAACTATCAGAGCAAGAAAGATGAGTACCATCCGTGTAACTTATAATAATAGAGTATATTCACACGCCACCAACTGCCAGACCAATATAGTGTGATTAAACAGCACCAAATATCAGAGTAAGGAAGACCAGTACCGTCCGTGTTATTTATAATAATAGATTATATTCACACGCCACCAACTGCCAGACCAATATAGTGTGATTAAACAGCGCCAAATATCAGAGTAAGGAAGACCAGTACTGTCCGTGTTATTTATAATAATAGAGTATATTCACACGCCACCAACTGCCAGACCAATATAGTGTGATTAAACAGCGCCAAATATCAGAGTAAGGAAGACCAGTACTGTCCGTGTTATTTATAATAATAGAGTATATTCACACGCCACCAACTGCCAGACCAATATAGTGTGATTAAACAGCGCCAAATATCAGAGTAAGGAAGACCAGTACTGTCCGTGTTATTTATAATAATAGAGTATATTCACACGCCACCAACTGCCAGACCAATATAGTGTGATTAAACGGCACCATCTATCAGAGCAAGAAAGACGAGTACTGTCCGTGTTACTTAGAATAACAGAGTATATTCACACGCCACCAACTGCCAGAGTAATATTGACGTAGGCACATTGACTTGAAAGAGTGATCTAGTGCAGTCATTGTCTATCAACTGACAGAATACCCCGGAGGAGTCATAGACTGTGATCTGCCCGAGCAATTGTCGTAATCGTACACCAAACACAGTGTGTCGAGTCACTTCTTCCATAATGTGTCAAAAGCCACGATAGACTGACGTCTGCAAACTGTGCTAAGCTGTATTTATTGTAGGCAAAATGGCAAAAATCATTATCTGACGTTTTTCTCTTCATTTAAATTGACGGGATTTTGGTTCATGTGGTGTTTTGCAGACCAGCTGTCCATAAAATGAACATATTATATACTTTTCCATATATGATGTTGGCTCTCTCAGTTAATCACATGGCACAGATGGCACACAATGCCGCCATTGAAGTGGGCAGTATGTGCATGCTTTATATATGAATTTCCTATCTGATTCACCAACTTTACCCTCTAGCCAGCAGTCTGTTCCCTGAACTCTGTACTTCTCGCTTTCCCTCTCTCCTCCCCGCTCTCCCGCATCTCCATCTATCGTCCAATATAAAGGTCACAGTCTCTCTGGATTAAACTCCTTCTTTGTCTGGTTCACAATGGAAGTTTCCCTGCATCCTCGTGTCTGAGTAGATAATCATTTATTATATTGAAACAGAGCTGAAATCTCCCACATACACAGGTCAGTGGCGGGACACAGACACACACAAGCAGGGGCACCGTAATACTACCTCTACAGACAGTAAAAACAAGGGTGACAAAATGATTTCAGGAAGAGGGACTTGTGACATTCTCACTTGAAGTTCACACAGAGAGAAGGAATATTAACTGCATAAGGTCATGCAAGGAGAGGGACAGGATTATTCCTATTTTATGCGGGACGTTGCTTAGGGTAGAATTAATCAAATAAAAAAAACAAACGGCTGGGGTACAACATATCATGGTTCTAGTTATTTAATTTTTTCCGATGGATTTTCGGTTCTAAGTTAATTGGGGCGATGTTTCTAATTCTGTGTTTAGTAAATAAAGTACAAGTGGAACCTGACCTTTGTGGGTTTTAGAAAGTTCTTAATACAGGCCTAGATAAAGGCTGTAGACATGGTGAATACTATGGCAATATACCATGCTCCATATTTCTGCTCAAACATGTTCGACCACTGAAAACAAATTGTATAAAACAGGTAGACCTGTGTCACACAAATCCCATTTATTGCCGGCTGTGCATGAATGTAACCACGTTGAGATATTTCCATGGAAAAAAATCACAAGACTTGTTTGAGCGTTACTCTTTGATGTAAATTGGTTTAATGAGTCAGACTGTTGGGTCACAGTAGGTGAATTGCTTGTAGTTATATGACAGATTATAGTATGTACTAAACGAACACCCAACACAGCCCACTATACTAAAAGGGTTCTGCTATTTTGTCTTCAGATTTGAAATTAACTTTAAATTCACTTCAAATTCACTTGCCACACTAGGTCACAAGCTGGACTCAACCATTCCCGAGTGGTGATGTCCAAAGAGTCTTCTTTACATGAGCCATGAAAGAAGAGCTAGTGAGATGGTCATCGGCTAAAATATACAACTGTAGCTGACTCAAAGAATTTTTCCAATTAGCTATTGTGTCCTATAATTTGAAATGCACTTTGAATTTCTTAAATCTACACTTTAGTGGGTAACCATATGTAAGTATATGGAGATTTAGTGAGTATGCGTTTGTGGAATATTATTGGACTCATTTTTGAAGTTTAGAAATAGAGGTTGCAATCCCAGGGAAGAATTTAGTTTTAAAAATTTTTTTTTATAAAAGTGGGATAGACTGTGACCTCTTCAAAAAAAGAAGAAAACTTTCTTTTTGGCAGCCGTGTTACTCGCACAGAATGGGAGGCCAGGTGAACCAAATGTTATATTCCATCCTGGTCACAATGTTTAAGATGTTTGGTTCTTATGGTCAGTATTTGTGGCCAGAGATGACAGGAAAACTCTTTTCATGTCTCTATCCCCTTTGTTACACTTTATAGAATATTGACTATTGGAGGCAATATATGTTGATACATAATTGTACTGTCAGTATGAACAGTATTATAGAAACATAGAAACATAGAATGTGACGGCAGATAAGAACCATTCGGCCCATCTAGTCTGCCAAATTTTTTAAATACTTTCATTAGTCCCTAGCCTTATCTTATAGTTAGGATTGCCTTATGCCTATCCCACGCATGCTTAAACTCCTTTACTGTATTAACCTCTACCACTTCAGCTGGAAGGCTATTCCATGCATCCACTACCCTCTCGGTAAAGTAATACTTCCTGATATTCAATACTTCCTAGTATTATGCTTGGAATAGTACTTAATGTGTCCTGGTGATCACCGTTTGTCAATTACATTCATGTGTTTCTTTAAATAAAGAGTTAAAAAAAATAGAGCTCCAGGTTTTAATAAATTTATAAGGAAAAGTATGGACCATTTTTCCTTATATTTAGCCGTCAAGTTGACATAACTTGAGAATCGATGAAACTTAAAAAAACACTATAGTGTCTGGAATACAAACATGTATTCCTAGCACTATAATGCATGACTACCTATTTAGGTGACCAGCCCCCCTCAGTAAGGAGTTACAGATATTTTACTTACCTTTTCTCCATGGCTGCGCTGGTCTTGCCGCGGCTGGCCTCATCTCCATGGCTGAGATCATCAGTATTGATGATCTCAACCAATCCAATGCTTTCCAATAGGAAAACGCCATGCTGCGCCAGTCAGCATTTCCTTGAATCAATGCATCTCAATGGGGAGCGTTCAGCGTCTCCACGCAGTGCAGCACTAAACTAGGAAGCGCCTCTAGTGGCCAACTGAAAATGCAGCTCTTACTAAGTGCTAAGACTGCAGGGACATGCTATAGATACCAGAACTACTACATTAAAGGATCTCATTGAAGTGGTCTGGGTCTGTGTCCCTGTCCCCTTAACCATGCAATGTAAAATTTAAACTGCCGAGTCTACATTGCAGGGTTAAGACTGCCTCTAGTGGCTATCTACCAGACAACCACAATTGGTGTTTCCTGCTGTTTTTACAGAGTTTGCTTCAGTAAAATGACACTGGACGTCCTCACGCTTAGCATGAAGAATCAAAACCCCCGTAGGAAAACATTGAATTAAACGCGCTCACCTCCGCCACCCCCACGCCATTAGGGACACTTTAGCGTTAGGAGTATAGTTTTGTCTTTCTAACGCTATAGTGTTCCTTTAAGCTGTAGTGTTTCTGGTGACTATATTGTCCTTTTAAACAATATTCTGTTTCATTTGACAATTTATTAGTACAATCAATCCCACAGAAGGGCAAACAGCAGACATTATGGACAGAGGGGAACAAAATGGCTGCTCCCACATACTGATATATGGAAGGAAGAAAAAAAAATAAAGGAAGAAAAAACAATAAATTTAAATAAAGGCAAACGGTAGGAAGGGGAGAATATTCATTAAGATACAGAGAGAATAAGGAGAGGAAAATAGAAAGAAAAAAAACATGGTCCCTTTAAGTGATAACTACTGATAGCTAAGCTCATACGAATGGTCACAATGACAGGAGTGACAGAAACTTCTGATGTCAGGTGACAGGAAAGAAATATTATTATTATTATATTTATTAATAAACCGAACTTGGCCAGGGAGAGCGTCTCAGTGATGTCATTGGCTGAGGTGACCTCATTGTTCCCAGGGGAGAAGTGACATCATGGGCCTGAGGTGTGAGACAGGAAAACCAGAAGGAAATTAGACAATGAGACACGGGGCCCACCACAAGGACGCCTTTATTACGGGGGCAAGAAACGGACATGAAATCAGAGGCAGGACAATTAAGAGAGCAGTAACTCATGGAGTTTCCCTAGCATGCGCATAATGAAGTCGTGGACTACAGCTGTGGCTCTAGAACCCATCCTCTGGATACCAATAACATTCAGAACCTAAAGATAGCTCTGATTGAAGAGAGTGCAGCCAATCGAAGATAAAGTGACCACATTATCCTGTTACTAGAGGATGGGAGGACACAAAATAATCCACCTTCAAACGCTGTTTTCAAAGCTGTTTGTGTATACCCATGGCAGGGTCACCTGGGGCCTAGTCACTAAACTGATATGTACGAAGAGCCGATAAGGGAATTGAACATTTTAGACAAAACTAGCTAATTTGGAACAATTTTACAATAGTTTTCTTTTTTTAGAAAGCTCTTTATTTTGGCCTAAAATTTCCATTTCTGTTGCCAGTTCTGGCTTCACAGGAGTTTTGTAGCTATTACTAGGTTTCCAGATCACGGTTTTGGAGGACAAATATGAATGCTTCGTGATGTGGGGCTGTACATGAAAAGGGCTTCAGGTCGCATGTAGCATTCACATGCTGTAAGTGTGCAAAAACGTAATCTATTATGGCAGGGATACGAAAGAACATTTCTCCTGCAGCGTATAAATGCTACATACGGCAGGGAGGGCTTTGCAAAGTCCCTGGGCACAAAAAACCCCCTAAAACCATACATCTGAGTCCTGCAGCAACACAGGGGTTTGGCAATTCTAATTCTATTGACAGTGTCCATCATACCAGTTATGGGGCTTATTTACTAAGCATTCAAATGTAGTGAATTGAAAACTGAATCAGAATTTACTGATTAAATCCAAGAGGCAAAACGTGATTTGTGAGTAAATACATTTCAAAGACAGAAACAGAAAACACGGTTTGTTTTTACATCGGACAGTGATCGGACAGGGACTTTTGGTGTTTATTATGCCTACATTAGTGCAAAGTATCGTCTCTATATGTTGCTCAATGTATCAGATAGCAGCCCTATACTGCCACCTAGCGACTATAATAAGAAAATGACAACAAAGATTAAAAGGGATTTGATTTGTTTGTTCAGCTGAAATTCATTAATGCACAAGTCTAATGACTACCCCAAGACAGTGATTGTTAAAAGACCTCTAAAGCACCATAACAACTTCACTAAGATGAAGCTGTTAGAGTGCCTGGCGCGATCCATTAAAAGCAATGATCTGTGTGTCCCAGTTTGCATGCTCTCTTACACGATCCTCTGTTATTCAACTGCCTCTTTAATGGAGCCAACTGAGAAAAGTCCCCAAACTTCGCAGCTAGATTGTCTAATTTTGCCAGTATGACACCGTATCTACATAGTGTGCACTGGGAGCTCTGGGCTTTACGTCATTAGACTGTAAGCTCGTTTGAGCAGGGTCCTCTTCAACCTATCGTTTCTGTAAGTTTTCTTGTAATTGTCCTATTTATAGTTAAATCCCCCCTATCATAATATTGTAAAGCGCTACGGAATCTGTTGGCGCTATATAAATTAATAATAATTAGTGATGTGCAATGTGGGTTAATGTCTCTCAGTAATGATAAACTGGATTTCCCAGCCGTCATGCAGTCAGAGTATCATGGGATAGTTTACAAACAGACGGATTGCCAAGGCTATCTATCACTGCCCTCGCATTAATTGGTTTCCATCCTAACTAGAGCTCCGAGGGATACAAGTGCAGATTAGATGCAAATATGGGGTAAAATTCAGCTCGAAATAGCATAAAGTAAATTTCTACATAAAAAGCAAAAGGATGGACTGGTTAGATTAAAGTGGTGCAACATTTTGCTTTCCTTTTCTTGTACACAGAATCGAATGCATTTACTGCAAAATGATCAAGTTAGGAAAATATCTCGTAATTGATCCACTTTGAGATTGTTTTTTCTAACTCGGTTATTTTGGTCCCAGTTTTTACAAGCTGATCGTCAGCTCGTGACAATTCACTGTTTAGTGAATAAGTCCTTTTCGAACCTGAATGACGCAGAGCAGCAGTGATTTCAGTACAGCCAGGGCATTGGTGATTGTATCGCTGAATTCCTGTGTTCTGTTACAGAACTAAATATGCCGGATGACGTGCCTGGTTTGGCTCATATCTACCCATGATTTGGTAGAGTAGGTAGTGAGTGATTATAGAACTCATATCCCCCATTAACGTAAACACCAGTAGTGAGCATACTTTTCTATCGGTTATGGTTTCTTTGTACCAATGGTTTCCAGTACGGATCATTGGTATCTATTGGGTATAAGGGACTTTCAGGGTTATTCACTAAAGTCTGAATGGCCACTAACCAAATGGGTCAAAACCATCCGGCTGCATTGAAGACATGGAGAAGCTGGGGGAGCAAATGGGACACTTGGAGAGGCCGAGGAGGGGGGAAATGGGAGATATGGAGAGGAAATGGGACACTTGGAGAGGCTGGGGAGGAGGGAAATGGGAGATATGGAGAGGCTGGGGAGGGGGGAATCTGCCTGTTAAATAAGTAGTTATTTTGGACTTAATCACATGAATAAATTGTGTACAACTCCATTGTAATCTCTAATGGAACCTTGAGGAGCCTCATTTTTAACATACAGGGTCCGCCCCGGGTGCCAAATGCTGTTTGTAGGCTCTTTGCGCTACATCTTCCAGTATCTGTGTCAGTGCTGTACTTTTGCTCATGCACACTAGAGTACAGCACAGAGGTCTATGGAGGCTCCGAGTTCTGGGATTGGATGAACGTTAAAAGCAGAGTTCTGCCTTTTGTAAATCTCAGGCCTTTACTATAAAAGAAAAGAATCCTACTTTGTGCTATGGAATCTTTGAATTGTGTTGGAATTTCAGTGACATTCCACCATAGTCAGCATTAGTATTTATTAATACAGTGAATAAGAAGTGTCATGCAGGCTCTCTTGCTAGGATGGAGGGTTATTAAATCGTGTTCCAGATGCCATACTATTTGCTGTGCAGACGTTTGTTCAGAATAAAACGTGAAGAACACAAAGCAGTGTTTATTAATCTGCTGTTGAGTTACATCAGAAGGAAATCAGTTAGCGCACATATTAATTACATTCCGAAGCTTACAGTTAGCACAGATCACTGGGACAGTAGGATAATGAAAAGGAAATGAACAATAGGAACAGTCAGGGCCAGTTTACAGTCATGCGGAACACACACCAACTGTAGAACTGAATTCTTTTATATCCTGCTGTCCATTTAAACCTTCATCATCCAGATCATTGTCAATTTAAACATTTTTAGCTTCCATTATATCAACTTCAGAGGCCTCTGCCAATTTTAGCACTCTCCATTAAACATATCTCTACATTCACTTATTTCCAGATTAATAAATGTATCTACGGGATGCATATTGCATCTTTTCCTATCTGAAGAGTCCTATGTCCTATATCCAAAAGGTGCCATCTGAGTCCTAATTGTATCAGGTGTCAGAGAGGCAACTCCATCTCCAGCGTCACTGGGGTGTCATTAGACTGCTTGCGATGGCTAATGACAGTTCTTGCACATTGGATACTAGTCATCAGCACGTACAGCATGCTGGCAGCAGGCGCCATATGGCCGCACGCCTCCTCCAAGTCCTTCCTTCAGCCTGTTCTCCCCTACCACCTTCTCCTGGCAGCTAGGGGGATTGACATTAGAGGAGGAGGCTTTGGCTGAAGGAAGAACTTGACTTCGTTGCTGGAACATGGGTCATTACATGCTTTTCTGTAAAAAAAATTTAACCAGCAGGGGGAGCAGGGTAAGATAGGGTTTCTCGAACCGTGATTGGAATAACCCTTTAATTGATATGAAGTTGTTTTGAAGAAGGAGAGTCCCTTTAAGTCGTGTAATATTCAGAGATTTGTTTTGCAAACCATTTTTACTCCATGCAGAAGGGATTATATCTTTACCTTTTGTGACATTTTGCCCTTTAAATTGTAAACTAAACTGAGCAGGTCCCTCATTACTGCCCTCAAACATCCCGTTGCAATAAATGGTCTCTTCACCCATTGTTTAACACTGCGCACAATATTGTTGTTTTACAAGTCAGAATAATACACACGACAAGCAATAGTTAAATGACTCTTGCGTTTGGGCTGGAATAAGAATGCCAGGAGTTTGAGAAAAATGATTTTTTTTTTGTTCTTGTTTTCAGTTGATGTCTAACTGAGGACTTAACTAATATTTGCTTTTTTCCACTTGATTTCTGCAATACCACATGATCAGTTCCAGTAAACGCTCTGTGTGAACTCAAGGGGGAGGGGGAAGGTTTTGGAAAAGGGTCTATCCAAGTCTGCAGGGAGCAACTGAACCTCAGCAAGTTTTTGGAATAAAATGTCGGATTTTATTATATAACCAAAGGGGAGGGATACGAAGATATATTAAACAATACATTATTACAACAAATACATAACATTTCTTACGTGCTGTTACATTAAAATTAAGATACTAACATTTCTAACCTAGAAAGAGCAGAGATATTCAGGGAACATTTCAAGGAACGGTTAGTACCAGGGGAAGAAAGTCTCAACCTTGGAGGAATTTCTGAAATTAGGCAATCTGGATGATTGTTTACCTTTCTGAGCTACAGTTATTTTCTATGATATTAACACTTGAAGAATTTATATTTAAATAACATCTTCCCACAAGGCTGTGTTTCACATGTCTGTGCGTGCATCTTGGATGTCATGAGAAAGACAGGATGGGATTGCTGGTATAAAACATCCGCACCAGGCTGAGATATTAGGGTTTAATATCGGTGGCAGGTTCTTCTGTAGTCCTGTACTGGTGTTTTGTAAATCACAGGAGCTGTGCCAGGTGTTAGGAAATCACTAATGGTCAGCATATTGCCAAACTATGCAAATTCCCAAAAGGATTGGGTAATTGGTTAGAAAATAGCAAAACAAAAAAGGCAATAATTCATATAAACCTCCAGCGTGAAGAGTATGAAAGATTGTACACCCATAGGAAAATATTGCTGAAGTTCTCGTTTAGGCATGTGCAATTCATTTTGTTGCAAATTCAGACAAATTCAGCAATTTGGAAACTTCAAAATTTTAAAATTCTTTAAAAACCAAAACTAACTGAAACCGAACAAATTCAGGACAAGTCTAAACAAATTATTCCAGATCTACAAGGATCCGTTTGGATAGAAAATTAAGGACTTGTCTACTAAGCAACTTAAACAGCAAAATTAAGAAACCTGACTTTGTCTGACTTTGTCTGAATTTAGCTTTTTCAGCTGTTTAGTAGACAAGTCCCTAATTTGCTATCCATGGGTTGGATTGTCATAAATAAGGACATTAAATTAGGGATTTATCTAGCAAGCAACTCAAGCAAATTTGAGAAAAACTATTTTTCTTTTTTTTTTTTGCTCTTGAGCTGTTTTGAGCAGTTTTACTGAAAATTGTCATTTTCAGTAAAGAAAATTAGGGCCATATCTGCTAAACAACTGAAAAAAAGCAAATTTAATTTACATAATTGAATAAAACAGTGAGATATTGAAAAAAAATGTATATTAAAGATTTAGTAAATAACATTGTAATCTCGTTCAAACAAGGCAAAGCCAGGGAAGAGGAGAAATAGTAACAAAATGCAAAATATGAGCTTACAACGAGAATTGACAGAGAGCTAAAACGGCAGAAAAAAATACAATTTGTTAAAAATAAGGATTAGTAAACATCATATTAAATATCCCGGGAAGTGATAGCACCCTTTCAGGATCTGGACTACAAAGATGAGATGAAGGCCTGCAAACTAGAGGAAGTGGGGTTAAGCAAACTCCCAGAGAGTTGCATGAAGAATTACAAAAGTACAAAGTCTGCTGCTACCAGGAACTAAGAAACTTGTGCTCTATATATATTCCCAGTGGGGTAGTAAAGCACTTTGTTCTGATTATGTTGTGTGTACTGAAATGGCTCTCTCAATAAGAAGTATTAGGCTTATTTATCATTACAAGAGGGACATGCAAGGGGTCATTTAACCAGGCTATTTGATTTATTTACATGATAGTTTGTGTGTCATTGCCTACTTAAGGTTATGATGTACAGATATTTTACACATTACACACTACCCTGTGTAACGGATCACCTGGCACCCCGACTGGGTACCTCCGTTGAAGGATGCTCCTAGCGCTTCCTGAGGACTCCAAGCACTGCAGCAGACACCACAACCACCGAACCGGAGAAGCATTTGAATGCTCTCAAGCATATGAATGCTGTAAGCAGCTGAACAGGAAAAGCCTACAATCAGTTTACACTCCTGGCAATCAGCATACAATCCAATTCCCCCAATAACGAAACGACACTTCGTTTTGAGGTCAAGCAGAACTGACTGTACTGGCACATACATCCTCTTTTATTCCCAATCCACAAACATAGCACTGCCCACAGGGTTTTGAAATACAACCAATCAATCCGTACAATACACACAGACACTCCCACACAAAATCCTCCCCTTTGCCTGTGATATGATTACTGAACACAATGGGTAATATAATTGTCACAGACAGAGAAATACAGTTTTATAAAACATATCACAGGGACCCCAAAACATGCAATAACCCCACAAAAATATCCTCGGAACCGGGGGATCTGGGTGAACCACATATCCAAAATTCACCCAGATCCGTTCAGTAGTTTGGAAGATACAGTTTAATGCAGATTCCGCAGAACATATACAGATTATATAAAAAAATTATTACTGTCTACTGTGTCCCCTGTTGTATAGTTTAAAACTACTGCACGATGTCTTTGTGCACCAAATACCGGCAAGATGGCACCGTGTAGAAAAGTCACAACAGTGTCTGTGAGTTAAAATGGCCGCCAACCATTGTTCTCACCATATGCTTCATCCATTGTTCTCACCATGTGCCTCTGATACATGAAATGATGGCCACCCAGTAACTCCACAGTATGTCCCCAGATGGTTCTTAAAGGGCCAGTAGCAGCATAATACAATACAACATGCCCAAATCCTGTATTTAAAGGGTCAAATCTCCCAGGGGCCATAGTCAGCAGGCAGGAGGCGGGCAAACAGGCTTCTCCAATGCCCAGTGGCGAGGTTGGTTCCGCCACACCCTGTTCATTTAAATAAATGGCAGCTTTATAAATACGATCTAGTTTCTTATTTCTCTAATCTAATAATAAGAAATGTTATATATTAATATAGTGACATAGTTTTCCATGTTTTTCGGGGTGTTAAAGGGAAAGTGTCACTTTTAATATCATGTTTACCTATCCCAGTTTATAACATAAATATATTTGTGAGGGCTGAAAAGAAAAAATGAAATTTAGAAATGCACACTGCAGCCCATTTTTCTACACTGACAATGCACTTGTTCCTTTTATCTTGTGGAGCTGATCAGTACCCTTCATGCCTTATGTATATTAATGTCTCACTGATATTAAAATGGAAAATGTATTGAAAAATTATTGAATTTATTTAAATCTGTCAAATCTGCTTCAGATCTGCTTCTGACGACTCCATCTTGGCTGCCTGTCAATCATTGTTATAAGCTCCGCCCTTCTCACCTGGCAGCCAGTCAGCATAAAGACATAACAGAGACAGAGGAGGAGACCCAGAAACAATGTATCTCTTTCTACTTCTATGTTACATGTGCCTTGGCTGTGCCAGGACCAAAATGGATTGTGATGTCAATTGATAAATATTTTTAACATACATTTAAAAGGAAACATACATCACTCTAGTTATGGGTAATATTCAATGTTTTATGCAATGGAGTCATTCCCTGAGTAGTCATGATTTTGTCTAATTTATTGGACAGAGCTATTCTTTTCAACCAGTATTGTTTGTTCCCCATTTTATTTTTGAAATCAGTAAATACATTTCCCCTTCTCAATTGGACAGGAACACCTCCTAAATAAAAGAGACTCCCCCCATACCCCCTCAGTCCTTTTTTCCTGTCCACTTCTCAGGTACAGTGTAGGTTGCATCTCCTAAAATTTTCTTTTGTGACTTATTTGTGTCTAATTGTACCCCTGGCCCATGGGGAGTTCAGCCTCTCTTCCCATGGAAGCCTCAGGACACGGCGCCTCACCAAGGGTGACCCCCTGGAGGATTCTCCCCTTAGCGACCGGGGAGAATCCTCCAGGGGGTTACCTATAGGTAGCAGCTGGATGTGCCAGACCCATGGAGGTGGTAATTCCCACAGAAGGGTTCACCTACTTGCTGCAAAAAAATTGGGCTTCTTGGCTTTCCCAATAAAGATGGCCTGCCCTATCCTCAGGATGTAAGTGGCAATGGATTAAGAACTTCCGTCTTTTTCGGCCTATCTTTTCCCTCTCTCCAGCAGTGGAACGCAGGTGGAATGCATGCCAGAGGAAGGCCAGCAGCAGGGGGATTTACTTCCTGGTTCGGCATCCTATATTTAATGGGTAAGCACCTCTATTCTGTCAGTATGCTGTTTGATGTATCTCTGCATAACTGGATTAAACTTCTGTCTTCTGGCTGCAGGTAAGTGACATTTCTTGTCCTTTTATTATAATTTCTCTATTCCCCAGTCCTTTTTCAAGGCAATAATTGGTTGCTGGAAATTCTAATTTTCTATGGATTCCCCCGGTCAGGCTTCGAGAAATAGGTCGCAATCTAGAGGTTTTGAGTAAGGCACTACAAAAATATTAAAGACACAATACTATAAAAAAAAAAAAAAAGAGTGCATTTCAGACTTCTGACTGGAGGATTTTCAGTACTGCCCACAAATCCTCATACAAGAAAAAGAAGGATAAGACCCCCTTATGTGAAGCTTGTGACGACAAGGTGCTTCCTGGGAAAAGGCTCTGCTTAGCTTGTCTTAAAGCAGCGGCAGGCCATACTGAACCAGATCTAGATGTTCTTTCTTACATGCGTCAATCAGTTTCAGAGGGTCTTCGACAGTCTGAGAGGGCTAAAAAAAGACGTAGATCTTTTAGCCCAGAGGAATATGCTGACTTAAGCTCTGACGAATATGTACCTCTAGTATTTGAGCAAGACGAGTTGTCATCTCAAGATGAAGAATATGGGGCCTCTCCTGTCTTTATAGACAGTGTGAAAATAGAAGCTTTAGTCAAGGCAGTTCGTGATACCTTAATGATAGCTTAAAGGACCACTCTAGGCACCCAGACCACTTCAGCTTAATGAAGTGGTCTGGGTGCCAGGTCCTTCTAGGGTTAACCCATTTTTTTTATAAACATAGCAGTTTCAGAGAAACTGCTATGTTTATGAATGGGTTAAGCCTTCCCCTAATCCTCTAGTGGCTGTCTCATTGACAGCCACTAGAGGCGCTTGCGTGCTTCTCACTGTGATTTTCACAGTGAGAGCACGCCAGCGTCCATAGGAAAGCATTGTAAATGCTTTCCTATGCGACCGGCTGAATGCGCGCGCAGCTCTTGCCGCGCGTGCGCATTCAGCCGACGGGGCGGAATGGAGGAGGATCGGAGGAGGAGAGAAGGAGAGCTCTCCGCCCAGCGCTGGAAAAAGGTAAGTTTAAACCCCTTTCCCCCTTCCAGAGCCGGGCGGGAGGGGGTCCCTGAGGGTGGGGGCACCCTCAGGGCACTATAGTGCCAGGAAAACGAGTATGTTTTCCTGGCACTATAGTGGTCCTTTAATGATAAGAGAGAGGAGGAACCAGCTTCTAGTAAGTATTTTGCTGACCTGAGAAGGCGCAATCCTACTTTCCCATTGCATGAGACCATTGAGGACCTCATTAAGCAAGAATGGAAGAAGGCTGAAAAAAGAATCACTATTCAGGGTCGTTTTTCTAAACTATACCCTTTTAAGGCTACGGACAGTAACCATTGGCACCTTGCCCCCAAAGTAGATGCAGCAATTGTTCGACTAGCCAAAAAGACCACCCTCCCATTGGATGATGCCGGTACTTTAAGAGATCCAATGGATAAATGTATGGACTCAAATTTGTCCAAAGCCTATATAGCCTCTGGCTCTGGGATTCGTCCTGCTGTAGCCTTGACATCTGTCTCTAGGGCCTTGAAGCAGTGGATGGATGACCTCAAAGAGGACATATCAAGTGGAGTCAGTAGATCCAGGCTGCTGGAATCCTTAAGTAAAATTAAGCTGGCTATTGATTTTTCATCAGAAGCTTCTATAGATTTGGTTAAAACCATCTCCAGAAGCATGATCCTTACTGTAGCATCAAGACGTGCTCTTTGGCTACGTAATTGGGTAGCAGATAATTCTTCAAAAAATAGCCTATGTCCCCTCCCCTTTCAAGGAGAGATGCTCTTTGGCAAATATCTGGACGAATGTATCAAAAAGGCAGTAGAAGGATGTAAGGCCTTTCTTCCTCAAGATAGACGTCCTAAAAGATCCTTTCCACAGGAAAGACGTTCCTTTCGGAACAAGGACTTTAGACAATACAGACCTGGTAGAGAGTTTTCCAGATTCCAATCCTGGAAAAGTGGACTCTCCTCTTCCAAAACCACCCGAGGACAGGGTGGCAATGGCAAGCCTTCAAAGCAATTCTGATGGAATGCCAGTCCAACACTTGGAAGTGGGAACAAGACTTCACTTCTACGAGGTCTGGGCTCCAGCAATACAGGACAAGTGGGTTTTAAAGACCCTAAAATCTTGCTACTACCTGGAATTCTTGACAAACCCTTATCCCCGGTTTATGTCTACAAGCATGCCTATGGAAACAGAGAAACCAGTGGCCATTAGGTCTTTTGTTTCTTCCCTTTCAGCAGAGGGAGTTATATGTCCTGTTCCTCCAAAAGAAAGAGGATTGGGGGTTTATTCCAGACTTTTTCTCACTCCAAAAGCATCAGGGGAGTGGAGACCAATTTTGGACCTTCCCGAATTAAACGAAAATCTGTATGTGAGGAAATTCAAGATGGAATCAGTAAGTTCCATTATAAAAGTCATCTCCCCAGGCGACTGGTTAATCTCGATAGACCTTCGAGACGCTTACTTTCACGTTCCTATTCCTCCACCACACCAGAAGTTCCTGAGATTTGCGATTCACCATTAGCATTTTCAGTTTCGAGCCCTTCCCTTTGGCCTGAGCACAGCTCCCAGGACTTTCTCAAAGATCCTGGTTGCCTTAATAGCCTATATATCCGTCTGGAAGGCATCTCAATATTCCATTATCTCAACGACATCTTGATTCTCTCACACAGCAGAGATATTCTCCTTCTTCATCGAGATCGGGTTCTTTTAATTCTTCAAAAATTTGGATGGTTGGTAAACCTCAAGAAGAGTCAGCTTTCCCCCTCTCAAGTTATGATATAGTTAGGGGCACGATTCGACACAATCCAGTCACAAGTCTCCCTATCTTTGGACAGGGGGCTTCGTATTCAATCAAAAATCCTTCGTCTTTTGCCTGTGAACTCCATCCAGGCCCGGGAATTTATGAGCCTTCTGGGAAGTTTGTCCTTTACAATAGGCCTTACGAGATGGGCCCAGTGGCATATGAGGATTCCACAAGAAGGGTTTCTATCCCAGTTTGCGAACAAGGATCTGAATCAAGCAATCTCTTTATCATCAGAGATCAAGAAGGAACTGGCATGGTGGCTGATGAACGAGAATCTATATCAAGGGTATCCTCTGAACGATATCCCTTGGGTTACTCTCACGACGGATGCATGCCAATCAGGTTGGGGAGCTAATTTGGGCCTTCTTCATGTTCAGGGGCAGTGGGAAAACAAACAGTATCCTCTATCCTCAAATGTTTTAGAGTTGCAAGCAGTCTTCCAGGCCCTTCTGCACTTTCCTTGTCTGAAACAAAGTTGGGTGAGAGTAAGGTTAGACAAAAGCTCTGCAGTTGCTTACATCAATCATCAGGGGGGTACAAAGAGCAAACGCTTAATGAAAATGTTGACCCCACTTATGTCCTGGTCAGAGAAGAATTTGAAGGGGATCAAGGCAGTTTACCTTCCGGAAAAGAACAATCAAGTGGCGGGTTTCTTAAGCCGAGTAACCCTGGATCCCACAGAATGGGAGTTGGCCCCTCTGGCATTCCAAAGCATAGTCCAGAAGTGGGATTTTCTTCAGGTAGGTCTGATGGCCACAGCGAAGAATCGCAAAGTGGGAAGGTTCTTCTCGCGTTACTTCGACCCTTTGGCGGAAGACCAGGATGCTCTCTGTTGCGAGTGGAAGTTCCATCTGGGGTATGTTTTTCCCCCAACTCCTCTGATTTTCCCCCTGCTAAGAAGGATCCTGCAGGAGCAAGCGACAATTCTCGCAGTGATTCCCTTCTGGCCCAGGCGGCCTTGGTTTCCCCTGCTGCAGAAACTCTCTCAGGACATTCCTCTGAAATTCCCAGATCAACTCTCCTACAACAAGGTCCGATCTCTCACCCATCTCCTCAGTCTCTCAATTTAAGGGCTTGGAAATTGAGAAGCAACGTCTCTCCAGCAAAGGCTTCTCTTCTTCAGTAAGTTATACTCTTCTGAATGCCAGGAAGAAACCCACTCCTTCAGCTTACTATCGTATTTGGGACATCTTCTGTAGCTGGTGTTTGGCACATAATATTTCTCCTTTATCTCCCAGTATCTGTGACATCCTTACATTTTTACAGGATGGATTTGGCAAGGGTTTGAGTCTCAGCTTCCCTAAAAGTGCATACTTCAGCGATCTCTGCTCTGTTGGATCGGAAATTGACATTTGATCCAGATATTGCTAGATTTTTTTGTCAAGCCATTCTCATGCTTCGCCCTCCAGTACGGTCTTGCTTCCCTCCTTGGGATTTACCTCTGGTTTTACAGGCCTTATCTGATTCTCTGTTTGAGCCCTTGTGGAGTATTTCTATACTTACTCTTACGTTGAAAACCGTTCTGTTGGTTGCCTTGACCACAAGTAGAAGAATCTCTGATCTAAGCGCTCTCTCCTGTGAGTCTCCCTTTTTGATTCTTCAGGAAGACCGAGTGATCCTTCGGACGATTCCAGCTTTCAGACCCAAGGTGGTCTCTCAGGACATAATTTTGCCAGCCTTTTTCCCTCATCCCTCATCGGAAGAAGAAGAGAAATGGCATCGTTTGGATCTGGTGCGCTGTTTATCTACATACCTGAACCGGACTTCAGACATAAGGAAGACATCTAGACTGTTCATTATTCCTTCAGGTTACAAGAAGGGTCAAGCTGCTTCTTCATCTAATATTGGCCGATAGATCATCTCAGCCATTGGTCAGGCCTACTCAGCCTCCGGAGTTCCTGTCCCTCAAGGCCTTAGAGCTCATTCTACCAGATCCTTGGCCGCTTCTTGGGCAGGTGCAGCCAACATTTCTGCGGATCGCATTTGTTCAGCAGTAACATGGTCCTACTTCAACATGTTTATCCATCACTATCAATTGGATGTAGTGCGTTCATCTACCACAGAATTTGGTAGAAGTGTCCTCTCTGCTGCCTTATAGTTTATTGATCAATAAACCGTATTTGCATGGATTTATGCGTTGTGGTTATTATTCTCCCTCCCTTACTCCTTTCAGCTTGGGTATAACCCATACGTAGTGCTGCCATGGATATATCCGGGGAAAACAGAAAATTTATGCCATACTTACCAATATTTTCTTTTCCCGGATATATGCCATGGCAGCACTGCGATCCCACCCTCTTCTGAAATCATGTGTTGTTTCGTGGCTTTAAACTAAGACTGAGTGGGTATAAGGGGGAGTCTATTTTATTTAGGAGTTGTTCCTGTCCAATTGAGAATGGAAGGAGCTATACCCATACGTAGTGCTGCCATGGCATATATCCGGGAAAAGAAAATATCGGTAAGTATGGCATAAATTTTCTGTTATCCCATGATTAAAGACAGGTGTATAGATCTCTATTGACATTATTGCACAACTAGCTTTTTTTAGACTGCTTCAGCGGTTCCCAAAGAATGTTCCTTTCACTTTCAATTCCTGCTGTGTTTGGAAATTTAAACTCTGATTCCCCTTCTCCCTCCCCTATTGCATTCAGTCTCTCCCTTATCTCTTGGCCCATCCTCCCCAATATATTTATTTATCCATCACTCTCAAAGCCAGTCTGCCATTCCTCCTTCTCTCTACAGGGATGGCGAGACCCCTTCTCCTGTGCTGCCTTGTGTGGGCAGCCATATTTTCCATGACAGCAGGACAATCACCCAAGTGAGTACAAAACCCAGAATACACCTTCATTACCCCATCACCCTTCTCATTGTGTTCTATTTCTACTCATTCAGTTCCCCTCCCCCATTCTTTAACATTTACCTTCCCAACAATTGTACTTTTAAACTCATATTATAAGTAATATTAAATTAATATAGTATCATAAACTAAATCTAACCCATTATACCCCACTTGGATACCATAATTAAAACGTTCAATGTAACTGTCTGTGAGTGTCTGTTCTCGTCTTTCTTTTATCATTATATATAATTCATATCTAAACTCATAGATATCCACAGACTCTTTCTTTCTCGTCCACATTATTTATTTCTTAGTTCACTGCATTATTCCATCTTTCTTTTATTTTTACTCTCACCCTTTCATTTTTTCACTGTGTTTTTTGGCAACCCTTTAGCTTCCTGGTTGTGGCCCCCCGATTGATGCATGTGGGGGTTGAAGAAACAGTCTGGGTGCAGCTTGAGTGGCCACCAGGCTCAAAGCAAACCCCCGGTGATGTAAAGGTGGAGATCTTCCTTCGGAATCAGATTACTACACAGAGTTGTTCAAAAAAAGAGATCATCATGCTGAACAACCGGAATGATTTCACAGCTTCAAAAACCCTGCAGGTGAGAAAAATGTGAAAAAATACCCAAAACACACACAAAGAATTATAGCGGGCCATTTTTAGGGGCATCTAGGGCGACTGTGATACTCTAAGAATAATAAAAAAACAACAAAGGGTTAATATTGAATGCCTGCAGAAGTAGTAGTAGGGCATCAGTAATGGGGGAAAGTATGCAAATAAATTATGCAAACAATACAAAGATTGGATTAAAGGTTTAGAATTCCTGAGCCAGTTCAAGTTTAGGAGATTTATTGTGGTAAACATTTATCCTAAAGGATATGCTCTCTGTCCTTATTCTATGCTATGTTTAGTTATTTAGATTGCAAAGCGTGAGAGCAGAAATGGGTAAAACTCAATAGGAAAATATCACTGCGTGTTTGTGTGTGTGTGATTGTTATATATGTATATAGTTAATACAATGTTGAACAAAAATTTGCACACCAGTCAAGCCATAAGACTCGCTTTTACCACAGAAATCACACATTTGCAGTGATGTTACTACCGCAGCTTTGAAACACAACTTGCCAGTAAATATATATAAATGTAGATGGTACTTCTGAAACCTACATTTAAGAATTAAATCAATATGATTCCTGGTGCCTGGTGCTTAATACAGGTTAAAATAAACTCACATAAAATGATGGTACGGTTGGGATTTTTTTTTTTAACAAAAAAAGCTGACATTTTATTTGTCAGTGTTTCAGTGCTATAAACCACTTTCATTAGGACAACATTAATATTTTCATAGCACGTTTATACCTTTTACAATAAACAAGAAACAAGTACTCACCTCCAAAAGCTCAACGTGCCCATAAAAATTGGCACGCAGCCAGCCCACCTGAGGACTTGGGAGTGTCCCCCCACCAAAGTCTGAATTCATGGCGGTTTGTGTGCCTGCTGGTTTCCTTGGCATCGAGACACTGTCTGCCCAAGCAGGGATTAGAAAAAAAGTATTATTTCACAATCCAGTGAAAACAAAATAGCAATCTATTGTAAAAAGCAACCCAACACTAGATTCTACATCAATTAATATAGATGGTATTATCATATACCAATACAATTATTAAAAAGCCAATAATGACCCTTGATTGTTAAATATTTTGCTTGCTAAGTGAATGCAGACATGGTGAAAGGTTCAGCTGTTCAAACCAAACATTAGAATAGGGAAGAAATACTTTGAAGTGTCATTGGTGATGGAATGAAGGTTAGTGCCGAACGAGGAGGTCAGAGTATCTCATGAACACAAACAACAGTCTGTAGAGTATATGGAGAATGGTGCATAAACAAACACATACAAAGAAAAGCAAACAAACAAACAAACAGGAATGTGACTGAGTGGGAAGCAACTGTGCAATACTATCATGTCGACATATACTAGAATAGACCAAAATTTAGGCTTTTCTGGAGTCCCAGTGGACTTTTACCCACTATAAGAAAGGCCGAAAAAGTGGTCACTGGGTGTAGATTGCAGTATTGTTTATAGATTGAGTGTTATGTCTTAGCATGTAAATACTGACAAATAACAAATAAACAAGTTAACGGCACCAATGTCACAATTACTGCTAATATAAATAGTATTTTAGTAGTAATTGTGACATTGGTGCCGTTAACCCTGTGTGAGTGTGTGAGTTTTTACATTTGTATCTTTATAATTGTGTTAATATACTATATACACTTTTAAAAAAAATAAAGGGAACACAAAAATAACACATCCTAGATCTGAATGGATTAAATATTCTTCTGAAATACTTTGTTCTTTATATAGTTGAATGTGCTGACAACAAAATCACACAAAAATTTAAAAATGGAAATCAAATTTTTCAACCCATGGAGGTCTGGATTTAGAGTCACACTCAAAATTAAAGTGGAAAAACACACCACAGGCTGATCCAACTCTGATGTAATGTCCTCAAAACAAGTCAAAATAAGGCTCAGTAGTGTGTGTGGCCTCCACGTGCCTGTATGACCTCCCTACAACGCCTGTGCATGCTCATGATGAGGTGGCGGATGGTCTCCTGAGGGATCTCCTCCCAGACCTGGACTAAAACATCTGCCAACTCCTGGACAGTCTGTGGTGCAATGTGACAGTGGATGGAGTGAGAGATGATGTCCCAGATGTGCACATTTGGATTCAGATCTAGGGAACGGATGGCCCAGTTCATAACATCAATGCCTTCGTCTTGCAAGAACTGCTGACACACTCCAGCCACATGAGGTCTAGCATTGTCTTGCATTAGAAGGAACCCAGGGCCAACCGCACCAGCATATGGTCTCACAAGGGGTCTGAGGATCTCATCTCGGTACCTAATGGCAGTCAGGCTACCTCTGGCGAGCACATGGAGGCCTGTGCGGTCCCCCAAAGAAATGCCACCCCACACAGCTCGCATTGATGTACCATCCTGGATGAGCTGCACTACCTGAGCCACTTGTGTGGGTTGTCGACTCCGTCTCATGCTACCATTAGAGTGAAAGCACCGCCAGCATTCAAAAGTGACCAAAACATCAACCAGGAAGCATAGGAACTGAGAAGTGGTCCGTGGTCACCACCTGCAGAACCACTCCTTTATTGGGGGTGTCTTGCTAATTGCCTATAATTTCCACCTGTTGTCTATCCCATTTGCACAACAGCATGTGAAATTGATTGTCACTCAGTGTTGCTTCCTAAGTGGACAGTTTGATTTCACAGAAGTGTGATTGACTTGGAGTTACATTGTGTTGTTTAAGTGTTTCCTTTATTTTTTTTGAGCAGTGTATATTGTTTTATGGTTGACCCTCTGGGTACAGGCGACTGCGTGCTGGGCCTGGCTGGAGAGATGGATGATATAGGCTTCAGTATCTTAATTTCAGTCCAAGACAAACATTAGTATAAGTACACGAGTGAGGAAGATGTGCACTCTGTCAGAAAATGCTGGGTGCAGTGTCCCATATTCCCAAATAAACACACATAGAAGAAATCAACCTGGGTTCTTGGATAAATCAGAAAGAAACCAGGCTGGTACTGCGCTTAAAATGAGGTTCATTAGTATTCCACATAACTACCAACTGTGGATGTTCCTGTCCTGCTGTCCTGTTTTTTTCTCCTAATGTCCTATTTCTGGTGACAGGAGAGAAAAGTCTACATAAAGTGATTGAGAACGTTCTGTCCATAAGAGATGACAGCAGTAGCATTCTGCACATGGTACTCCCTATTTGGCTAGCTGTTATGCTGGAATGACAGCCTTTTTACTTTCCAGAGCATCACCAGAATAATGTCACTGGCATGACCCCATGCTGGCCCAACCACATCCATCCTGACGTCATACTCCTAAATATAGGCACCTATGTAGCATGGTGATGTCCTACCAGGAGTCTAAAGCAGAGAAGCTTTTCTCTTGTTAAGGTTGAGCAATTGGGTTTGGATATTTCTATAATCCTCCAGTGTCAGGGCATAATAATGTGACAAATCATATTATACAGCACTTTGGCACTTTAGAATACACTGCTAGTGGTTAATTAATTATACTCATTGGTGGAATATCTTATTAGTGTAGTAGTGTGCTTTGCATTGTTTTATCAATTGTATTTTTATAATAATACACCAGCATTCACTCAGTGACTATATCCCTACTATTAGGTATGGTCAAGGTCTTGCCTCCCGTCTAACTCTGTGTGTCCCAACCTCTGTCCCTCGATCTTCATTCTTAAAATGTTCATGTTCTCTGTAAACCTAGCTCACCCCTCAGCTGCTGAATACCTGCCAGTTGGACAAAATGAAGAGTGACAGATACGTGCAGTTGGTTGCAAAAATGGAAACTGTATTTGGGAAAGATGCAAAAGTGGTCAACATCCCAGTGTCCTATAAAAGAGGATACATATTTATACAGACAGACAAAAGTATCTATACTCCAAAACAAAAAGGTGAGCCTACTAAAACTTTGGTGTATGACTTATATTGGTATATTGCCCAGTCAGAAGTCTATTACATTTTTAAGCTTTCATTTCAGAGAAACACTCCCATAAGAATATGGGGTAGAGTGAATAGAGTTGTCCCACCAATAACATGTCTAGAAAAATAATATCCATCTTTATAAGAGATACGTTATTCTCTACATATGTTTCAGGATTTACATAGACCTCATTGGGAAGTTACCTCATTTCGTTATTGAGAGACAGATGTATTCAGTCGTCAGATGACCCATTGATTTATAAAACTGTTCCATCATTGTTTGGTGTACCTGACAAAACTCCATCAGGTAGCACAGGCCAGATCTAGACATATACGTAACCCCTGTCTATTTTTTTTCAGTACAAGCTAGACTGTACACTTTAGATCATATGATGAGACCAACGGAGGAACTCGTCACTGTTGCAATCACTGTGAGTACACATTCTCCCAGCCAAAGTCATGATGCCCAATGTTTATTTGTACAGTATTAATCTACCCGGACTTGACTAAATATATCAATTCTATGCGTATTATGTAGACATGTGCAAAAATTAGTTTTGGATGGTTTGCTCTAATCAAATTCCCACGCCCAGACAAATCAATTGTTCGGGATTTACCTGTGGTTATAAGACTCGACAGGCAAATACCGAACGATGGTTTAAAGGGAAGACAAATTTTTGCACAAGTCTTGTATTAACTTCTGTGCACATGGTAATTAGGAGTAAACCTTGCTGGTCATGAAAAAGATAACTCTTATGATGTTGCAGACAAATTGGACCAGTCATGATTCCAATCTCAAGAAATTCCTCTCACACAGTTTATAGTTTAAACTGTAGAGCGGAATACAATATGGGGGTCATTTTATACCGGCACCTGATCATTTTCTTTTTTTTATGTTTCAACAACTCCCAGAATGCACAAGGTATGAAAGTGAGAGGGATTTCACTTCTTTCCAAGGGAGCAGTTGTGACACTATCTGCTCTTGAGATTCCAGATATTGCAAAGTAAGTAATGACCTCAAATGGCACAACGATTAAAAGGCAATTATCATCCGCGCCAAATAATCTACGACAAAGTTTAACACAAAAAAATATCCTAACAACGAAATAACCTACCACGAACATACAAAATCACAAAAATATACTGCCACAGAAATAAAATATCTCTGAAATACCCCAACACAGAAATACAATATCACATAAATATACTACCATAGAGATATTACGTCACAGAAATATAATAAAATTCCCTTACCATAGCAACCACTGTACCCAGAAATGTCAGACCACAGAAAGAGCTCCCACAGAATTCTTTTATCATTATCATCCTTTAACCACAAATTACCACAGGAATACTTCGCCCGTGAAATATTCTGCTACAGTGGGTCAAGGCTGGTTACATTATACGTCCTATTTTATTTAAATCATATGAATGTCGTGGGTTTACATTCAAATTTTCTACATTAAAATGTTAGCCGAGTTATTTACAAAGGTGGGAATTCAAAGTGAATATCTGTGAAATGCGTTGGCAATTGACTTGCAAACACTTCTCATTGGGAAGTCTGTGATTGGAGCTTTTGCAAACAGTTTTTAGAAATATCCCCAATGAAAAAATGTATACATAAATGCATGCATGTTTTCATTTGGGCTATACCTACTAAATAGTGATTCATCTTTTTATTGGACAATGGCATGTCCCTCTAAAGGCTGGGAGTGTGGGACTAATTCATCTAAAATTCAGCAAAAATCTTATCATCTCACTCATTATTATTGATTTGTTAATGAAGGTCTGGTGTCTGGAGAATCTCTGCCTATTTCAGCTCTGCCCCAGAGTCTAATTTTACGGCTGAATTTGAAGTGAAGAAGTACGGTAAGCTTCTATAAACTTGACACAAAGAATGTTCATTTTTTCGTCAAACAATTTTAGTCAAATTTAGTCGACTAAAACTAGACTAAACCTAAAACAATTCAGATAACTAAAATACGACTAAAACTAAAATGGCTTTTTAGTCAAAAGACTACGACTAAAACTAATAGAAATTTGCTGCCAAAATTAACACTGACACAAGGAGCTCACATTCATCATGTGTATACACAGAAACAAGTATCATTTTACTATTCTGTTTTATTATTAATTTCGGATTCTGTTCAATAAAAATTGGGTTTGCAAGAAAAAAAAAAATGTTACATTTAATCTAATGACTTTTTTAAATTTGGCAACAAATTGCCCATGGGAGCTTAAAGCTACACTGTCATGGCTGAATCCCGTTTTTGTTTAACCCCCCTCCCGACTCCACTACATCTAACTGACCCCTTAGTCACCCCCAAATGCCCCTAAGCCCCCCAGATTACCTATTTTTTTATCTTTTTTTTCTGCCCCGATCTATATTCAGGGCGCCGCCATCTTTGTGTGGGTAGAGGAAGTCCCTGTGGGACACGCCATCTGTCCACACTAGATAGCCTGTGAGACTCCAGCACATGCCCAGTTAAACACTTGGGCATGCGAACAGGAATTTCATCTATTCATTCATTCGTCAGAAAGCCGAATGAATGAATGAATAGCATTGTCAGACGAACAAACACTGAGTATCAGTGTTCGTTTGTTCGTTCAGTTTATTACAAGGAGGGAGCTACCGGCGTGCAGCTCCCTCCTTGTAATATGTTAAGATAGAAGCGGCAGCGAGCAATGCTCCCCACCACTTTCTAAACCCCCCATGTCCTCCCTCACTCTATGGGGGTCAATATGACCCCTATAATAGCATAAGGGAGATTAAAATCTCTGGAATGCCCCTACTCGCTATACCGCGAGTAGGGGCATGTCCACTAAACAGTGAGCAGCCTGTGGCTCTTCACTGTAAAAAAAAAAACCCAAAACTACTAACCGGCCCCCACCCCTGCATGGCGGTTGGGGGCCCTAAATAACAATAAGGGGGGGAGACCTACTGTCCTCCCCCCTGGCCCCCACCCCTGCGCGGTGGGTGGGGGCCATAAATATAATGAGGGAGGGGACCTACTGACCGGCCCCCACCCCTTGCGGGGGGGCACTCTGATTGGTTAGATTCCAAGCCCACCAATCAGAGTGCTCTTTGTCATTTTACACAGCGTGGGAAAGTTCTTTGGAATTTCCCCACGCTGTGTAAAATGACAAAGAGCGCTCTGATTGGTTAGATTCCAAGCCCACCAATCAGAGTGCTCTTTGTCATTTTACACAGCGTGGGAAAATTCCAAAGAACTTTCCCATGCTGTGTAAAATGACACAAAGCACTCTGATTGGATGGATTTCAAGCCACCCAATCAGAGTGCTCTGTGTCATTTTACACAGCATGGGAAAGTTCTTTGGAATTTTCTCACGCTGTGTAAAATGACAAAGAGCACTCTGATTGGCTTAAATCAGCCAATCAGTGTGTTCTTAGCCTAATTGCAGGGCGTGGCAAGGCTTTATAAGCCTTCCCCCGCCCTGCAGAGCTCAGTCTGCGTGGAGCCTTCCATGGGTGAAGATGGATTATTTTTTTTGCGCTCGGTTTTTTCTTTTTCGTTTGGTTTTTTTTTGCGCTCAGGTTTTTTATTTTATTTTAAGTTCAACGGGTATGATGGTTTTTTATTTGGCCTTTTTGGGGCTGAAAAATGAAGATTTTAGAAAAAAGAAGACGTCAAATGGTAAGTTAAATTTTTCTTTACAGGTTAGTTATTTTATTCCCCCTCACTATTTTTTAGGGTGAGGGGGGAATAAAATAACTAACCTGTAAAGAAAAATTAAACTTACCATTTGACGTCTTCAGGCTGCTCACTGCTTACTAGACATGCCCATACTCGCGGTATAGCGAGTAGGGGCAGATCATTTACTAATACTAAGTAATCTTTACTTAGTATTAGTAAATGTGGCTGAAAGAACAATTTATGTCTTTCAGCTTTTTGGAAGATAGCTCCCTGATACCGTGGGAATTAGGGAGCTATCTACTAAGCGGCTGCAAGATGCAGCCGCGGCACAAATTGAATCGGAGTTTCATTCATTCGAATGAAATTCCGATGCGAACAAAGTGCCGAATTTAGTTCTAAAAGAAACGAACATACTGTTCTCATTCAGTTAGAACGCAATTCGGCAGTTTCGTCTAAAATGACAGGAAGCATCACGAGATCACACAGGAAAGGTAAGAATTATGGGAAAATTGCTCTGACCAGCGGAAATGAAGCACACTTTGCTCCTCCGCTGGTCAGAGCTGGTCAAGCGGAGGAAACCTCCATAAAGCAAAGAGTCCCTACTTTGTCTTATGATTTTAAAGAAAACTAAAGAAGACAGGAAGAAAAGAAAAACAAATCCTGAGAGAGGGGGAGAAGAGCAAGAGACTGAGGAAAGGTAAGTTCGGCATGACAGTGCCGCTTTAATAGGAGAAGCTAAATAGTTCAGAAATTATTAGGAATTTGTTTTCCTAAATATTACAAAAAGTAAAGGATCCACAAGATTACAGTGTAAAAAGTAACATAAATAATGAAAATAAACAATTTAGGGTATTTAATTAGCCAAGCTCACTTTTTACTTTTCAGGCACTTCATATACTGCCTATGTTTTACCCAATATTTATGTACAAGAGAAACAAAAAATTGAAAAAATAAAACTGTGTGAATATACTTAATGTGAAATGTTTATATATCATTGAACATTAACCTTTAAGAAAACTGCTATCTTGCTTCGACTCAAACTAAGCATTACATGTATTTAAGTTTCTGATATCATCAGTGAAAGGAATAAGGTGGAATGCCTTATTTAATTTGTTTTATATTTGTATTTGATAACCTTTGTTTTTCTTTTTTTTATCTATCCTCCGTTCATCCTGTTACATTCCCCCCATTCCAAACATTTTCTGCAGTTCTCCCTAATTTTGAAGTGAAGATAATTCCAGACAAGCCTTATATCCTGATATCCAGAAATGATTTTACTTTCACTGTGCAGGCCAGGTAATGTGTTCGTGTGTGTTCACTGCATGCGCATGTATTGTGTATACGTAGCTACTGGTGATGTTATTGCTTGCCCTGTTTCTAAAACAATGTAGCTAAATTGCTGATTTCTGGAGCTCTGTTCTTGTATTTCTTTGTATAAAATGCTTAAATTAAAAAGATCAGTGATTAATAGTTCAACCGATTAATAGTTTAAAACGTATCGCATTTCTGTTTTTTTTTTTCCTGTATCTTAATTTATGCATAACCGGCATCAGTTCTGAAGCTGATTTTCTTTTCTGATTGGCCCAGGTACGTTTACGGAGAAAATGTAATTGGCACGGCCTATGCACGTATAGGCATTATAAATAAAGAGGGACAGCGGACCATGCTGACCGGTCTGGAGCAGCAAGTAAAGGTGAGGAAGGAAGATGGAATCCAGAATGTAGAAGACAATCAGTGGTTGGCTATAAGGAGATTAATCCAAGAATTTGTGTTTTTTCCTGGAAAGTAAAAATGAAGGTTTGTTTTGGGCCGAACTACTATTCGGTCAAATGTGGGCCAATCGAGTGATCAGCAAATGATTCATGATTCTGAATCCTGCCCACGGCACCCAAAAAGAGTTGGTTTTTTTCTATCAAAGATAATTAATTGCTAAGAAACAGCTGCTATATGATTTAGTTCACAGACCAAGTGAACAATAGAAGTAAGAAGAGGAGGAGTAAAAATATATATATATTGATACACAGTTGTAATTTAGAGATGTCGCGAACCGTCCGCGAACTTCTCGCGAACGGTTCGCGGCAAACTCCGGTCAGCTGACACATCACGGCCAATCTCCAGCAGACCCTCCCTCCCTGACCCTCCTACTTCCTGGACAGCATCCATGTTTCAACCGTTCGCGGACGGTTCGCGACATCTCTATTGTAATTCAACCCCCATTGAAAATAAGGTTTATTGTCAAAATGTACAGACTTTCAGCTGTTTGCAATGAATAAATAAAACGAAAGCAGTTGAATTACCTCAGCACAATGAATGTGTCAAGTGGTTTCCCAAATTCAGCTGAAAATGCAACTTATGACTTCTCAAGTCTCAAAATTTTTTAACCCCCTAAATAGAATCCCTCACAACTGAACAAATATTCAAAACAGGTGTTACCTCAAGCATACTTGATGCAACTAATCAAGGGCTTCATTAGTTGCACTAGGTGTGCTTGAGCTGGAACACTTGAAATACCTGAACTCGCTAGGGGTTTGTTGAGTGTCACATTTGATTGCATGTTAGAAATATGGCTAAGTCAAAAGAATGGTCAACAAAGTTAAGAGAAGAGATTGTTGCCCTTCACAAACAAGAAATAGGATTAAAAAAAGATAATGAATGCACTGATTGTTCCTAGAGACACAGTTGGAAGTATAGTTTGCAACTTGAAAGTTGAAGAAACTGTGGTTACACTAACTGGATGGGGAAGAAAAAGAAAGCTTTTTTCTGAGAAAGCAGGTTGTGAAAACCCTCAAGTGACTGCAAAAGACCTGCAGCAAGACTTGGTGGTGACAGGCACTGAGGTTTCACTGAGCACAGTAAGGAGCGTACTAAATACAGAAGATTTCAATGCCAGAACTTCAAGATGTACACCACAGTACAGTAGTATCAGGAAATCCTAGGAGAAAATGTAATGCCATCTGTGAGGAAGTAGAAGCATGCCTCACATTCCACCAAGGCTCGGTAGCAGAAGTAGTCCTGGAAATTTCTACAATGGCCATCAAGTCACCTGACTTGAACCCCATAGAAGATCTCTAGGGGGATTTGAAGAAGGCGATTGCAGCACTCAAACCCAAGAATATTACTGTACCGAAGGTCATTGCTCATGAGCAGTGGGATAAGATTCCTGCTAAGGAATGCTGCCAGAAGCTGGTGTCTGGCTATTCTCCTCGTTTGCAGCAGGTCATAACAGCAAAAAGGTGCTCTACTGAGCACTAAAGATTCTTGCCATGAAGGAAACTGAATTATTTTGAGACTGGAGAAGTCTTCATAAGTTCCATTTTCAGTTGAATTTGGGGAAACCACTTGAAGCATTCGTTGTGTTGAGCTATTTCAATTGCTATTGTGTGATTTGTTTATTGCAAACAGCTTAAAGTCTGTACATTTTAACAATAAGCATGACTTTTAATGGGGGTGGAATAATTCTGATTACAACTGTATTATATAGTTAATAAACATATAATTTATAAATACAGATTCATTTTTTACACTACTCCTATGTCTGTCCAATGGTTACTTTTTCTAACTTTCTCTGTGAACCAAACAGAGTTAAAATGATCCTATCAGTGTTCTGCAAAATATATACAGAATATTATATTATCAGTGTACTGTAACAGAAATAATTAATATTATGTATATATTGTGCAGCATACTGAGTGACCTCTTTTCATTGGTTTTTTGTTCTTCTGATGCAGTTCCCAAATTGAAACCTTGGTTTTCAAATTCTGCCAATTTTCTCACCATGCACAGTTATAGTAGAGAGTAATGATCAGAACATTGTAGTATTACTGTTAATGTTGGGAAGGTAAATGACATCTGGGACAATATTCAATGAGAAGTTAACCGTTAAACTTTAAACTAACATTGGCATTTTGTTACGGTAAATGGGGCGGTGTTGCAACCCTTCTTGCTATCTGTGCCTCCATGCCTAGCAACCCTGCCTGCCTGTACAGTGTTTAGTTCTAGGTAATTCAACGCTCTCGCTTTACACTGCGACTCTGGCAACCAAGTCACGTCTTTCACATTCCAGTATTATAACCATATAATCATATAACCCTCAGATATAGCTTTCGCCATTGATTTCTCTAATCACACACATACAAAAAAAAACTAAGAAAAAAGTTACTTGTACATTATCCCAAATCCCTGTGCATATTTACATAGCTGGAGGTTTTAGCATCCCTCCAATGGCCAGAGACCAGAGTGTAAGAGGTTTTGCCTTGACGTGGCAGGTGAGCTTACACTTTAATGGCCATTGGAGTGATACTAAAAAAAAAATTGTTACATCCATATAAATTTAAAATAAAATTGAGATTGTTATGAAGAAAATAGGTAAACATACATTATGGGTGATTTTCAATATTTTACACAGTATTATAAATGCCAGAAAAGTCAGTTACCATTTAACTGCGTCATCCCAAATGTCTTCGATCAACATATTTGTTAGATTTAGACATCAGTCCTTGACACTAACAGGGTTATTACCTAAAGTAAATACAAATATTGGTCATTTCTTTCAGGGATATTTACTAACATGGTAATTTAAATTGAATGTCAAATTTAAGGTCGAACATAAAAAATTATCTCTGTGATTTCATTCTGGCTTCTTTGGCCCTAAATTTGACATTTACTTTTAATTCACTTTGAATAACCATTTTAGTAAGTAACCCAGAGAGAATTGAAATTACCAATATTTGTATTACACGCGTCTCCTACACCTCTGGCATATTCAATATTTTCGTACATTACTGTAGTGACTGGTATTTTTATTAGTGGGTTGGGAGGAAGCAACCAGTTAGATGATTATTACAGAACCAGGTAATATTCCACTAAATGTTTCTCTTGTCTGTCTTGCAGTTGAAAGAAGGAGATGCGATGATGAAGATAAATTTGCCGGAAATTGTAGCGAAATCAAAGGAGCTCAAGGTGGCTTTAGAGGGTTATACCCTATACATTGCAGCCAGCGTGGTAGAGTCAGCTTGTAAGTACACTTATTACTAACAATGTATGTATCTCAAATGTAATGTAGAACAAAACCAATTAATCTTATTTATACAGGCTGATTTCTAAACACATTTATTGTAGTATAAAGACACATTACTGGGAGTATTATTGCTGTGGAGCTCTGTTATACACTCAGACACATTACTGGGAGTATTATTGCTGTGGAGTTCTGTTATACACTCAGATACATTACTGGGAGTATTATTGCTGCTCAGTTCTGTTATACACTCAGATACATTACTGGGAGTATTATTGCTGCGGAGCTCTGTTATACACTCAGACACATTAGTGGGAGTATTATTGCTGTGGAGCTCTGTTATACACTCAGATACATTACTGGGAGTATTATTGCTGTGGAGCTCTGTTATACACTCAGATACATTACTGGGAGTATTATTGCTGCGCAGTTCTGTTATACACTCAGACACATTGCTGGGAGTATTATTGCTGTGGAGCTCTGTTATACACTCAGACACATTACTGGGAGTATTATTGCTGTGGAGCTCTGTTATACACTCCGACACATTACTGGGAGTATTATTGCTGTGGAGCTCTGTTATACACTCAGACACATTACTGGGAGTATTATTGCTGTGGAGCTCTGTTATACACTCAGACACATTACTGGGAGTATTATTACTGTGGAGCTCTGTTATACACTCAGACACATTACTGGGAGTATTATTACTGTGGAGCTCTGTTATACACTCAGACACATTACTGGGAGTATTATTACTGTGGAGCTCTGTTATACACTCTGACTTTCTAACCCTGATCCATGTCTGTCTGTAGCTGGCATTTTTGAAGAGAAGGAACTCACCTCAGTTAAGATTGTGGCTTCTCCTTACAAGATAGATCTATCCAAAACTAAAAGATATTTCACCCCTGGGAACCCAACGCCAATTGTGGTAAGCATTATATATTCTTTAGATGATCTTCTTATGGTTCTTCAGGGATCTTTTTGTTTGTTTATGTTTAAGTCTGCTTTAGTTGGCTATTTAGTTGATCCGAACAAGTCTGGAATTGTTCCTGCGCTATTTCACTACAATTTGGGGTTTCTGCAGACAATTCAGTCTCAATAAGGGCAGCTTTTGTATGGCATAATTTCAGTTAAATTCAAATAACAGAATATTTTACACACACACACTCTCTATTAGTCCAGTGATGCAGATGTGGAAAAAAAAAACAGGTATAATTCGTATCTTGTAATACTTTTTTTGTATTGGACTAACACAATTGTTTAATGATAAGCTTTCAGGAGAACATCCTTTCTCAAATCTAAAGCATTTCTGAGCAAAGACGACACATAGAATTCAAAGTTGAGTTGTAATAAATGTATTGGTGCTTGTGTGGATGTATGTGTAGGTTTGCATGTACATATATTTGTGCATTGTGTTGTATTTATATGTATTTTGTTGTATGTACTTGTGTATACTTGTATACATATACACTACGTGTGTATATGTATTTGTGCATGTACGTGTGTGTGTGTGTGTCTGTGTATGCTGGATATAGAGCTTCATACCTATCCTGTAACTCTTGGATGGGAATTCACACATTCTTTTATATTAATACGCCCCCCTTCTAGCACCATCTTCTGCACTGTTCGCTTGTTTTTTTCCCTATCTCTCCCCCCTCACTTTGTTTCCTTCATACAAGATATTTATGACTATCTGCAAGAATGGTGTCTATGTTCTATCAAACCTGTGTCCTATCCACACTCATATCGCTTTAACCCCTGTATCACAACTAAACTTTGAATTCTATGTGTCGTCTTGCTCAGAAATGCTTCAGACTTGAGAAAGGGAGGTTCTCCCAAAAGCTTGTCATTACTAAATGTTGTTAGTCCAATAAAAAAGGTATTATAAGATACGATTTTATCTGTTTTTTACATATCCATATATACATGACTCCAGATTATGATTAATCCCTTTCTTTTTAATTCCTCTGTAATTGAATGTTAAATTATTCTATCTTTATTGTGTTATTCATGCATTGTTTTTTTACTTGCCAGTTCCTGGTTACTTTCTCTCTCTTTGTACCTGACTCTTGAACCATCTCCCTCTTTTCTATGCTTTCTTTTTTTCTATAGAACTCTTCTTTCTGCCCCTCTTTCTTCCACTGTGCCACTCTCTCACCCACCTTCCCCGTACTGCTCTCCTTTCTCTTTTTTTATTGATTTATTCCACCACTTACATATTTCTCTATATATATCTTCTGATCCATGCATTTCTTCCTCTCTTTCCTACTTTCTATTTTTCACTTATTCTACCACGTCTCTCTTTTTATCTATATCTAACCCCTTTACCTCTCTCTTGTTCTTTCTTGGTTCCTTTCAATGTGTGTCCTTTGATGTTTCTCTCTCCGTATTTCTTCCTCTCGTTCTCTCTCTTTCTTCCTCTGTCCCTTTTTTCCATCTTTCTACATTTTCCTCCCTGTTTCTCTTACTTGTTTTGTCTCTTACTCTTTCTATCTATTTCTAACTATCGATTTCTTCCTTTTCTTTTTCTATTCTCTCCTCTTCCCCTCTCGTTATTCTCATCCTCTCTGTGTCTCCCTCTCTTTCAGGTAGAGGTGTCTAACGTGGACGGTTCCTCTACAGGCGTTGTAAATATTGAAATCTCTCAGCCAAAAGGTGAAAAGCAGAAGCTTAGATCAGACATCAGTGGAGTTTTGTCATTTGATATGAACACAAGTGATAAAGATAAAACCTTGGATATTGAGGTAATAAACACTTTAACTGCAAATTCTGACAACATGTGTAACAGAGTAAAACTTCACATTGCACACCCATTGACATGAGACAGATTGTTTTTATTGTTATCTGGAGCTCTTAATCATTTTTATTTAAAATTTTCTAACCTGTGCGTGTATGTCTTGACCTTTCAATACTTATGGCTCTCTCTGTGTCTTCTGTTAAACATCTTCTGATCTCTTCACAGGTTGCTGTAGTCGATAATCAGAACTCTGCAGTTGAAAAATTAAGCCTCATCGCCTTTTCTTCTAAAAGTAACAGTTTTCTTCACATGAGTGTTCCGTATCAGGTTGTGAGCCCCGGGGAGGCGGTCATGGTCTCAGTATCGTTAGTCACAGCAAACCCCGAAAATGTGAAGAAAATACATTACATGGTGAGCAGTGTTAGCAAGGGAGATTAATAATAAGACCCAGAAACCTTCCGATTATGCTGTTTCCCTACTTCTTTTCTTGTTCTCTTCACTTAGTTACAATTATTTATATATCGCCAACATATTCTACAGCGCTATAGAATAGGAAACAAGACACCCGTTTAATTTTAACAAAACATGTATGAAATGCGGGAACAGTAGGTGAAGAGGACCCTGTCCAGCTTGTCCAGATCAGCTTACAATCGAAAGAAGTGAGGGGAACCCTTGTGTTTCTCGAAGTTTCACCATGAGTCTGTAACTTTTCTCTCGATCTTTGGGCTAAACAACATTCATTCTTCTCTGACATATTCTCCTTCTTTCCTCCTCACTCACATTCCCTCCTACTTTCTCCTTTTTTGTTTGATATTCTCCTCGCCTCTGTTTGCATTCTCTCCTCTATCCTTCTCTCTCATTCTATAACGATTTCTCACATTATCTCCTGTTTATCCTTCTCTCACATTATCTACCACTTTATCTTCCTTTTCATTGAGATTTCGTTCATCCTTCCCTTTCATTCTCTTGATCACGCATATTGACCTCCTTTTATCAATCTCACTCACTGGCTCTCTCTTTCCTTCTCTCTCTTAGTGTTCCTTCTCATTCCTTTCCCTTTTATCAATCTATTGTGTTTTCTTCACCATTATTCTTCTCTTGTTACCTACTTTATAATTCTCTACCCCTTTACTCATCTATTCCCTCCATCTTTCTTTTACCTCTCTTCTCCTAAATCCATGACTTTATATCAGGTTTCCCTAGATATTATAGACTCTACCCTTTCCCTTTAGAAGGTATAATATAAGAAATGTAAGCCAATACATTCATTTATAGAACTTCACATATTTCCACTATCTCTAACTGCATATTGTGCACTCTAACTCTCATTTAACCACATTTTTTTTCTAATACATTATACATTATTTTTCATAAGAGTCTTGTGTCATAACTATATGCCAAGTGGTTTAAGGATGGACTATCGAAGAGCCCCATATCCTGTTGTGCTCAGAAAGTCATGGTGCTATATAGAACTTTATAAAATGCTATGTTAAAAGCTTAGCATCACTATGTAACAACCAATATAATAAATGTTTATGATCACTTTTGAATTATTCAATTTAATTCTACCCAATCTACTTTGCTCCCATAAAGGTACTGAACAAGGGTCAGATTCTCTTCCTAAAGTCTATGGCCAGAACTAGCCTCATGACTATACAGATCCCTGTGACCCCTTCCATGATTCCCTCCTTCCGTGTCATTGCCTATTATTACCAGAGTTCTGATATCATCGCCAACTCAGTTTGGGTGGACGTGACTGACGTTTGTGAGGGCAAGGTAATATATGACAGTATGTTGCTTGTTTTACATTCTAGTACATACATCGTAGATAATAAAGCTGACTTGAATCTCATCATGCAGTTGGTGATAAGAAATAACGAAAAACGTGAGATTCAGCCACGGGGACCCATCAAACTGGAAGTGGAAACAGATGATGCCACCACAGTGGGTTTAGCCGCCGTAGATACAGCCGTATATGTTCTGAATTCCAAGAACAAGTTGACACTAGACAAGGTTAACCATTATCTTCAATCTTATTCATGTAATTTATAATATAATCCGTGTGTATAAGTTAAATGTATTTATGTGTCAATAACTGTTAATATGTAACTGTGTTTGTTTTTAGTATTGGGAGAATGTAATACATGTGGTATGTTTATATATTTCGAGTGACCACTTTAGATGTACTTTTAATTAAATCAGTACTGATAAAAACATATCAAATACACCACAAGACAGGGAATAGATATTAACATCATAGCCACCCCTCCACAGCCCCCACCATACAAGAAGACACCTTCCTACACACTTTCTCATTCAAGATTGTGAACATGGTTTGGGAAGTGGACTGACTAGAAATCCTCCGGAGAGTTCTGCCCCCTGCTGACTACGGTATTCACCACTTTTATCAGAATATAAAGGAAGGAAATAGTGTTGTAAAAGAGAAGACGGCAAATAGAAGAAAGGAAAAGGGATGTAGAGGAAACCTTAGAAGACTGTAGTTAAGCAATAATTAAATAGTAATCGTATCTTGCATGAGGGACCCGGTTGGATTAAATAAATTGAGATCTGATAAAACAACACAATCAATGTAGTCATTTGTAAGTTATATGTTATTTTTCAGAAGTACTTTTGAAAAGTCAGGTGGGGAATAGATTCCCACTGTTTTGCTATCTTTCTAGTAGCTATCAGAGCAATCCTTAAATAAAAAACACACAAAATTAAGTCCTGCGCTCAAACTCCCATTACTTCAGGGCTACAGCAAAGGCTACAGTATACATCAGTCCAAACACATAGAATGTTGCACACTATCCCCAATCCCTATGCACAGTTCAATAACTGGAGGCTTTTAGTATTACTCCAATGGCCATTAAAGTGTAAGCTCATCTGTCCTACGCTAACAATTTACCTTGCTGCTTTCAGCTAAAAGGCAAAATCACTAATGAGACAGAGTTGTTTTATAAACCCATGCACACTTATTAACCCTTAATAGGGAACACATGGAGTGTGCTCATGACTGCACAAACCCGTAACAGGTCTGGACAGTATCACCTGAGGATGCCTTATCTTCTATCTCCTCCAGATGTTCAAAGCTATGAATGGTTATGACTTGGGCTGCTCTCCAGGAGGAGGCAAGGATTACAGCCATGTGTTCACAGATGCTGGACTGGCATTCGTTTCCTCTGCTGGATACAGTAACTTACAGGGTGAGAAGACTTTGTAGCCAGCCATGTCTAAACAGATAGCTCCTTATCACAGATCAAAGGCATGCTTTATGTCTGTCTATTCCAATGTTCCGAGCTGTTCAAGGTCTTAGGTTCCACTATTTCTCAGCCTGATTCCAGGGTGCACATAGTTGGATTATAATTTTTTTATTTTCTTAGATCCAAACTAGCTTCCTGTCAGGCAGAATGGATTATTCTGCAACAGAATAAGATCTTTAGTCTAACGATTGCTTAAAGAACTAGAAGAAATCACATGCAATATTTTTTTGAAGGTGGAGGAGAACTCAACAAGAAAATGCTTTATTTTTCCACTTCTGGGATTTGTGAATGAGGTTTTGTCTATGATTTCAGAGATAATGCATGAAAACTCTGCAAATCTGTACAATAAGGTTGCTCAGGTGCATCAATACAAAAATGGTTTCACTGACTGCTCTTAATGGAACATATTTATTCTCCATATGAACTGTTTCTGAGAGTCAGATAACGCTCTCACTGGATTATCTACTAAAGTGAGAATCATCAGGAATTGAACGTGAATTTCAAATTTAAGGTCAAAATAGCCGAACTAAAAAAAAATATCCAAGCCTGCTCTAGTTCAGCTAATTTGGCCTTAAATTTGAAATTTCCCGTCCAACCTTCCTTATACTGTGGCCGCCGGGAGGAAGGAAGTGAGAAGGAAGCAGTGTTAGGTCCTGGGTGACCGACTTTGGAAAACATATTAACCCCTGGTGGTAAGAGAATGCCCAGACAATGCTACAGTGGAGACAGTCTTACCTTTAGCGGTTAAACTGTTTTTTAAACCAGAGGTTATCTCCAGCAGCGATCACAGCTGGACACTCTCAGCCAATCAGTGACTCCCTATTCACAAAACTGGCTTGCAAAAGGTACATTTCATTTCAGACCAGTTTAGTTCCTCCAGAGAGCCTCCTGGCACCATAGCAACTTCATCTAGATGAAGTTGTTTTGGTAGTTGGAGTGTTCATTTAAAGATGGCTGCTTCTACCAAGAGCAAAGGTAAGCCAGGAAAGGCAGCATTTCCTTTTATAAGAGCACATACATTTAATTTTTTAGTGATTATTAATATTCCTTTTTGCAGTTAATTCTCAGTGTGTCATATCTTGATATGTTGTTTTGGGTTTCTATAGTAAATGCTTTGAAGCTGAAAATGATTTTGTACATCTGTCTATGGCTAACTTGTGTCTCTTTTGTTCTTACTCTGTGTGAACTTGCAGATTATGGATGCAGAGTTCCAAATCGTAAGAAAAGATCAGATGAAGCCACTAAACTTGCACAGCAAAAAGGTAACACAAGAACAAGTTTAACAAAAAAGTGGAATTCAATCAAAAAAATAGTTCAATAAAAAAATATAAAAATTTTCACAAAAAGTACTGTAACCTACAGTAGCGAAATCTTGGAGGAATTCAGAGTAACTCAGATCCTCTGCACTATGGAATGCTTAATAAATTGAATTCCTCAAGCAGAGTATTTACTGATTTTAAGAGATCTTCTCAAAAGAGCTCAACTTTGGAAACATGCAGCAAATTACAGGTTTGAACCTGGTGGGTTTATTGTGAAAGATTTATTCTCTGTTCACGTTGGTGTATAGTGAACAATTTTTGTTTCATTTTCGTTAATCAGCTGTATATACAAGATCTCAGCGGGTCAGAATTTTGGACTCACCCAGCGTGCACCAACTCTTCATACTGGTCCTTAAATATGTTCCGGGATCTCATAATGTGTTGTCAGATGAGTATTCATAAAAATCTACCTTCCTTTTGCAGTTCGCTCCTATCCCACTGGGGAGCTGCAGACTTGCTGTAAAGATGGGATGTCTCTTCTACCTAAAGGCATGGCACGGGATTGTAACAAGCGTGCTAGTCGTGTGCCATCACCTGCTTGCCGGAATGCATTCCTGAAATGTTGCCTGTATGCAGAGGATCTACGCAAAACGTACAAACGTAAACCATCTGGGGTTGCAAGAAGTAAGTACAATACACAGAACATCACTCCACTGATATATCATAGTGTAGACACCAGCACACCTTAATGTTACTACCTTTCCTCAAAAGAGACTCACACCACTTCCTTTCCCAATAGAGACTCATACAGTTTCCTTCCCCAATAGAGACTTGTGGCGAAAGTAACCTCGCCACTGGCTTTTGGAAGGGCCTATTTGCCAGCCTCCTGCCCTGTGACTATGGCCCCTGTAATAGACTTTGGTTAAATACACTGTTTGTGCCTTTTGTATGGTTACACTTCAAACTCTCGAAGCGGTTTGAAGCAGCACTTCGAACTCCCGAAGTGGTGTGAAGCGGTCAGCTGGCATTTGAACACGTGGCGGCGTCCATCTTAAGCCGCGAGCACAATGAGCGGTGTTTGGTCATCGAGTGTATGGAACTCAAATAGGACACTCGACGGCGCGAACACCGCTAAACACATACCTTCCACTGGTGTTCGGCTATTTGAAAGGGAATTGAATGGCGTTCGGTGGGAATAAACTCCCAAACAAGAGACATAAACTGAGCCTACTCCTGAACCTATATGTTCGGTATTTTATATTCTTCTTTGAATCCCCGAAGTAGACCGACCAAACAGCCTGATTTCCTGGAACTCTTTTTGGACAGTAATTTTGTGTGGGGTCGGTTAAAATAAGACGTCCATGGAAATACCGAACCCCTGAACCGATCTGGGTGATTTTTAGATATCTTGTTCACCCAGATCAGATCAGGGTGATATAATATTTTATGGGGTTTCCATGAGTCATAAAGGTACTTTTGGGGTTTAATAAAAATGTGTTTTTTCTGCCTGGAGATAATTGAGTTAATACAGTTTCTGACTCAATTATCTCCCAGACAGATGGGAGGGGTTGTATGTTTGTATATGGGAGTGTCATGCATTTAAACACCTTTGTGATTGGTCTGTAACTTTATACTGTAGTTCCCCACAAGGTCTCTGTGGGAGTACCCCTTGCATGGGGAATTGCATAAAAGGCCAGTGTGGCTACCAATATATGAGTTCATGTTTACCCTCAACATAGAGCCTCATGTGTGGAGGAAACGGCTGTATCTACCCTGGGGATTGCTATATCACTATACTCCTCTGGGTAATAATCACTTGCTCTTGTAAGAGCTGCCTGCTACACTCTATGGAGTAGGAGAGGTCTACCCACTGGAAGCTGGATCCTGGTCTTGGGTCCAGTGTAATTGGAGGACGGTGAGACCGCAGCCAAGCTGTAATCCTGGAAGTGGGGACTACGGTGTTGATGGTGTCTGGTACAGTGCTTGTGGTACTCGGTAAACACTAGGAAGCAGCGATTGGCAGAGGCACCCAGTCGGGGGGCCAGGCGGTCCGCCACAAGACACAACCTTCTTGCTTCCCCATCAGAGACTCATACTGCTTGCTTCCCCAGTAGAGACTCATACTGCTTCCTTCCTCAATAGAGACTCATACTGCTTGCTTCCCAGTAGAGACTCATACTGCTTCCTTCCTCAAAAGAGACTCATACTGCTTGCTTCCCCAATAGAGAATTGAACTGTTTCCTTCCCCAGTAGAGACTCATACTGCCTCCTTTCTCAAGAGAGACTCATACTTATTGCTTCCCCAGTAGAAAATCATACTGTTTCCTTCCTCAGTAGAGGCTCATACTGTTTCCTTCCCCAATAGAGACTCATACTGTTTCCTTCTTCAATAGAGACTCATACTGCTTCTTTCCCCAATAGAGACTCATACTGTTTCCTTCCCCAACAGAGACTCATACTGCTTCCTTCCCAAGTAGACACTCATACTGTTTCCTTCCCCAGTAGAGAATCATACTATGTCCTTCCCCAATAGAGACTCATACTGCTTTCTTTCGCAACAGAAGTTCATGTTAATTCTGTCCACTGTGGAAAGTCACACTGTTTCATTCTTCCCCTTCCCCAGTAGAGACTCATACCGATTCATTCCACAGTAGATACTCATACTGCTTCCTTCCCAAGTAGAGACTCATATGGTTTCCTTCCCCAGTAGAGACTCATACTGCTTCCTTCAACAACAGAGAGAAATATTGCTTCCTTTCCCCAAAAAACTCTTCCCCTCTTTCCCTTCCCCAGTAGAGACTCTTACTGCTTCCTTCCCCAGCAGAGACTCATACTGCTTCCTTCCCCAATACAGACTCATACTGCTTCCTTCCCCAATATAGACTCAAACTGCTTCCTTCCCCAATACACACTCATACTGTTTCCTTCCACAGTAGAGACTCATACTGCTTCCTTCCCCAATACAGACTCATACTGCTTCCTTCCCCAATAGAGACTCATACTGTTTCCTTCCCCAATACAGACTCATACTGTTTCCTTCCCCAATACAGACTCATACTGCTTCCTTCCCCAACAGAGACTCATACTGCTTCCTTCCCCAATACACACTCATACTGCTTCCTTCCCCAATACAGACTCATACTGCTTCCTTCCCCAGTAGAGACTCATACGGTTTCCTTCCCCAATACAGACTCATACGGTTTCCTTCCCCAGTAGAGACTCATACTGTTTCCCTCCCCAATACAGACTCATACTGCTTCCTTCCCCAGTAGAGACTCATACTGTTTCCTTCCCCAATACAGACTCATACTGCTTCCTTCCCCAATAGAGACTCATACTGTTTCCTTCCCCAATAGAGACTCATACTGTTTCCTTCCCCAATACAGACTCATACTGTTTCCTTCCCCAATACAGACTCATACTGCTTCCTTCCCCAATACAGACTCATACTGCTTCCTTCCCCAATAGAGACTCATACTGCTTCCTTCCCCAATACAGACTCATACTGCTTCCTTCCCCAGTAGAGACTCATACGGTTTCCTTCCCCAGTAGAGACTCATACGGTTTCCTTCCCCAATAGAGACTCATACGGTTTCCTTCCCCAATAGAGACTCATACTGTTTCCTTCCCCAATACACACTGTGGCTTACTGTGCAGCTTCCTTCCCCAATAAAGACTCATACTGCTTCCTTCCCTAGTAGAAGTTCATGTCAATTCTTTCAATTGTAGAACGTCATGCTGTCCATTCTCACTGCTGGGATTGCTTTCTGTCCTTGCTGTATATCTCTTTACAATGTTGCCGGTTATTCCTTGCTGACTATCCTTTAAACTTGGCTTCTTAGCTCAGGAGAATGAAGGGGATTTGAATTTTGCTGATGAATCATCCGTTCAGGTTCGTTCGGCTTTCCCTGAGAGCTGGCTATGGAGGACAATCACAGTGAACAAGAAGCACAGGTGAATTCGTCATATATTGCTCTGTGTGTAAATCTAAAATGTTACATTTTTCCAGTTAGTTATTCTTGTCAAGCAGTTCGGAATTTTTGTGAAAAGGGACATTTTAAACTTCCGATACAGACGGCCAGATTAACATGGTATCCCATCGTATCGTATAGATGTATAGAAAAAGACTGCCAACAATCACATTAGTGTCTTATTGCACAGCTCGTTGTGTGGCTTATTGTGCAGCTCGTTGTATGTCTTATTGTGCAGCTCGTTGTATGGCTTATTGTGCAGCTCGTCGTATGGTTTATTGTACAGCTCATTCTATGGCTTATTGTGCACCTTGTTGTATGGCTTATTGTGCAGCTCGTTGTATGGTTTATTGTGCAGCTCGTTGTATGGTTTACTGTGCAGCTCGTTGTATGGTTTATTGTACAGCTCGTTGTATGGCTTATTGTGCAGCTCGTTGTATGGTTTATTGTGCAGCTCGTTGAATGGCTTATTGTACAGCTCGTTTTATGGCTTATTGTGCAGCTCATTGTATGGCTTATTGTGCAGCTCGTTGTATGGTTTATTGTACAGCTCGTTGTATGGCTTATTGTGCAGCTCGTTGTATGGTTTATTGTGCAGCTCGTTGTATGGCTTATTGTGCAGCTCATTGTATGGCTTATTGTACAGCTCGTTGTTTGTCTTATTGTGCAGCTCATTGTATGGCTTATTGTGCAGCTCGTTGTATGGTTTATTGTACAGCTCGCTGTTTGGCTTATTGTGCAGCTCGTTGTATGGCCTATTGTGCAGCTCGTTGTATGGTTTATTGTGCAGCTCGTTGTTTGGCTTATTGTACAGCTCGTTGTATGGCTTATTGTGCAGCTCGTTGTATGGTTTATTGTACAGCTCGTTGTATGGTTTATTGTACAGCTCGTTGTATGGCTTATTGTACAGCTCGTTGTATGGTTTATTGTACAGCTCGTTGTTGGGCTTATTGTACAGCTCATTGTTTGGCTTATTGTACAGCTCGTTGTATGGCTTATTGTGCAGCTCGTTGTATGGTTTATTGTACAGCTCGTTGTATGGCTTACTGTGCAGCTCGTTGTATGGCTTATTGTGCAGCTCGTTGTTTGTCTTATTGTGCAGCTCTTTGTATGGTTTATTGTACAGCTTTTTGTTTGTCTTATTGTACAGCTTGTTGTATGGCTTATTGTGCAGCTCGTTGTATGGTTTATAGTACAGCTCGTTGTATGGCTTATTGTACAGCTCGTTGTATGGCTAATTGTGCAGCTCGTTGTTTGTCTTATTGTGCAGCTCCTTGTATGGCTTATTGTGCAGCTCGTTGTTTGTCTTATTGTACAGCTCGTTGTTTGTCTTATTGTACAGCTCGTTGTATGGCTTATTGTGCAGCTCGTTGTTTAGCTTATTGTACAGCTCGTTGTTGGGCTTATTGTACAGCTCGTTGTTTGGCTTATTGTACAGCTCGTTGTATGGCTTATTGTGCAGCTCGTTCTATGGTTTATTGTACAGCTCGTTGTATGGCTTACTGTGCAGCTTGTTGTATGGCTTATTGTGCAGCTCATTGTATGGCTTATTGTGCGGCTCGTTGTTTGTCTTATTGTGCAGCTCGTTGTTTGTCTTATTGTGCAGCTCTTTGTATGGTTTATTGTACAGCTTTTTGTTTGTCTTATTGTACAGCTCGTTGTATGGCTTATTGTGCAGCTCGTTGTATGGTTTATTGTACAGCTCGTTGTATGGCTTATTGTACAGCTCGTTGTATGGCTAATTGTGCAGCTCGTTGTTTGTCTTATTGTGCAGCTCCTTGTATGGCTTATTGTGCAGCTCGTTGTTTGTCTTATTGTACAGCTCGTTGTTTGTCTTATTGTACAGCTCGTTGTATTGCTTATTGTGCAGCTCGTTGTTTAGCTTATTGTACAGCTCGTTGTTTGGCTTATTGTGCAGCTCATTGTATGGCTTATTGTGCAGCCCGTTGTATGGCTTATTGTACAGCTCATTGTTTATCTTATTGTGCAGCTTATTGTATGGCTTATTGTACAGCTTGTTGTATGGCTTATTGTGCAGCTCATTGTTCGTCTTATTGTACAGCTCGTTGTATGGCTTATTGTATAGCTCATTGTATGGCTTATTGTGCAGCTCGTTGTTTGTCTTATTGTACAGCTCGTTGTAAGGCTAATTGTGCAGCTCGTTGTTTGTCTTATTGTGCAGCTCGTTGTATGGCTTATTGTGCAGCCGTTGTTTGTCTTATTGTGCAGCTCGTTGTTTGGCTTATTGTGCAGCTCGTTGTATGGCTTATTGTACAGCTCGTTGTTTGGCTATTGTGCAGCTCGTTGTATGGCTTATTGTACAGCTTTGTTTGGCTTATTGTGCAGCTCGTTGTTTGGCTTATTGTGCTCGTTGTTTGGCTTATTGTACAGCTCGTTGTATGGCTTATTGTGCAGCTCGTTGTTTGGCTTATTGTGCAGCTCGTTGTTTAGCTTATTGTACAGCTCGTTGTATGGCTTATTGTGTGGCTCGTTTTTTGGCTTATTGTACAGCTCGTTGTATGGGTAATTGTGCAGCTCGTTGTTTGTCTTATTGTGCAGCTCGTTGTATGGCTAATTGTGCAGCTCGTTGTTTGTCTTATTGTGCAGCTCATTGTATGGCTTATTGTGCAGCTCGTTGTTTGTCTTATTATACAGCTCGTTGTATGGCTTATTGTGCAGCTCGTTGTTTGTCTTATTGTACAGCTCGTTATATGCCTACTTGTGCAGCTCGTTGTTTGTCTTATTGTGCAGCTCGTTGTATGGCTAATTGTGCAGCCCGTTGTTTGTCTTATTGTACAGCTCATTGTTTGGCTTATTGTGCAGCTCATTGTTTGGCTTATTGTGCAGCTCGTTGTATGGCTTATTGTACAGCTCGTTGTTTGGCTTATTGTGCAGCTCCTTGTTTGGCTTATTGTGCAGCTCCTTGTTTGGCTTATTGTACAGCTTGTTGTTTGGCTTATTGTACAGCTCGTTGTTGGGCTTATTGTACAGCTCGTTGTATGGCTTATTGTGCAGCTCGTTGTTTGGCTTATTGTACAGCTCGTTGTATGGCTTATTGTGCAGCTCGTTGTTTGGCTTATTGTACAGCTCGTTGTATGGCTTATTGTGCAGCTCGTTGTTTGGCTTATTGTACAGCTCGTTGTATGGCTAATTGTGCAGCTCGTTGTTTGTCTTATTGTGCAGCTCGTTGTATGGCTTATTGTGCAGCTCGTTGTTTGTCTTATTATACAGCTTGTTGTTTGTCTTATTGTGCAGCTCGTTGTATGGCTTATTGTGCAGCTCGTTGTTTGTCTTATTGTACAGCTCGTTGTATGGCTTATTGTACAGCTCGTTGTTTGGCTTATTGTACAGCTCGTTATTTGACCTATTGTACAGCTCGTTGTTTGACTTCTTGCACTGCTTATTGTTGTGTTCAAAAATCACCTAGACGTCTTGCCATTGAATTCCTATTAATTTCTTTTTATTGTTTCTGCTCTGATTTGCGGCCCAGATTTAAACCACCTACACACTGATATTATATGGGGCTCTCTGGCTTTTTCATCGTGCTGTCAAAGTACCTAAACAGCAGAAGCACGTGCACATTATTTAGGGCAGTCTCCTCCACATATGTTAATGGTATTCTAGACTTCCCATATATGAGAATGGGGAAAAATGGATTTACCATAACCACTACAGGAGGCTACAAAGCTGTAGTGGTTATGGTTATTGGAGTGTTCAGTCCCCTTTGCTCTCTTGGCTGCTATAAATTGCTCATAAGGTATATGCTAAGAAATAACTCAGCAAAAAAGTTATACCAACACCGAATGAGGAGTTGTGTTGGATCCACGGAATTCCAGTTAGGGAAATGTAAGGACCCTCGGTTACCCTGACTTATAATACACGATGGAAAATCAACCAATGTTCGGTATCAGTCTCTTACAATGAAATTATTTAAATGAATTTATAACTAAACTAGGATCAACCAAATATTGGTTTTATAAAAGAGTCTGTCATAATGTTTCTCTAGGGAAACCGTTTATGTCCCGGACTCGATCACGACATGGGAGATACAGGCTGTAGGCATGTCTAAAGGAAAAGGTAAGAGACATCACTCCAATACCATACTACAGATCATTACTCCATTTAATCCCACCACAGAACATCGCCACACTACGCTGCAACAAAACATTACTTCATTGACCCCACTGCATAATATCAATTCACTAAATCAACTCTCCACTAACTCCAAAGCAGAATATCACTCCCTTAGCCCCACTGCAGAGCGTTTCCCTACTATCCACACTGCGTATCATCTCTCCACTAAATGTTCTGCAGCTCATTCATATATAATCAGAGAGAGCTTACTGGTTATTGCTTTATTTATTATTAACCCGTTTCCCAAAATACTGGTGAAAGTAACAATCAGAAAGGACAAACAGAGCTCAGTCCCTTTACCCGTCTCCATTTACAGGTTTCTGTATTGCTGAACCCATCAAAGTAAGAGTGTTTCAGAGATTTCACATTCACATGAGAGTGCCTTTCTCCATAAAGAGATTTGAACAACTTGAGCTCAGACCGGTTTTATATAATTACGATGATGAGGAACTAAAGGTAAGGATACAGCTTCTTCACTCTCATCCACTCTGCCCTACCTGCAAACTCTACTGGTACAGAATATCGCTGTAAAAAAAAGTCCCATTATCCCTAGTCAGTAATCACACTATGCTACCTGGAGATGTGAGATTTTATGGACTCAGTGGAGAGATATGTTTTGTTCTCCATGCTATGCTTTTAAAAGGCACACATTCCCCTCTATACAATGGACATCCCTTGCCTGAGCAGCATACATTCTGCAACATTCACAAAACAGGTAATGTTAGTGTATTGTCCAGAGAATTACAAATATTAGGTGAAAATATAGGATGGAAGAATAGATATGGTCTGAGTTGACCTAAGATTTAAAATTCCATAGGATGTTTAATGAATAGACCCGTTTGATATTGCCGGTTAAACTCTTTCTTTCTACATTGCTCTGTTAATCCTAGATATGAATTAATGTCCTATTTCCCACATATTACTGTTCTTGAAAACTTTCTACCATGCTACACCTGGTCAAGACATTTCCTGCCAAGAGTTCATGAATATATGAACGAAATACACTTTATTTGAATCCTGGAACTCCCTTAGGTAGATGTCATAACCCACCTGTTGCTGTCCACTATGACCCACTATAGCTATCTAGCTAATAGTTATAGCTATAGTTATTTCATAATTTACATTAGTTGCAGAGGAGCAAGGTGACCAAACCTCGAACATCAGGTTTTTCAAGGTGACCACCTAGTTCTGCTCTATGGTCCTTACTATGGCCACTCACACAAGTCTTTATTGCTTTGCCCCATGCAGGTGAAAGTGTACATGGAGAAGGAAGACACGATCTGCACACCTAGTCTCTATGAAGAAGGTTCAGGAGGACAGATTGTGACAGTGCCCGGAAACTCTGCCGTTTCTGTCCCATTCACTGTAGTGCCCCTGGGAAAATCCAACACCGTTATTTCAGTGATCGCCTTAGCAAGAAATGGTGTCTCCGATGGTGTGAAGAAGACACTACAGATTGTGGTGAGTCGATACTATTCTAATATACTTCTTAAATACAGTATCTGTTTCTCTCATTCTCTTGCTACTGTTTGCAACCACTTTTCCTGTTTATTTCCATTCCTTCCTATACTATTACATTTCCAGTTGAACTGAAACCCATTCTCTCACTCACTTCACAATTAACTTTAACCTTCTCTGTCTCCTCAGAGAGAAGGTGTCTCTGTTGTTGAAGAGAAAACGTATCTCATGGATCCTAAAAGTAAGCTCTGGAATAAGATGAAAATTGATCTGGAATGAAATACAACTGTATTTCAACAAAGTCCTTTTCTTTGTCAATAAGAGTCGTCTTGATAATCCACACTTGATTATTGTTTTCTTAGAGAGTTGTGCTTTGTGAAGCCTTCACACGCTCAGTAAAGACATAGGATATAGTGGATAGATGGTTTTGTCAGCAAATTTAGTAGATACCTTGAAGGGATAGTTTTTATCTAGGTAAGGTTTGCAGAACTATAAAAAAAAATACGAACAGGTAAAGTGTTGATCCACTGATAAATATAACTGCCACGATTTTATCTACATTTTTACTACAAACATACCATATTTTGGTTATCTTAATCTGCAGAAGTACAAGTTATTTTTTATGTGAACTCTCTGCTCACCACGCACATGAGTGATGATGCAGCTTTGGAGTCAGTTATAAAATAAACAATTTATATACTCATCCCTTAATCTTTTTCTCTTTTCTCAGACCCCGCTAGACGTTCTATCTCTATAGACGAACCTTTGCCTACAAACATGATCCCAGATGATACATTCCGTTCCACCATCAGAGTAACCAGTAAGTAGAGAAGCGTCCGAATGATGGACAGACCAAATATTTTGATATTTAATACAAAATGTTTTTCAAGAAAATGAAAAAGAAAAAAAATGACAAAATGGCAATGGGAGTGAGAAGAGAATGCTCCCTTTCTCCACGATGAATAGCTTCCATGTGACATCTTACCCTCTTGAATTGGGCAGAACAAATAATTAATGTGTATCCCAGTAGGATGAGAAATACTCTGGGTGACTAACTCATATAACAATGGCACTGGCCCTGCTCCAGGGTAACCTCATTTGTCATGTATTTTCCCAATCAATATATAGTATAAAGGGGATTTGAATAGAACAAATTTCAAACAACATAACCACTACAGCCCATTGCAGAGGTTATGGTGCTCTGGCACCACCCTTGGTTCTAAGTAAAACTGTTTTAGAGCAGGGTGCCCCCAAGTGACACACTTAGTGTATCATTACCATCCAAATATAGACAACATTGATATCAGCAATGAAGAAATGTAAATTCTGCTTTGTCAATATGACACGCAAGAGGGCAGGCTATAGATGTCTGGGGAGACCCTGTTTTTGTCAGGCCACTTTAAATGGTTTGTTGCAGATGATGGGTGGTGCCTATAGTCTAAGAGCACTATAACCACTGCAACAGGCTGTAATGGTTATGGTGCTGTAATCGATATTGAGCTTTTAACAAAACTATACCTAAATCAACACACTTTATACACGCATTAAAGGAATACTCTAGTGCCAGGAATACATCACTCCCCCTGCTTCCCCCCTTTATCACACTGCTATATGCTCACCTATGCTCGGACACTACTGAATGGGGCTTCCTGACATACACGTCTCATTGGGAGAGAGACCTGGGGGAGGTCCTTGAGGGGGTGGAGTGGCGGGAAATTTGGGAGGCCTGCAACACCTCCTCTATTTGTGTTTCCATGCAGGAGCAATCCTTTAAAACCCTATTTCGGTGGTACGTCACCCCCGTCCAATTATGTAGAATGCGTAATCACCTTCTGACCTGTGCTGGAGGAACTGCGGTCTCAGGGGTACGTACGCCCACATGTGGTGGGAGTGTCCTAAAATCAGACCGTTCTGGAAAGATGTTGGAGACATAATAGAGCAAGTCTTTCAAAGGGCTCTATGTCTAGACCCATGGATATATCTCTTGAATAGGTCCATAGAGGATTGGCCGAGACAGGACCAGAGACTACTCCATAAAATTACGTTAGCCGCCCTTAGAGCTATTGCACAACACTGGCTAAAAACCCAGCCACCTTCCAGGTCACTGGTGATCGGGAAGATAAAAGACAACTGCCTCATGGACGACCTTACTGCACGGGTGCGGGGTACGGGGGGCGGTTTGGGACTTGGGAGCCCTGGAGAGGGAGCCAATTCGCAGACTGAGCGGAGGCGCAGACGGCACGGGTCACCACCCTCCTCGCGGTCCTGCCTTGGAAGCCCGCCCCTGTCCTCCGCCTCCCCCGGCCCTCTGACCCTGCCTGCGTGCCCGAAGCTGGAGCCTTGCCCCTTACCCCCCTCTCTCCCTCCCCTGCTCTCTCACTACTTCTATTTTCCTCTTGATATATCTATCTCTCTTACTCTCTTTGGCCCCTGTCTCCTCAGGGGGCCCCCTACCACACACAAATAGCACCCATAAGCGCAGATCGATATAGGAAGCTAACAGCAGCCTTGTCACCCGGCTACAAGGGGCAGAGTAGTAGGGGGGGTGGTGGGTTAGAGGCGGAAACTGGCAGGACACTGAGAATAGCACCAGAACCCAATAAGGAGGGCTCATACTAGAGCCATTGGAGGCTTACAGCGCGACCCCCAATAGCGAGAGGGAGCCAATGATTGGCCCCACCACATGCGATTGCGATCATCATTATTACCTTTCAAAACCAGTAGCACATAACTGCAATGGCCCTATACCCATACCCCACCCGAAGGGATGATCAGGCCAGGCTACTAGATACGTAGACATGACCCACACGGACACTAGCCCTATAACAGCTCTTGTGGACCTGACCGCACGATTACTGCAGACCCCTACTACGCACCATCATTTTATACAAGTTAATGTAAGATCAAAACTGTGCCTCTGTTCCACGCTATGTATATATTGTTTATTATGCTGTTCCTACTATACGCAAATGTTGTCGTGGCGACACGACCTCTGGTGTCATCTTGTGCACAGACAAATAAAGAATTAAAAAAAAAAAAATAATGCCAAGCATTCACACAGAAACATACATACATCAATGCACACATTACATTTTATGTACATTCAAGAGAGGGTTTTACAAATGCTTGGAGTTTTACTTGACTGCAACATCCATAATAAATATGCACGTATTGATGGCTTTATTATCTAGTTTATATCATACGTAAGATTTAATATATGCATACCATGTGTAGCTTGTCTTACAAAATAGTTTTATTTATAACAACATATTAATATTTGTAGAGATGGTTTTCTATGTTGAAAGCCAGGTTTCTGGGTTCTGTATTTTACATTGTGTTTCCCTCTTTGCATATCCCATTGTGTTTCTGTATGATTTTTATATTTGCTCCATTTCTGCTGATTTATAATCTTTTTCCCTGTCCTGTCACCTACAGTTGACTCGGCTATGAACACAATAAACAACAGCCTTGACATTGAAGGGATAAGTCGCTTAATCCGCGTCCCGAGGGGCTGCGCTGAACAAACCATGATTTTAACTGCACCAGGGGTGTATGCACTCCGTTACCTGGATCACACTGAGAAATGGACATTACTGTCACCTGATCGTAAAGACCAAGGTCTGGCTGTTATGAACCAAGGTGAGAGGTTTCTTAATGATCTAACACAATGTCAAACATAATTACAACTTGTGGAAGAAGTGGGATACATAAGGCAGTTTACGGTTATATGATATCTACAAATGTTTGGATATCTATGACCCTTCCAGGCAAGGAGTACTAAGTAACTGATATGATTTGTCAGCCAGCAAATTCATAAATTAAAAGATAAACTTACTATCTTACTATATCAGGGGTCCTCAAACTCCGGCCCCCCAGATGTTCCTGAACTACAACTCCCATTATTCTCTGGCTACCTATGTAATTCAAAGAATCATGGGAGTTGTAGTTCAGCAACATCTGGGGGCCCGGAGTTTGAGGACCCCTGTACTATTTGATGCCTACACTTGGTGGAACTAAGGTAAGATGTCAGACAGTTTACAAATGGAGGGCCCAAGGGCACTCCTGGCGCCATTATCACTACCGGGAGCTGTAGTAGTTATGGTGCCTAGACTGTTCTTTTAATGTTTTTTACAGTTGGTGATGTCACAAGGTGCTGACTGTGCCACTGTTAATGGTGTCAGAGATACTTTCATTAAGCAAGAGACCAGTTTGCAACTGGATAAATAAAGTGTCACAAACTCTTGCATTGGAATACGTCATGAATGTGATATTGTTGGCATAAACTCTGGGTGGAAAATAAATATCTCTATGTATAGATACTGGCTATCAGACATGAGCCACCATAGTGATGATCCATAAATCTTTATCCTGTTTAAAAAATAAATACATCACAAAATATATTTTTAAAAAATTAAAAATAGCCACCTGCTCAAATTGTCAGAAAAATTAATTGTTGTAAAGACTAAAAAGCCCAACGCATTTCATGATGCATTTGTTCACAGGCCATTGTTCTATCTCTAAAGCTTAGCTAATCATAGCAGAAACAACAACTATATGGAGATTATAAAAATAGTGTTCCGGGTGGGTTATAATGCATCGTTTATAGGTGCTGACATAATGTAAATGTAATTTACTCTATATATGTCTAAGGCAGTATCTGGTCTTTCTTTTTAACAGGAATAACAAGGGTATTAGAGTTTAAGAAACCCGATGGATCTTATGGAGCGTGGACGCACCGAGCTAGCAGCACTTGGTCAGGGAACAAGTTCTCATCACTTTCTTATTCTTGCAAACCCACTCATCCTCTTTCTCTTTCTGTGTTTGTTTTACTAAAAGTTGCTGTTTAATTCATTAATCTTTCTCTTTGTGCCCAGGCTTACTGCCTTCATTGTAAAAGTGATGTCGCTCAGCCGCAAGTACATAGACATTGACGTGAATGAACTACGCTTGTCTACAGACTATCTATGTACTAAGCAGAGAGACACCGGGGCATTTGAAGAAATCATGCCAGTGATTCACCAAGACATGCAAGTAAGGAGACGCTAGTCATTCCCATTGGTTTCTTCCTCACTTGTATATTCAAATGACCCACAAGCCCATATTTTCAAACCAGCATCATGGTAAGGACATGCCCACTTTAAAAACTTCCCTTATACATTTATCTAAAGTTCATTTTCCTGAGAATAGATTTCTATTTAACACAGATATCAATTTAGATAATTTTCTTTTAACTTAAAAAAGGAAAAAGTTATAGATTGCAATAGTTTGTAGATTGCAAGCTCTTTCGAGTGGAGTCCTCACCAACGTATGGTTCCTGTAATATTTTGTAATTGTCTCATCTATTACTGAATGTCCCTGTCAGGGTTGTATATATGGAATCCCAAAATTAACAACTTGCAAAAAATAACAAAGAAAAGTCCTAGACAAACAAATACAATCTGGCAAAGCAAGCAAGGTCAGACAATCCAAAGGTCAAATCCAGGCAGCAACGGTGAGGCAATCCAAGGTCAGGTAACAGGTATTCAGGAAAACAGGTAACAGCAGGAAGTAGCACAGAACAACTGAGCAATGAAGGCTCAGCTGTTCCAGGTTTAAATAGGGCGTCAGACGGAAGGCACACCTACTTTGACAAGCCTCCATAACACCCTATTGGTGTATAGGGCTGTCCATCATCTGGGGTTGCCATGGGGAAGTAATTTCCTAATAATTTGTTCCAGCCGCGCTGGTCTGGTGTGAAACGATCGCGCACGCCTCCCAGAGTTTATGGCTGCATTATGTTTCTATGTTCTATGAAAAGAAGAAAAACTACCACAACAACAGGACATAGTCTTAAATTAGAGGGGCAAAGGTTTAAAAATAATATCAGGAAGTATTACTTTACTGAGAGGGTAGTGGGTGCATGGAATAGCCTTCCAGCTGAAGTGGTAGAGGTTAACACAGTAAAGGCATTTAAGCATGCGTGGGATAGGCATAAGGCTATCCTAACTATAAGATAAGGCTAGGGACTAATGAAAGTATTTAGAAAATTGGGCAGACTAGATGGGCCGAATGGTTCTTATCTGCCGTCACATTCTATGTTTTTATGTAATGCAGCCTTCGCACTCCCAGTCCCCCCCATGTAATGCAGCCTTTACACTTCACAAAATAATTTGTAACTAGCAATTTTATATATTGGCATGTGGCTGATGAGTGGATAACTCTGTTAAATGGGCAGTAGTTTTGGTGTGCCCTGTGCCTGTCCCATAATCGGTAGACAACCTGGTTTTGGATGGTTTGACATTTACCATGATCCTCCTGACTATTATCCTTTTTATTTCACTAACTTCTAATGAATGTAATAAGGGGGCTTGTGGCACCATAACTACTACAAAGTGGCTAACAATGATGAGTCCAGCATTTGTTGTAGCACATGATGGCACAATAATAAGCTGTAGTGGTTCTGATCCTAAGGCTGACCCTTAAACCTATGTTTTATTGTCTCGTTTTTGTTTTTTCACAGAAAATTTCAACTAGAGTGCCATCCTCCAATCGTCCCTTTACTAACTGTCCTTTTTCATTCCAGGGTGGCGTTAGTGGTACCAATGCTGAAGTGTCTCTCACAGCCTACGTTACTGTATCTCTTTACCATTCCTTGAGTGCTCTCTCTGACAGCACAAACGTGGTAAGTAACTGACTCTTACTCCTTAATAATCTATGATCTCCATCATTCTTTATTATTTTTCCTTTTTATCTTATTTTCCTCCATCACTCTTTTCTCCTGTTTTCCTCATTTCCTGTTATTTCTAGTCTCTACTTTTATCCACTTTTCTTTGTTGCATTTCACAGAAGACCAGTATAAATAAAGCGATAGAATACCTACGTACCAAACTGAAATCCTTGACGGAAGCATATCCCATTGCTATCACTGCATATGCGCTCGCACTGACCTCTCATGATTCCGTTTTGAGAGACGAGGCCTACATGTTCCTCATGTCTCACCAACAAGGAGATCCCAGTAAGTAATACAACCTTTAAAGAGTTCTAAAATTGTCCAAAATGTTGGGTATATCCAAACCACAACCTATTCATACAACAACCCTAAAATTAATGCCTTTTCCTATCCCTAGTCTCAAGGGATAGGCACGTTCTTTTATGTTGAAATGTTGAGGGTTTCTGTGTTCATGTGTCCAGCTCTGGTAGGCTTTCTGTAAATTAATGGCAATTGCTTTTGTATTTAAGCCTTGGTTAACTTTGTAATTATAATATTGTGTGTGATTATTGTACATGTTTTATTCTTTAAGCAATAAAGATTATTTGGTATATGATCAAATGTGAGAGAGGCTGAACTTGATGGATGCATGTGTCCTTTCAGCTTTCATGGAAGCATGAAGTAAGAATAGTTAGCATGCATCCTTTTATTTATTGATACTTTATTAGTTGCCAGTTCCCTACCTTTTTCACATTCTACTCTGTTTAAAGGGACATTCTCTGTTTAAAGCATTTAGCTTTTTCATTTTACGAAGGGTGTGGATTTTAATAGAAACTGACACTTTTATAAATTAACCATGTTACACCCCCTGGCTGTCAATCAGACAATTGGTTCTATTACTTCCTGGTTGCTTAGCTCAGTGGAGCTAAACTCAAAAGGCAGCAATTGCCCAGAGCACAGGCCCTGCAAAGACTTCTCAGTGAGCTGCATTGGAAACATAGAAAGTCTGGGCTGGGGAAGAAGGGGAGGGCTTGCAAAGGCTACAGACAGGAGATCTACAGCTCTTGCAAGCTGTTTATAAATACACCCCAATGAAAAAATTATTAAATACATGCATGTTTTTACTTGGGGTATGTCACTGGTTCGTGAGTCTGTTACTGTTATTCCTTCAATCCTCCACTAGTCCTAATTCCAGATGTGCTGAATATAGTGAAAGTATTCCTGTTGTGTAGAGTTTCCCCAATATAATGGATGCAACCAGTCGTGTTGGGTAAAAGAAGCATTCTGACCTTTAATAGGCCGCACTTGGCTTTTTATGCAGTGCCCCTAGCCTGGGGTTTCCAGAACAAAATCACAGGGGTTTCCTTCCATCGAGCCATTGTGTTTGAGAGATAGTTAAGCTCCAATTAGACTAATCCAATTATCTCTCAAATAGGAAAGCTTGCATACAATTTTTATATATCACAAAATACATGAAAACAGCATAGGAACCCCACAAAAATTATATTTCTGATTATCCCCGATCTGAGCACACAACATATCCAAAAATCGCTCAGATTGCTTTAGTAAAACTAAAGTTATGTTCGTGCAAAGTTTTGCCCGACCAGCCATGAAGTGGTAGCCCAAAACAGTTCCAGAGAATTGGTCAGACTGGCCAGTCACTTTTGGGTCCATACGAACAAACTGACGAACACATCCCCTGGCTGTTAAGAAATTAATGTTTCCCCCGTTCTCCTAGCTGGTCGGATTGAACGGGCAGGGGTACAAGTTTCCGTGGGGTTGGCAAACACGCGTAGTTGTATACAGTTCCATGCTGTTGACGACCATGTACCGCTGCCCTCGTTTGAGAGACCAAAATGGCCACAATTTGTTAGTGCACGTGCGTTCGTATATACGAATGGCGGCCACCCAGGGAATGCTTGTTTTGTAGTTAACAGCCAGGGGTGGTCGGTGATTATGAGGTGTTAACAAGGGGTCCACACAGAATCTGTTTGTTATCCGAACAGAAGGGAACCATTCCATTTGAATGCAGGGAAACATTAGACGATTATTAAGGGAACACGTACGAGGAGCCCCATCTCCTGTGACAGGGTATATCTACTAAACAGTTATTTTAATTTACTTTTGGGGGGGGCGGGGGGCAGAGGAGCGTCCCTTTTAATATATTTTGTATATCAAGCATATCATTGTATTATTGACCTGTTATTTATCCCCCTCCCCCCCAGTGCCTCTTCTTTACTCCTAAACATGTTATTTTGGAAGTTATTATTTGAATTCATGTTTCCAGTATAACTCATGCCAATTGCCTTTTTATACTCTTGACAAAGGCGCAGCATAGCGCCGAAACGCGCGTCACAGGTGACGCCAATTCTAGGTGGTTTACTATTATTATTATTTTAACAGGGTCTCCTAGGTAGCCTGCGAGTATTCACAGGAGAGGCTATATTTCTTAGTGCTGCCTCGAAGCAGATAGTTACTTTGTGGGTAAGAGAGAAGTCCCTGTGGGGCTTATTATTTATTTGTTCCCTCCACAATGGTAGGGACTTAATGAGATGCCTTAATATGAGAGGAAGGTCTATCTAATAAGGCTTACAGACAGGTATCAAAATAGGGACTTTATGTGGTATGCTTTCACCCTGGTTCAGGTGTCTTTTGGACACAGTATCTATCTAGGTTAGCTACTACTTGTACTACTCCCAGATACCTTTCTTATACTCTTTTGATCCAGCTTAAAATTGAGGGTTTGTGTGGTTTTCCGCTCTCTACTTTTGGTATTCTAACTGGAGTTTTGTTGTTTATTGAGGTGGGGGGGTGGAACCATTATAGATCCCTACCCTCCTGTTCCTTCTAATTACAACCAACAAATTACTCCAGATTAAGCATTTTTGAGTGGGGCTGGTTTGATTATAAAGGTGGGGGTAAGGTCATGGGCGTCCGCAGGAATTTTTCCAGGGGGGGGCATAATTGTAATGACATCCATGCTTGGTACCTTTTTGAGTGTCATGAAAGGGAAGGGGCATAGCCATTATCACATAAAGCCAGGGTGAACAGCGTTTTCACAACTATGGTGTCAGGAATATATGTTTGTATTCCTGACACTATAGTGTTCCTTTAAGCAAATTAAAGGACCATTCTGGTCACCATAACAACTTCACCTAAATGAAAATGCTATGATGCCTGGAAGCCCCTGGGTGCTCGCTTTCCTTTAAGGGGTTAAATCACTCTCAAATGGTTTAACCCCAAAGGCTTCCTCCAGCTCCAGGTCGCTCAGTGGTATTTGGCTTCTGAAACAGAGTGTCAGGAAGTGCAGATTGACGTCAGGCATGGGTGCCGCTGATTGGCTAGAGTGGTCAGTTGACGCTCTAAGCCAATCGCTAGTTCCCGGTTCATAAAATATTTTTACTTTTTTATGAATGGGGAGCTACTGATTGGCTTAGAGTGCCAGCTGACCGCTCTAGCCAATCAGCAACACCCCTACCCAACGGCACTCTGTGCTTCCTGACACTCAGTAAATAAAAGTGAACACATTAATACTGATATTTTTTTACCTTTGGAGATGAGAAGGTCCAGCGTTTCCCTGCCTGGCCCAGGTACCAAAGCCTTATGATGTGGTGTCCAGAATAAAGTGGAGGCTTCACTTCATTTGTCCTTCCTGCTCCAATTTCTTTTTCCTCTCCTTCATTTGACAGTCTTTTTTTTTTTCTTCTGACACTGTTTTCTATCCTTGGCCCCTTCTGCTCTTTTACCTTTCTGCTACTTTCTGCTTATTTTGCGCCCTTCTGCTCCTTTCTCATTCTGATCCCTTTCTGCTCCTTGCAGACCCTTTCTGCTCCCTTTTCTACTTTATCTTTGTGCTCCTTGCTGTCCTTTTCTGCTCCTTCTCCTACTTTACCTTTGTGCTCCATCTGATTCTTTCTGCTCCTTTACCTTTGTGCTCCTTCCTGCTCCTTGCAGGCCCTTCCTGCTCCTTCTCCTATTTTACCTTTGTGCTCCTTCTGCCCCTTCCAGCTCATTTCTGACCCTTTCTGCTCCTTCTACTTTACCTTTGTGCTGCTTTACCTTCCAGCTCCTTGCTGACCCTTCCTGTTCATTTCTGTTCCTTTGTGCTCCTTCTCCTACTTTACCTTTTGTGCTCCTTGCTGTCCCTTCCAGCTCCTTGCTGCCCCTTTCTGCTCCTTGATGTCCCTTCCTGCTCATTTCTGTTCCTTCTCCTTTTCTTACTTTACCTTCCTGCTCCTTGCTGACTCTTCATGTAGGCTGTCTCCCCCATCCCTCACTTCCATAGGCGTGCGCACGGGGTGTGTCGGGTGTGCATGGGCACACCCTAGTCCCCGCGGCACGCCAATGGATTGAGACCGGCAGGGGATATTCCCGGTCGGCTCATGCAGAGCCGACGCTATCCGAGCGGCAGCTCTGGTCTAAGCCTCCATGGGCCGGTGGGGAGATCAAAGTTCTACCTCACGGTCCACAGCAGCATGGAGGGAGGCAGCAGAGAACCCGGGCTAGAGTTCACTCTCCACTGAACCACCAGGGAAGGCAGCAGGACTGGGATATTAACTAATCTGCCCCCACCTCCACCCAAACATACAGCACACACACAGCACCTACACACAGCACACACAGCCCACAAACAGCACCCACACACATACATCACCCTCGCACACACAGCACCCATACACACCCAGCACACTAACAGCATCCTCACAAACACACAAAACCCACACACAACACCCGCACAGCACCCACACACAAACAGCACACTCTCATACAAACAGCACCCTGACAAACACACAACACCCGCACACAAACAGCACACTAACAGGACCCGAACAAACACGCACACACAAACACCCTCTCACACACACACACACAGACACAGCACACTACCAGTTCCCTCACAAACAGCACCCTCACACACAGCACACTAACAGCACCCTCACACACACACACAGCAGTGTGTGTGTGTATACATGTATATATATATATAACATATATGTATATATATATATAACATATATGTATATATATATATAATATGTATGTGTATATGTGTATATATGTATATGTGTGTATATATATATATATATATATATATGTGTGTATGTATGTATGTATATATATATATATATATATATATACATACACACACATACATATACACATGGCGTGTTTGTGCTTTAGGGTGCACACCCTAATGCAATAGGCTGTGCACGCCTATGCTCACTTCCCTTATCTATAGGCTGCTGCCCCCCCAAAATCTATAGACTGCTGCCCCCCCAGCCTCACTCCCTAATCTATAGGCTGCTGGTCCCCCCAGCCTCACTCCCCAATCTATAGGCTGCTGCCCCCCCAAAATCTATAGCCTATCTCAAACCCTCCCACCATCCCCCACTTACCTGATCTGTAGGCTGTCTCTGGCTGCATGTGTTGTTCCCCTGCGGTTTCAATCAGCAGAGAGAAGCAGGGATAAGATGCAGCTTCCTATCCCTGTCTCTCTCCATACACAGCGCCACCTACTGGCCGGCGCCGGTATTGCAGTTCATTTTCAATCACACGAAAAATAGCAGAACAAGCTGAAAAATCCAGGGGGGGGCAAGTGCCCCCCCTTGCCCTCCCCTGCGGACGCCCATGGGTAAGGTACTATCTAAAATTCCTACCCTCCTGCTCCTTATAATCACATGTCACTAAACATACCAGTTCACTGGATTATAGTTACATAGTCCTAATCTAGCTCTACTGAAATACTTACCTCTACTGAATTCTTACCTGTTCTAATATTTATAAATATTTTGAATATTAAGAACATTTCTAAAACTTCTAATATTTTAAATAAACGCCTTGCTCTATCTTCCTGATCTCCTTTGACTGCTGTAATTCCGTCTAAATGGCTCCATTTTAGCCATCCATTTGGAATAACATTGTAATGGTGAACAGCTGTTCTTTTGATATTATTCATCCTTTGATTTGGATTGATCAGGGATTAGTACATTTCTGCATGTTTAGGCTACGACGGGTTAGGCAGACTACCTAGGTTTCTCCATTTAAAGTCACCTTTCACAATCACATTTTTTCTCACTTGTTTTTTCTTCACTGTGTAAATATTAATAAAGATTATACAATTTTTAGTTTTTTACTGATTACATTGAGTTGCATATCTCTCATGTGGGTAATCTTATCTTTTTTTGAGAGTGAATACCCATAGTCTTTGACTTGGGTCCCTTTCTCTCATAAAGAGATTCATTTTTCTAATGTCAATTCCCATTCTTTGCCTTACCTTATTCTGCCTTCTTGTCCCTTGAAACATTTTTGTTCCCTCTAACAGTATATTGAGAGGTTGAAACACACTTCAAATTTATCCTTTTGCCTGTTATCCAATTCTTCTTAACACAGAGAAGAATGATATGTATTTTGGACCGAAAACTAGTGCCCTCGCTGTAGAGACCACCGCCTATGCTCTGCTGACTGCTCTACTCCGTAAAGATATGCCCTCTGCCCATAGGATGTATACCTGGCTAACCGAACAGCAGAATTATGGTGGGGGCTTCAAGTCAACCCAGGTGAGGGAAGACATTAAAATGGAAGATGATGGTGAGAGAATTAGCAAATGTGTGCTTGTGTGTTTTCAAAAAATTATTTGGAGACTTTTTGAGCATTCAATATACCTGTATCTCAAAGTGCAAAAAGTATCAATCACTGTTTGTTAAAGATAAGGAAACAAAATTCACATAATTTAAAAGTTGCCAATTTCTATCATGCATTTAACAGCCAGATGGGATCCACTAGCAGGTATAAGTGTTAGTGTTTTCCAAAAAGTGGAGCATGGTGGGGAGAAACGGGGGGTTTCATTGAATGAAGTGGTCTGACTTTACTGGTCCTTTAAATCTGTTTTTTTACCTGTTGTTATTTTTGTGCGCTTTCATTTGGAGGAAAGGAAAGGAGGGAAGGTCTGCTTCCTGCTGGCCCCTAAGTGGGCAGCGGAAGCTCGAAGAGACACAGTCCCATATTTTGTTGAAGTGGATCATGGTGTCATGTATTGCTGCAGAGAGTTTGTCCATCTTTTTTGCACCTTCCACTTCGCGTGGTACCGCGCTTAGTGGTGGGATGTCTGTCCTTCCCCAGTTTTCTGCAATTGCTCTCTGTGTTGCTAGCGCAACAGAGTTAACTATCTTTTAACTTCGCAATATTTAGTTATTCACTTCCTTTGTTCATCTTGAAGCTGAACTCTCTGATGGCTCTTTTGACTGGTGACAGGTCCAATGGCTAAATTAACGCGATTCTATAGTGTAAGAAACACAATGTTGTATTCCTAAAGTTGTGTTCCCTCTGCTACCACACCTACTAGCTCAAATGTTTTGACTCTAGCTCAATTCCAGCTCTATCTCCCTCAGTGCTGAATCGGTACTCTGCCTCCTCTGACATCATCCAAGCACATTGGAGATTTTACTGACACTGGATGTCCTCAGGCAACCAAAAGCTGCTAAACTACCAGGAAATGCCTCTAGTGGCTCTCTGGTTGACATCCACTAGAGGCAGTCTTTGTCTTGCAATGTTATGATTGCAGTTTCTAAAAAATAGGCTGAAGTGGTCTGTGTGCCTATAGTGTCCCCTTAATGTAACTATGAGATGTTCTTTAATTTTTCATATTTATATTTGTAGATTTCAATTTTTAATTCACATTGCATGTCTCTCTATATAGGCATACATATCCCATGTAGATTTTGATCAAGGCCAATATTTTATATATTACACATAAATCTGATATATCAGAAACACAGCGAAATAGACATTATGTAGATATATTCAGCTATTTTTCCAGCAAAGTTATTTTGAACTAAAACTTGAAATGTATTTGTTAATTCACAATTCTCAGCAAGTGATTTGTGGAGAACAAAAAACTAATTTGCAAACATCTTGAATGTCTGCCTTTTTGTGATTTGTTAGCATAATTAAAATCGTTCAATTTTAGTTCATGCAAAAATCTTTTATCATCAACAAATTTCAAATACTCTATTTTCATGGGCATAAGAACAGTTTCATAGATCGTGTATCTGATTTTAGCTATAAAATTTACATTGATTAGAATTAAAATAATTATATGAGTGTTCAAAAGAGTTCAATAACAAAATAAAAATAGTACAGAGAATCTGCGTTGTAGAAGAAGTGGAGGAGGTTTAGCGAGAAGAAGGCAATAACTGTCCAAATTTCGTTACGTGTAACCTGTAGGACACCGTGATGGCCCTTGAAGCTCTCTCTGAATACTGGATTGTCACTAGCAGCGAAAATGAGAATTTTATAGACGTGGAAATAAACTCATTAGAACGACAGGATCGTAGGCAGAAATTCCAGCTGCGGAATGAGGACAGCATTGAGGAAGAGATGGTAAGAGGGGAGAAGATGAGCGGTGTAAATGGGATACTGGGACAGACAATGATAAACTGATGAATGTGAGAAACGCAGAGTAACAAAGGTGCGTTACGATGAATGAATAGAGATTGGAGGGAATAGTGAGGGGTGGCAATAGAAGGAAGAGATACAGACGGGAGTTGATGCAAATACGTGTGGAATGGAATGATAGCGTAACAGAGGGGAATGGACATGACGAAATCGAGCATTGGAGATAGAAGGACACTGACAGATATTAACCCTTATTTATTTATACAGAGGTCATTCGGAAAAAGCTTTGAAATAAAAGTTACTGGCAAGGGAAAAGCAACTGTAACAGTAAGTATTAATTCCATAGTTATACAGTTGGGTATTATGTGGAGCGAGGCTAAAAAACAGAAGCAAACCAGAAGACTATAAATCGTACAATTCCACAAATAGAATGCCCCAATACAGGGCAAACCTTTCCCAGAATCCTTTGCTAAAAATTATAGCATTAACCCCTTAAGGACGGAGCCAAATGTACACATTGTGAACAAAACAAAATGTAAACAAAACCTGCCATTTGCGCTACATGTCTGTCCAACCGTAATACACCTCTTTCATAGTAAATGCACCCACCCTTATTATATATCATTTTATTCAGGGGAAACAGGGCTTTCATTTAATATCAAATATTTAGCTATGAAACATAATTTAATATGAAAAAAATGGGAGAAAATAAGTTTTTTTTGGATTTTTTTAGTTCTACATGACATTTTAACGGTCAATGTCATAATACTGTTTGCTTTTACTGCAATAAAATACACATATTTATATTCAGTAAAGTCTCACGTGTAAGACAGTACCCCCTATGTACAGGTTTTATGGCGTTTTGGGAAGTTACAGGGTCAAATATAGCACGTTACATTTGAAATTGAAATTCGCCAGATTGGTTACGTTGCCTTTGAGACTGTATAGTAGCCCGGGAATGAAATTTACACCCATAATGGCATACCATTTGCAATAGTAGACAACCCAAGGTATTGCAAATGGGGTATGTCCAGTCTTTTTTAGTAGCCATTTGGTCACAAACACTGGCCAAAGTTAGCGTTAGTATCTGTTTGTGTGAAAAATGCAAAAAATGACAATTTTGGCCAGTGTTTGTGACTAAGTGGCTACTAAAAAAGACTGGACATACCCTGTTTGCAATACCTTGGGTTGTCTACTATTGCAAATGGTATGCCATCATAGGGGTAATTTTCATTCTTGGGCTACCATAGGGTCTCGAAGGCAACCTAACCAATCTGGCGAATTTTAATGTGAAAAAACTGAAATGCAAGCCTTATATTTGACGCTGTAACTTTTGAAAACACCATAAAACCTGTACATGAGGGGTACTGTTGTACTCGGGAGACTTCGCTGAACACAAATATTTGTGTTTCAAAACAGTAAAAAGTATCACAGCAATAATATTGTCCGTGTAATGCTGTTTGTGCGTGAAAAATGCAAAAAACTTCACTTTTACTGGCGATATCATCGTTGTAATACATTTTACTGTTTTGAAACACTAATATTTGTGTTCAGCGAAGTCTCCCGAGTAGAACAGTACCCCCCATGTACAGGTTTTATGGTGTCTTGGAAAGTTATAGGGTTAAATATAGTGCTAGCAAATTAAATTCCCTTTACTTTCGGCATGGGTTGTCAGGCAGGTCCCGCTAATTGTAATTAATTAAGATACCTAATTATGTAAAAATATTACATAAATATATATGTAGAATTAATATATGTATATATATACGTATGTGTATATATATGTATATATCTATATAATTTTTTAAATATTTTTATTTATATATAGGTATATATATAGTGATATATACGTATATATTTATGTATATAGATATATATATTATTTCGTTCTACGTGTATTTTGATATAAATATATATATATATTAATATCACAATACAGTTAGAACGAAATAACACACATCTATATATTTTTTAATTATTTATTTTTAATTATTTTTTTAATTTTATTTTTTAACGTATTTACATTTTTATTTTTTATATTATATATAAATATATATATAACAATAATTATATATATATTTAATCAGTATCAGTCTACGTGTAATTTGATATTAATATATATATATATATTATATATATATTAATAGTAAAATACACCTAGACGGTGTATGTGTGTGTATGTATATGTGTATATATATACTTAGATCATATATATATAATATATATATATGATCTAAGTATATATAATTATTTTTTTTTACACCATTAACTTTTTTTATTTTTATTTTCAGCCAGCAGGGGGACCACCTGTCATTACAGGCAGCCCCCCTGCCGGCAATACAGAAGCCAGCTATACCCGGCCATGTGATTGTGGGGTCCTCGCTAGGACCCCACTCTCACATGGCCGGGGGGCTTCGACGAGGACGGATGTGCCGCGGGGGGCTCCCTGGGAGTCCCCCCAACCGCGATCGCCGGCGTGGGACTGCCGGCGACCGGGTAAGTTAACAAAAACCGGAGGACGTACAATTACGCCCGGCGGCGTTTAGAGCCGCCTATTAGAGGGCGTAATTGTACGTCCTCCGGTTTTAAGGGGTTAAAGAGCATTGAGCTAGATAAATCTAATTTTTCATCCAAGCAAACACATTGGATAAGAATTTTAGGACAGGGTGTCAGCCACCTCCCAATTGTCCCACTGCTAACGTAAGGCATGATGAGGCTGTACGTACACATTGCCTCCTCCTGTGAATATGGTCTTGTCACCGCTTTAGAATCTGCGTGAGCCTCACACCTCTGCAACAACAGAGCACGTGCCAAGAGGGAACAGATAGTATATGAAAGGGCTAATTACTAACGTAAGAATTGCCAGGGATTCAAAGGGAATTTAAAATGTAAGGCTAAAATATACAAACTGAACACAGCATTGGCAAGGATAATATTTCTAAATCAACTCATTTGGCCTAAATTCTGAACTTAATTTTGAATTCTTGCTTTAGTGATTAAAGCTGATATATGTGATATGGCAGTATCACTGAACTCCAGGTATTTACTAAACAAACTCTTGCCCCAAACCATCCCTCACATCAAGCAGAGGAAGATGGAGAGAGAGAACCAGCTGTGTCTTTTTATGTGTGGGGCTCCCCTGACTCCGAGTTATGTCATATGAATAAATATTGTATCAAAATGAAATCTGTGTTAATTCTATACTGAGATAGACATGTCCAAGCCCCCATAGCTGTTACTAATTTTGAAAATGTCTAGGCTCTTACAGTGTTAGAACCTAATTATGCCATATAATCAGATTCAAAAGTCAGATAATCTGACCGCAGATTCCAACTCCAACGAATGACAAGGTTCTGCGATTGTGTCATTGTTTGATTTGATGATGTGATTTTGTGTTTATGCTATTGTGCAGTTATCATTGCTTACAGCTGCCTGGTTGTATTGACCTGGATCCTGATGGTGATGTTTGTGTGACTTTTCTCAGGTGCTGAAGTCATACAATGCCATGCAGACAGAGACATCGACATGTTCAAAACTGGGACTCGAGGTAACATTGCAGGAAGTGGATGGTAATGCAGGTAGGTGACTTTAAAGTATAAAGCAGTTGTTACTCTATTTGTAATGTTTGAATGTTTTACTTGCCCTTCATTCAATCTGGACTGCCCCCCATATCTGCTCACAAGAGGCATGAGGCTATTGCTGCACCTTACTGCACACGGATAAGCAGCATACCCTGTAAGCAGCATAGTAACAACAGGAGCTGAATGGATTAGAGCAAGACAGGGCTTAAAGCGACACTACTGGCACCAAAACAACTTTATCTTAACAAAGCAGGTTGGGTGTATAGATCATGCCCCTGCAGTCTCACTGCTCAATCCTCTGCAATTTGGGAGTTAAATCACTTTATCACACAACCTCTGCATATGTCTACACTTTTCTGAGATAGATCTAATGTTTACATTTCCTTTATTGCACAGTGTGTTCAATTTAGAATTTATTATCTACTGCTTTGTTAATAGCCTGCTAGAGTCTTCAGGACACTAGGGAATAGGCAAATATAACAACAGAATGAGAATAGAGAAATATCAGCAGTGAATGCAACAACCAAAGTAAAACTAAAATCTGTAACGAGAATATACCCCAACACGCAGGATTCAGCTAAACAGAAGACAACACAGAGGAGAGATACGTCTACCGGACCTTAGAATGGCCGGACTCGACGTATATGAGAGGAGACAGAGTCAGGAACGATCCGAAGTCAAGGGCACAGAGAGACAGCGTAAACTAGGACTAGCCGGGGTCTGGTACACAGTAAACAGCAAGCCGGCAAACAGAACAGATAAGGATAAAGAGAAAACGTAGTCAGAAACAAAGCCAAGGTCAATACAAAGAAACAAAACTGAATCACAACAAGCGCTAAAGGGAACTGAAACAGAAACCACGATAGGGCAGGGAGTAAAGGGAGAGGTAAGTTTAAATAGCTTCTAAACTAATGTGATTGGCTCCTGTCATATCCACACCCCCAAAAGGTAAGTGTATGGGGAGTGTGGCATGACAGGGGCCAATGGGATCCTTTTATTAATTTAGGCTCCCACTGTCTCTTTAAGAGCGCGCCAGAGACTCGCGGCGCGCTCTTAGATTCAGGCGGGACACGTGACCGCTTCTTGCGGTCACTGCCCGCCTTCCCATTGAAGCCGTCGGATGAGCCGCGCGCGGCTCGTGCAGCAGCAGGACCGCGCGTGGCTCGAAGAGAGGACCGCGGCCGGCCCCTGGATAAGGTAAGTAACGCTACAAAATCTCGACCTAAAACCACCCCTTTCAGCATTTTACTATTTGAATTTCCAGTGTACTTGCTTATATCCCCTTGTATCTCTTCATCCGCAGTGTTTGAAAGTACAGAGGACTATGAATATGAGGACTATGGGGAGCAGTTGGCGGATGAGCCCAGGGATAACATCGATTGGCAGGACAAGCGAACTAGAGCTCAGAGAGACCTCGCTTGGCACGACATGCGTACAAGAGCACGGAGAGAGGCGTCTCAACCAAAAGCCAATGACCCAAAGGTGTCCTACAAAGTCTGTGTGTGGTAAGGAAAAGGAGAGAAAAAGACAGATTGAGAGACCACATTATATTTAGCCATCAACAAGAGAATATGATGGGTAAGGCAGGGCAAACATTAGAACAGGATAACACATGTTAAATTTGGGGTAGAATTTTAATCATGCATTGCCTCTTATACAGAATGGTGCTATTAAAACTGATGCAAAGTTGCTTCACATTAACGTAGCTAGAGAGAACCATGGGAAGAGGTATTTTGGGTGAGCACAGAGAGTAATGGGAAGGCTATTTTTTATTTAAGTATTACTTTTCAATATATTATTATTACAAACAGAAATTTTTGAATTTTATATTTCACTTGAGGTATCATAACATTTTAAAGTTTAAAAAATGGAAATATACATTTATTATAAAACAAACGTTCATTGAAAGTTTGACAAAAAGAATGGTGAAATCTGTATTTCTTTTTATCTCTTGCCTTTTGTCTTCTTTTGCGTCTCGTGACCCCCATCCCTTTCTCTAACCCTGCTTGTCTCTATCTCAGGAAAAAGCCAGGTGCACATGTTTCTGGAATGGCTGTTGTTGACATTACAATGCTAAGTGGTTTTGAACCCAACACACAGGATCTCGATATGGTAAGAGTTGACATTATTTGAAGAAAACATGCTTAATAGTTTTTTGTACCTTTTCCATCATTCATAGTGGTCGGGGTCACTGTAAAGTCCTACGTAACCTGGTAAAATCTACTGAGCATGGTGCCTTTTACTTATAAACCGTCACCACCCTGAAATGTATTATTATAAGACACAGTTGTGCTTTGTTTCAAATTATTTCTGTCTTTTTATTCACCTTCCCTGGAATTCTTACATGTCTTGTAATGTGTGCTCTGTGTCTCGCAGCTGAAAGGAAGCAACGAACGCTACATCAGTCACTATGAAAGCCACCCTGGGAGAGTTGTCCTGTATTTTGACAATGTAAGTTAAAGTTACAGCCAAGGGATATATAGAGGGTAGATATAGGGGATAACAGTAAACTGAAAAGTGGGGGTTCGTTTTGCAGATATCAATAGAAAACTGGTTAATTGTAACTGGCATTACAGAATGAAGACAGGGAAAAATGCACTTATAGGAGCTGTCTCGATCAGTACGGGCCCTAAGCTGAAACCTCTTTTCTTCACCATTACAATCTTGTACCCACAAGGCTGGCAGTAGAAGGGGCTGAAACCTCTTTTCTCCACCATTACAATCTTGTACCCACAAGGCTGGCAATAGAAGGGAATGGAGTTTGGATTTTGTGGGGCATTTAGAAGAAGAGTTTAGAATAAGGGGTCCCCATGAAAGCTGCACCCACCCTTGATCCCACATAGAACATATGATAACATAGGATTGGTCTGTTTCCCCACTTCTTATTTTCGCTCTTTGCCTTTGCAGACTGTATTAACAATCTCTCTGTCTCTCTGGACATATCTCAGGTCCCAGATACTGTGGAAGACTGTGTGGTTTTTGAAGCCATTCAGAAAGTTCGAATTTCCCTCCTCCAGCCTTCATCTGCCGTTGCTTATGATTTCTATGAGCCAGGTAGCATCAGAGATAAATGAAAGGCACATTGATCACTAAACATTTTGATCTGTCTCTTTCTCAACTTTTTTTAAGCTTTCACAACCAGGTTGTTTATTCCTTTTATCTCATGTAATCTGTTGTTTCTCTTTAGTTTGGTTGCAGCTCTATTGTACCGTGCTACTAAATATGTTCATGCTATATAAATACTAAGGTGCTATTGTTAAAATATTTGTCCCCACAGAGACCCGATGCACAGCTTTTTATGCAGCACCCAATAAACCAAAATTCATTAGCACTCTATGCACAGGTGAAGTTTGTCAGTGTGCAGAGGGTAAGTATTCACCAGAACTCAAGCATTCTATCTCAATATTCAGATGACCAAGCACAGTCTCCCCTTCATTGAAATGTGACTGCATGTTCATGTGAAGCAGTTAAATATGTGCACATGGAATTGTATGACCCCCAAATAAAACTGTGCCCCCAAAAATGAACTAGAAAATTTCTTAATGCAGTCTTGTCCCAAAATGCATTGTATTTTATTATTTAAAGCATGATTAAAATTCATGGATGTTCTACAAACCAGTAAGCCAACAATCCGGATGTACAGTATAGTCTTCTCATTATCTTGAAAAAAACAAAAGTTAGGAGGCCCCTTTCTTGGACTTGTAAGAGGTATCTAAGAATAATACATGCAGTTCTCAGAGACTGTTAATAGTTTTTAGACATTGTGTTGTCTCTCCTAATTATATATAAAAAACTTTTTTTTTTTTTTTTTACAAACATGTTGTACTTTTATATTTAAATACAGGTTCATGCCCTGAAAAACGGTTTATCATGATTAAGCGTGAAGATAAAGTCCTAACGCTTACGGGTCGACAAAACTTTGCCTGCTATGATCCTATAGTTAAGAATGGTGAGATGTTCTAGTTAGCATGGTTTTGGGTGGGAATGAGACAAAATGTGAGCGGTTGGTCAGAATAAAAATCAATCAGTAGGAAATGAGAAAATCTTTGGGCCCAAAGTATAAAATGTTGGCGGAAAAAGAGACAGATATGGGTGGGATTAGAAAGTCATGCAGTTGGGATTAGATATTATTTAGAATAGAAGTAGATGTTATAGACTCATGGAATGTGTTGTGGGTAGGAACGAGATGATATGTTGGGGGAATGGGCCGGGTTGTAGAAGCAAAGAGGAGAGTTGTGACTGTGAGAATGAAAACATGGACAGGTAGGAATGATAGAGAATGATAGAGAATGCCAGAAATATATAGAGAATGCCAGAACTATATAATATTAAAGGGACAAGAAGAAATGAGGGTGAAATGGAGCGAATGAGAATAACGAAGAAACTGATACAGGAAAGGGAGAATTTGAAGTGATTGGGACTGTAATCTGTAGCACAATTCTCATTGAAAAATACATGTTAAAAGAAACAATGAGTGTAATGTAGGTGAATTTACAACAAGGAAATTAATAATTTATTATGCATACTAGTAATAGAAAATAATTTATATATCATACTTCCTTTTAAATAGTTTCAGAATCAGGATTTCCCATGTGTGCCATTGAGCCTCAGGAACAGTTGGTAATAACAAAGATCTTCATGGCACTGTATGTAATGACCACAGATACAATACAATAGTTGTTTTATCTCCATAAACACAGGTTACCGGGTGAAGGTGGAGGCCATTACAGAGGAAGACGCGTTTATAGTCTACAAAGCTAAGATTGTGGATGTTCTACAAACCAGTAAGCCAAAGAGCCTGATATACAGTATACTCTTATCTAGATCAGGGCTTGAAAAATTCCATAGAATCTATAAAAGGGACAGAAGAAAAGGCTAGGAGGCCCCTTTTTTTGGACTTTTGTGACATTTCACACAATATACACAACTACTCAATATGTAGGAAAATTAATTGTGCTGTGCCGCTGCCCCACTCCCCAACTATATAAAGTTCAAAAACATGTGAATACAGACTCAGTGTTAAACGATCACAGGAGATCCAGTGGTGCGTCAACCCATATTCCTGAGTATCCATGAAACCACAGCAACAGAATCGATGCTCATAGTGTGGTCAAGCTGAATCTACGGAATCAAAAGGATGGTCCGTGAAAGGTGCCGTTTTATTAGTGCAAAACATAATACGTGCAATACAAGAATGCTGGCATACTAGTTACATTATCTGCAGAACTTCAAAATAAGTGGAGAGGGGAGAGCAGGAAAAAAAAAAAAATGCCCAGAAAAAGAGACACTGTCAGTGTTTTGTGTTGAAAACAAAGCTTTCTCTGCAGCTACCTACCGTATATATTACAGCTACCCATATATTAATAGGATACAAAGGAAAGCCCAGAAGCCCTGTCTGAACCTTAAAAATAACATGTTGAAGTTTCCAATCAGAAATTGGGAGATTATAGTTGAACAACACACAGAAAAAAAGCCAACAAGAAAGTATCAAAACAGTTAAATCAACATGCATTTTATAAACGGATTGAAATGTTTAAAGGGTTATTCTAAGCATCGTACACACTATAGCACACTTTAGTGGTTATGATACCAGAAGTACAATGGCCCGGTCGCCTGTAATAAGGCAAACTGTTACTGTTCCGAGGCTGGCTGGTGGTCTGGTGATGCGATTCCATCGGCTGCAGAAGCCGCAGTCTTTGACATTCCTTGGCTGACAGCATCAGCTGCTGGCTCTCAGCCAGTGACTGGCTTTCTATGCAATGAAGTGACATTAGCCAGCCCACTGCTGGAGGTGGAGTTACACCTTTTACAACAGAGGCGTTAAACTCTGTATGTGCAACGTTTCATAGCAAAATACTGCACATACAAACTCCAGGCACCATAACCATTTCAAATAGTAGTCATAGTGCTTGGAGCAACCCTTTAAGTAACATAAGTGTTTGGTGGCAGAATTACTCTTATTTTTTTCCTGACGTCTGTCCATCTGTATGTTTCCAACTCTAGCCGGAGATGAGGACATTGAACCTGGTAGTATTCGGTTATTCTATCAACGCAAATCATGCAAAATGCATTTGACGGAAGCAGACTATCTGATAATGGGAAGAGATGGAGAGACCAAGGACTCAGAAGGAAGGTAAAGGGGGAACGGGTAGAATATCCTTCCAAATGACCCAGGCACAATTCAGTCATTAAGTCATTCACTTTCTAATTGTCCTATATTTGGAATCTTATATTTATTTTGTGAAGTATACAAATGTTTTCTTTACGATGCTCCTGTTTTACTAACATGTTTCAATCTCATCGCCTGTCTCTCACTCTCCATCAGAATGCGATACTTTCTGGATAGCAATTCTTGGGTAGAGGAGTTGCCCGGCCCACAAGTATGCTCTGCAACCCGTTTCCGGAACCAGTGCTTCGATTTGACAAGCTTTATGGAGACCTATAAATCCAATGGTTGCCAGGTGTAACCTGAACCTGTTTATTGACAAAAATCTGTTTAAAATTCGATTAATACAGATGGAATGCTGCTCCCAGAATTCCATCTGTACACATCCACTGCTTGCGTTTTATTTCTATCACTATAATAAACACACTGTGAAACTCACTGGCCGTCTTTAAGTTATCTGAGATTTCTCTGAATGTTTTTGATGTAGAAGGGAGATTGGTTGAATTCTAGAAAATCATTCTATTTTGGCTAAAGCTCAGGACTTCCATAGGATTCCTGTACATATCTCAAGTAATGGCACAGATTACAATTACAGGGTTATTCACTAAACACTCTGAATGGACAAATTGGTGAACATGGCTGATTTATGATCAGACTGACAATTCTCATATTTACTAACGCCCGTTCCGGTCGAAATTTGGTCAGTCCAACTGAATCTGTATTATTTAGTCAGAAACATTTGGTGTGTATTTTCAAATCAGTACTTTTCGCATCTAAACCCTACACAAAGTAAAGGATTCAGAATGTACAAAGGTGAAATCAGGTACACATTCACAAATGATCGTTCACTCGCTTTTTGCAAGCGAACAATATTTTGAAGCACTATTTGAGAATATTCCTATGGTAAGTCTCACGAGAAAAAGAGTGAAAGCTTAAACTCCACATGGTTTTATATTTGTTGTGGTAGTTTAATTTTTTTGTCAGATTTTTTGAGATTCAGTTCTTTTTTTTATAGTACGTCAAGAATTAATGTAAAAAATGTTTAAGAAGAAAGAAGACATGTTAATTATGATTTGTTTTCACACGTATTAGATTTAATAAGTAGCCCCCACCACCTGACCACAGGTTGGGGCCCAGGAGACACTAGGATATCTTTTCAATTTTTTTTATATAGTAGCTCCCCCCCCATTGCCCACCCCCTTCCTGCTTACCATAGGTTGAGGAGGTAGACAGTAATCTAAAGGACAACATTTTCCCGATGGGTTCCGGTCCTTACTTCCACTCTTGTCATCATTGTGCATTTGGCGCTTACATCTTTGTGCATCCTTGCATCATGACGTCATGACGGTATCGGCATAGTAAAGTAGTGGGGGCGTGGCCTAGACACTGATGGAGTAGGACGCACATTGCCTGAGCTCCTAGGCCCCAACTCGTGCAGCCCGCTATCACAGCATTAAATACCCATATTAATGGGGAAATCAAAGAGATTAACAACCTCTGGACAGGCGAAAGCACCCTCCGCACGGCAACAATCCGGCCCGATGGACGACTTTCTGTCCACATCGCACGGCCTACACGGTACGGGAGACCAGGAGGCCCCACCGCCACCGTCCCCGGGTTCAGAGAGTCAGACGGGCTCGACCCGCGACTCACCCCCACGAGGCTCTCTTGCCAAGATCTCAGTAGACTTGGCGGCAATCACTGCCAACATGATGACACGGGCGGACAAGAAGGATCTGGTAGCTGAACTTCGAGCGACCATCAGGGAAGAGATCACGGCCGTCAGGTCGGACCTCACAGCGTTAGAACAGCGGGTTGATGACCTAGAGGCAGACCGACTACAGGCCGCATAACACCAACAGACCGCTGACCTAGCCGCCACGAGACAAGGCAACATCCTCCTTGATCTCCGCCGGCAGGTCGAAGACCTGGATAACAGGGGGCGCCGGAACAACATCCGGATACGGGGCATACCGGAGGCAGATGACGAAGATCCCCGAGAGCTCCTGACAGGTCTGTTCCACCAAATACTAGGAGAAGCAGCCCCATCCGACTTTGGCATCGAACGGGCACACCGGGCCCTTAGAGCACCGAGGAGTGACGGCCAGCCTAGGGACATCATATGCCGCCTGACCTCCTTCGCTCTAAAGGAAAACCTCATGCAAGAATCTAGAACGCAGCGAAACATAACCTTCATCCACGACCTCTCCACCATCACACTGGACACCCGCTGGGCCCTGCGCCCTTTAACCAGCATGCTGCAGGAACAGAGAATCCGGTACAAGTGGGGTTTCCCCCTTCAGCTTGCAGGCCAGGGTGGACAATACCTGGCACGTTATCCGCTGGCCCAACGATATTCCGCGCTTCTTCAGGGCGACCGGCCTGCCTGCAGTATCGGTGCCAAACTGGATTCTAGAGGGCCCGCAGGCTCGAGCTTCAGGTCACACAGAGATTGCCCAGAACCTAAGAACAGACCAGAGGCATCACGTTGACAAGGAGGCCCATCAGGCCCGGAAGAATGAGGCAGGGCTGCGGCCTGGCCCCTAACGTGACTCCCTGGCTACACACTAGGACTACCATGAGCATTGCTGCCTAAGACAGCGGAAAGATTATGTACTACCGGGCCCCCCTAGTCGGGAGGAGTAAGGGGGAAGTAACCACGGATACGTAGCCAGGGAACTGTACCAAGCCAACCGGAGACTCAGGTACGGGGGGGGACTCGGGGACTACATGCCTCATGATGAGGACGCGGGAGGTGGGGAGATTGGGATGCTGTGGGGGCCGTGAGGCCCGACCCCAGTAACTACAGGTCCAGGCCAACTCAACCAGACCCAATGCGGCTGACAGCAAGGCTCCCAAGGCCAAGAACCACGGAACCTTCTACAACAACGGGACGGGTTACAGAGGGGGAGATACACGGGCAGGATACGGGAGTGGGACAGGGGAAGTACCGGGATTGTTTAAATGTATATAGTTAAAAGTTACGCACCACTTGACACACACATAAGCAGACCACCCTGAGACTCGGTACACAGATCCTAACCCACCATACAAGCCCATGGCCTTAATTTAGACAGGACATGTATATATGGAGGGGAAAGACGGGGGACATACAACAGGCCCAATCAACATTGGACAGTAATGAGGAAGCACATAACCTACACAAGGTCACAAGACATGTACGGACCTGTGACCAGCCCTTGATCAGATCCAGACGGTGAACACAACATCTCTCCCCATACTTAACCACAGCACTAAATAACCGATAGCCTTACACACTGGTTGGGAGCCAGTGGAGGACAGTGAAGACTTCCTATCACCACAGAAGCTGACCCACACTCGCTGGTGCATACCACGAACCCCACTGTAACATACCCAAACTGTAAATATAACCGGAGTTCACAGAGAGGGGCTGAATCCTACTCTCTCTGAACACTCACACTCGGTTCAGGGTAGACATTGCACTCACCCCAGAGGGGGTAGTAGTTAGTTTTTTTTTTTTTTTTTTTTTCTCTCTCTCTCCTTTTCCACTCCACCTTTTTTATCCCTTTCCAACCCTTCTTCCCTGACTAACTCGCACCCTCCTCCTCCCCTATCCAAGCATTACGATGAGCCTTAAACCGGCAAGCCTAAATTACTGGTCCAATAACGTCCACGGGCTGAATGTGCTGAATGTGCCCGAGAAGAGAGCACACTTGCTTAGGCGGCTATGGTCGTGCAGGGCATCCGTAGCGTTCCTGCAGGAGACGCATTTTAAAACCAACGACGCACCCAAATTGGAGAATAGCCGATACCCGCTAGGGTATTATGCAAACCACCCGGAGGCAAAAAGAGCGGGGCTGGCGATACTGTTCCCCATTCCAATGCACAGCGACACTGCCAGACCCCGGAGGGAGGTATCAATTCATCAAAGGCACTATTGCAGACCACACTTACACATTTGCATGCATATATTGCCTAAACAAAAAACAACACATCTTCCTGTCCAAAACACTGGCCAAGTTAGAATCCTTCCGGGAGAGTCTACTACTGGTTGCTGGAGACTTCAACGTCCCACTTGACCCCCACCTAGACACCTCCAGGCGATCGAGCACGATCCCCCGCGCATTGCATCCGCTCGACTCTGAGGTCCCTAGGTAGGCAGGGGTTGGTTGATTGCTGGAGGACGGTACACCCAGAAGCCCGAGACTACACACACTACTCAGCTGTCCATTCACGTTACAGTCGAATAGATTATATCTTCATGGCACAAGAATTCCTGTTGTTGCTCCAAAGAGCCGAAATAGGGACTACGATAGACTCAGACCATGCCCCAGCCATAATCACCACCGCCTCCCCGTTATATAAGCTGAAGGAACGTCAATGGAAACTGAACGAAGGGCTTCTAGACGACCCTGAACTCACCACCCAGACAGCACAAACTCTGAACCAGTACTTTGAAACCAACAAAACGCCGGATGTCTCCCCGCTGACCCTGTGGGAAGCGCATAAATGCGTCATCCGGGGCCACTTCATCAGTGAGAGCACCCGACGCAAACGGGACAGAACGCGTCGAATAACCACCCTGACGAAACAAATAGCCGCCCTTGAACAAGACCACAAAAGCACGTTGGATGAAGGTACTTACCTGCAGCTTACTACAAAGCGCCGGGAACTCCGTAACATTCAAGCAATACGGGGCAGTATCGAATCTAAAGCTCAACTTGGACAAATCCGAAGCCATGCCAATCTCCCTGACGGCAGACACAGCATCTCACCTCCGTGCACACTTCCCGTTCAGATTGTGCGCTACTAAGCTCCGATACCTAGGGGTTTGGCTCCCAAGAAAACTTGCACACAAGTACCAAACGAACTTTGCACCCCTCCTTACGGCTATACAGGGAGATCTGAGACGGTGGGCTCCTTGCTACATTACCTGGTTTGGCCGCATTAGTGCGGTCAAGATGAACCTTTTACCTAGGGTGCTGTACCTTTTCCAGACCATACTCACCACCATCCCACAAGCTTTTTTCAGCAGCGATACGACAATTTGTCTGGAATAAACGACCGGCCTGGATCCGCAGGTCAATACTGGAGAGGCCAAAGATTGAGGGAGGAGCGGGCCTACCCTCCATACTCACCTCCTATCATGCAACTCACCTACTACGCCTGCTTGACTGGCACACTGAACCAACCTCCAAGCAATGGGTACAAGTGGAAAAACTCCAAGCCCGGGGTAGCATACCCACCATGCTTTGGCTAGGAGATGCCACGTTCAAGGAAGCACGGACGGACAACCCCATGATCGACGCGACCCACAGGGTATGGTCATGGCTCACACCCATAACGCACAACCCGAGAATCGTAGAAGGCCTTCACCCACCGACTGGGTGCATTTGCGCCAATGGAGCACAGACAACAGAATCAAATCTCTGACAGACCTGATGCCCAACTGCAGGCCCACTACATTAGACGTATTTCATTAGCACATGATCAAAGCATATTATTCCACACTGACAGGCAAGGACCACCTCCGCAGACCCCTCGGGTTTCTAGAACAACAATGCAACACAAGGCAGCAACTCGCACACAGAATTTCAGCCCTATACTCGGTCCTACAGGCGGAAAATAACGATACCCCCCTGGGTTTCACAGCAAGATGGGAAAGGGAAACGGGTGTTGACCTGACGGAACAGGAGTGGACCAAAATTTTCACGCTGACGCATAAAGGATCAATCAGTTCGAAATACCAGGAGAGCAACTACAAAATCCTGACATACTGGTACAGGACGCCAGACGTCCTAAGACATGTACATGAATCAATATCAGGCGACTGTTGGAGGTGTGGGGCAGATGTAGGCACAGGGTTACACATCTGGTGGACATGTCCCCGGATAGCGCCGTACTGGCACATGATAAACCAACAAATCCGAGCCATCACGGCGTCCGACATGCCACTTCAGCCACTAACCATGCTCCTAAACCACACACACACACCGACAAAGGCATAAAAAAAGAGGCCTCACCATACACTTACTTACAGCAGCTAAAACACTAATCCCCACACACTGGAAGAGCACGGAAATTCCCACCTTACGACAATGGGTGGAAAGAGTAGAGGACATACACAACATGGAAATGATGACAGCATCCCTGCAGGGACGCTCGGATAAATGCGCTTTGACATGGTACCCATGGACAGTATTTCTGTCACGAAGGGCCACGCAGACGGGACCAAGCAGGAACGAGGGGAAGAGAAGGGACGCTCCCACGGAGCCTCCTTAGACACCCGCAGGGGACTAGCATCGTAAGTCTGATCAGGCTCCTACCCCCCCCTCCACTCTCCCTCCTCCTTCCTCACCCCCCTTCCTCTCTCTCTCTATCCCCCCCATTTTTTCCCTTTTTTTCTCTCTCTCTCTATCCTTTTTCTTCCTCTTCTTTAACCTCCTTTGTTTCTTTCCTACACACGCTGCCAATGCTCAAACGGGCTACGAATCCAAACCGCAGCCCCCCCGTGGCGCGAAAAGTAGCTCAAACAAACAGCAGATAAATCACCCAGCGAGTGATGCCAAAACCAGAAACGACAACCCACGCAAAAGAAAACAGCAACCACTTCACTGACGACTGAAAGCCTTGACACATATAGGTACACAACAACGTGACGCAAACGAACGATAGAACCATCACACGCATAGGTACATAGCCGAGGAATTGCAAGACCTGTGCCCGAGCAGACGACCCCGACCACTACACATACACAGGGCATAACAAAATTCAGGCACAGGACATGTGGGCTTTACGTGACTACTCCTACTCAATGTGCCTACCTGCAAATACGCTTAAATGTTACAAATTACAGCTAAAACACCGAAAA